GTTTGAACAGGAACAATTACTCTAATTACTCTTAACCTACTTTGGTAATCCTTATCTGGTTGGTTATATAACCAAACGCAGTGCTAATTATCCTTATTAGTCTTATCCTTAAATCCCTTATTTTAATTAGCTTCCTATTTTGCACATAAACTGACTTGACAAGTAAGTGTGTATGATCAGATTGTTCGAAATGTATTACGCAAATATATTACATTTTCCAGGTAATCTCCGTCTTCTAATAAAACCATCCAAATTTATAAATGGGACTAAGTGTTTTAAAATCTATATATGTATCTGTTGAAGAATAAAGTGCAAGAAGAGAAACAAAAGTTTTCTGTAATATTTCTGAACACATTTAAATTGAATTTTAGATTTTCGCGTCGATTGATTGCACCGAAGTGCTCGGTCTCAGGTTGACATGCCAGCTTATTGTGCAGATGCTTTGACGATGTCTAGGCATTTAATTAGTATTTAATTGGTGGATGGTGACTAGCAGTGGAATCCAGGATGTGCATTTCGTCCTATTTGGGACTTGTCAGCTGGATGTGCCTGTATTTCCCATTGAGTGATAACGTTCCCTCCGAGGCTCGAACCCAGTGCCCATAGTTTCCAACGCGTTATGTGCACAAGAAGCCGACATGTCAACCTGAGACAGAGCACTTCGGTCCAATCAGTCGACGGGAAAATATAAAATTCAGTTAAAATTAATGTGACCCGTTGCACAAGAGGTGGCCCTCGTGACCCAAGTGGTCTAGTAGATAACACTTTGACGTTTAAAAATGTGGGCACTGGGTTCGAGCCTCAGTGAGAACATCATCAATCATTGAGAAATGCAGGTACATCTAGTTGACGAGTCCCAAATAGGACGAAATGCGCACCTGGATTCCACTGCTAGTCCCCATCCACCAAATAAATTTCTGAACACACTCCAAAATACCCCTGGGATTAGATGGACGAAGAGCTCCACAGAATAATAATAATAATAGTGATACCTTTATTCTGAACAGTATTTTAGTACAAATATGAAAATTTCAGCATATAGTATAGTATTAAAAACAAAACTACGTGGCCTAGGTACAGACTTCAAGGCAGCTTTGTAATCAACGAAGGCCTACCGAACACATTTGGCACTTCTAACTAAATGAGAGACAATGTGATGACACAAGACAATAGTAGACCCATTATGTTTATAAGCAAGTTATTATATAGAGTCATTAACACTCTTCAATAAAGCTTCATAGTCCATTATTTTAGAAAAAAAGTGAAGTGATGCTAATAGGTAAAGAAATTGACACTTGGTTCACTTAGTGATCTACACACAAGGACAATTTTAATGTCCTTCGAAGAAGCAAGCACAAATCACAAGCGGAATATGATTCATTGAAAATACCAGTAACAGGATTACATAAAATGCCCGCACATTTCTTGAGGATAATAGCTGGTATACTATCTGGACCAATGTAGCAATTCGACATCTGATAGATACAAGAAGTTCGGAGGACACAGTCTTATGCCTCCTGACGTTCTGTGTCATTATTGCGTCTACCAAATAACCGTTAACAAGTAGTAGATTTAGATTTCATGGAAATTACTCTAACTCACTCCATTCACAGAAACCAATGAAGTAGGTAATATCTTTTAGGATGGACTATTTTTTTTTATTACCCAGTATCTTTAGTGTTTTTTTTTGAAGGGGGAAGGGTCATCAAAAACATTTTCAACAAGCTATTCTGCACACATTCATCAACGCCTGTTCTCTTCACTCGACACCGAAGATCATATGACCGACTGAGAACAATATGCCACAAAGGACTCTGTCAGGCAATCAATTACAAAACAGCTTATTGTTTGTTGCCCAACAAATGTATAGATGGTAATAAAGATGAATTGGACATAAACTGAGGAGTTAAGTGTTAGGTAAGGAGGAGAAGTCAATCGATGGAGTTATGAATCTATATCTGTTGAATTGGTTAGGATATGTGTTACGCATACCTAGCTATCACCTTCCTCGACGGGAAATGTGAGTTGACATAGGATCCAGTTGGAAAAGAGATAGTAGTGGGTGATCAAACCAAACACATGGCTTCATTGCCCAATAAAATCCACAGTAGTTAATGTAAGCCGGCCAATTACATAGGGATATTTAGACTTCTTGGCTGGTTGGGGTCCTTGGGATGGTAAGAACCAATGGTTCGAGACAATTGGTGAAACAGTTCTAAATCGTTCTCAATAGCGTAGATGATCTCCCATATTGACTAAAGTGGCATGCTTTGCCACATTACTATTCTCTTCCCATCACATTTTTGCCTAGTATCATTCTTTTAAATCTCCTTTTTGTCTCGCTTCTCCCTTTCTTTTTTTTCACTACGTGGAGTATGGCAACTTGAACTGCTGCTGTATTTCTGTACAAAGTCCTAGGTTGAAACCAGCCATTCAGCCACACTGAGCGGACCTCCAAATGACATCATTTTTTTGTTTTTTTTTATTACAGCTTGATTCCACACTGTATTTTTGATACACATATGGAATTTTCAGCATGTGATATTGGTAGCCCAAATTTTTCAAGCCGACCATATATATCAGGTGTGCGTCGGTAGGGGATCGAACCTCGGACCATGTGTATGGTAGGCGAGAGGCCTAACCACTGTGCCACCGACGCACATTACACATCAGACAGGCTGTTGTGTGAACCTGGAGTGGGAAGTGAACAATGGATTGGGCGTCCAAAGACATCATGTGAGGAGGAAACACAAGTCCGTTTTGTGACTGTCCATTATTAACAGGCAACAAAAATTATGAATGAAATTTATTACAGTATCTTACCATACTACTTTTTTCATTCATCAGTAGGTTGAAATTTTGACAAGAAACTGATGCGGATTCGATGCTTAGTTAGCAGATGTTAAACGGAGTACACGACCTAAGGTGAAATGTCATTCAGTTTTAAGTACTGTTTCCACAATTGTTTTATAGCACACTATTGGGTTAAGAATAATATTAGGATTAAGATAAGAATTAGGGTTGGGCTGCCTGATTATTATCGGTATTTTCCCTGTCAATAAATAAATAAGTGGGAGGAGAGTGTGCTTCGTTGTTCATATATAGCTGAAACCATTTTGGTACCTAGCAAACTTGAAAACTGATCCCCTCCATTGTAATTTGGAAATATTTTTTACAGTCAAGTCAAAGTAAATATCATCTGTAATGTGTATCATTACTAGTTTGCCAGTTTTCCTTATAAATAAACGGCTTCTTGATGAATATAATACACGGTGGTATTGTATGCGTTCACCCTCAGTGGCCACCAGTCTTTACATTTACCACTATGGTAGCTTTACTAGCATGTCGCTAGCCTAAATTTCCCACGTCTATGGGCTTACTACCAGCTACTGAAGTACACCAGAGTTATGAGTATGCCCCTCGCGGCAGGGCGAAATCAAATCCTGATTCCTCCTCCAGTGTGTGGCGAGCAAGTTTTCTACCACTGATCCATAGAGATGTTTAGTACACTTTGAATATTTGAACTTTTGTTTTAATGCATTCACGTAATATGGCGCCACGCCTTTACTGTTCTTCCAGCGTGATTGCTCACACGTGTCTTCCTCCTCTCTCATTGTGCTATCACTAAGTGCACGCTTGAGCTCGCCACCCCAGTCAGTTAACAGATAAGTTGTACAGTATTCTTATTTATTAAATTTGTGATGGCAAGCTACCTAAAATGGTGGCCACATTGTAAACCTGACTGATAGAATACAGTCTGCACCAAAGAGAGGACTAGACACATCACATCTGTCACTAGTGTCCAATCGAAATACCCACTACAGTCCTACTACAGGAGGTCGATCGCGAGCCCGAATAGCTCAGTGGTGACATCCCTGAATACAGAAATGGGTGACGCGGGTTTGAATCTCAGAAGGGACATGAGTTCCTACAGATACGCCTTGCTGACTGGTGAGTGCGAACTAGCACGAAACCTAGGTCAGGTGAGGCTTCCTGCCGAATGCTTCCAACTATCTAATGTCAGTTAATCTGTTGTAAAAATATAATCCTCATCTGAGCACACCACCCAGTCAGTCACAAGTCTTTTTACCTTTATCGGTATTAACACGTTAGGTAGAGTGTACTGATCAGGGGTTAACTGAGGAAAACAAGTTTAGCAGGCGCCAACGTTGAAGACTATGTAGAAGATGACATCGGCACTTCAAGATGCACCAATGGGAATTAATCTTCAATAAACCCAGAAGGCTATGCGTACACTACACTAGCTTGGTGACACAGAACAAACAATTCTCAAGTTCTTCTTCTTCAATTATTTAATTTAGTTTATTTGTTATACAATTACTTATACACAGTTGTGTAATATATTACAGTGATAAGATTGAATAGCAACAATGAAAGGGTGGCAAGTAAGTTGAACAACTATACAATGACCAGTGTGTGTGTGTGTGTGTGTAATGTGAACACAACAATACCACAAAAGAAACAAACTGATAAAATAAGCAAAAGAATAAATTTGGAGATAGGCAGAAACAAAAAAAGACAGAGATTGAGACGAAGATAAGTGTAGAAAGTGAAAAAAAATAATATTAATTTAAACGACCGCCAAAAATACTACGAGATTATTACTTCGTTCAATGTTCAACATTCAATTTAAACGAATACACTGTACAATATACAATTATTAAAAATTCAAAAATATCAATTTATACACTACGAATAGAAAGACAAGACCTTCACAGAATCCATCTTCGCGCGCGTGTGTGTGTGTGCGAAAAATATGTGTATAGCGCAAGACTGATGTACTCAACACCATCTTGTTTGTTTAAATTAGAGAGGAAAAAGAAATGCTACAAGTTCAATTCAGTTGATCAATATTTGAATGTTATAAATATATGTATGTATATATATACAATCGATTATACTATTGTACATGGAATGAAAATTCAATATTAATTTGGTGTAATAAAAACCAAAAGGCTGTTTTTGTGTGTGTGTGTGTGTCATACTTTTGATTTCCTTCGCCTCCGTTGTTTACCTCCACCACTGCTGGTGGCTTGTTGTGGTTGCTGAAAAACACAAAACATGTGTAAAATATTCTCATTGTTTTAAAAGTACACTATCTATTTACACCCGAATCAGTAGTATGAAGTGTACGGATGAAAAAAAAGAAGCACAGACAAAACAGACAGATTAACTGCTTTTGTGGGGCGGACGATTCGGTAAGTTCACCTGTCGTCAAATTTTTGAACCGTATCACCCATTTTGGTTAAGTAAATGACACAATAATATGATACGTAGATCCATACGAGCTCATCTCGTCGTTACAAGACATGAATTTGAGATTAACAATATGTGTATAGAGTCAGATTACTCTTTGAGTTAATTCAGACCGAGCACTTTGATCCAATCAATCGACAGAAAAAACTAAATTGATTTAAATAATTAATAAGACCAGCTGCACAAGAGGGGTGGCGGTTCTCGTGGCATAGGTGTTCTAATGGATAACGCTATGGTGTTTGAAATTATGGCCACTGGATCCGAGCCTCGGTGGGGACAACATTAATAACTCACTGAGGGATGCAGGTACGTTCAGGCGACGAGTCCTGAATAGGACGAAATGAGCATCCTGGATTACACTGCTAGTTACCATTCACCAGTTAACTTATTCATAGATTCGTAATCTGAGGTTATTCACTCACTCACATGGTTGGTTGACGAGCATTCTACCGTCGAACCACTGGCGGTAACCCATTCTTCTTAGTGATAATATCAACAATTTAACTTATCCTGAATTCCGTAATGAATTATTTTTTCACCCCTCCTTTAGTTCAAAAGTGATAATTCTTCTTGATATTATACCACGTCACCAACACACATGATCGATACAAGTCCAATGTAGAAGTATATATTATATTGATTTCATGAACGACGTGGTAGGATCGAGGGCGAGAATCACTCCGGTCTTCCTCTAGAAATCCACTCACCTTTTCCCCTTTTGATATGTCCTATTGTATGATTTCACACGATGGATTGGGTGTTTCACACTAAAGTGGAACAGCGAATGCGAACGTTTAGTGCGCTTACAACAGAACTGGCCGACATGCAGGTCTACGCAGTAGGGGAGCTGCAGAATTTGAACCGATCAGATGGTACACAAACACCTATTTTAGTCAGCAGAAATCCTATGAAAGCAGCTCGACTGTCTCATAGGTCAGACTTTACGTCAAAGTCTAGACGAGACGGGTGACTCCCCTTAAGACAACAACCTGCTTTGGTCTGGGGGTGAGGCGCATCTCTTGGTACGCATTGTGTACCAAGCGTGTGTTTTGATAATAATCATAACAATAGTAATAATAACTGTAGGGCTGCTGATGAAAAATTAACTAATTGAAAAAGGAGTATATTTATTCTATACACGCGAGAAACTTGGCCAGCGTATCACCTAAAAGGATATCCAACTGCCTTTTTCAAAATTTTATCAACAGATATCTAATTCGCAATTAATAGTGTTCTCTGAGCTGGTTGGCTTATTTGCGGAGCCTTCATCGTCCTTCTGGACAACATCCCCTTTCAGAGCAATTTCTAGCATAAAGTGAAATGATTTAAATTTCTTCATGAGTGATATAATTGCGTCTCCCGGTAACCATCTTCACATATGTATTGACCATTTTCTATTGAATTGAATTTGAAACTTTCTGGTCACCTGATTTACTTTTATTAGTTGCTATATTTGGTCTATATATTAACGTGTTTGTTAAGTGCACATTCGTTTGAGTACCAGGCTTCTAGGGAATTCCCTGACTGCACTTTTGGTATTTCCTCTCTCTCTAAGATTTCGACATTATCCCAATCAATCTGATGTCCATAATTGTCTATATGCATTGATATGAAACAGGAATATATATATCGTGTCTTTTCACGGTTGATTTGTGTCCTTGGATTCTGATTCGCTGGCTGGCTCCATACTAAAAATCAAATAGCCAACCGGCCGGCTGAACAGAAAGAATTAGCAACAAGAAACCAACAGATAAGAGCCGATTGCTCAATAAATATGTAGAAGGAAATGGAGATGGATTGATTGACCATACGTTGGTACTGTGCGCAATGCAGGCCATCGCTCAAGTAGAATCCCAATGGAAAGTGACGACTTGATCATCAGTGCGAGTGTGTGACATGAAGGAGATCATGTGAGTAGGAGGAGGAGATGACAGATTATGCTCGCTCCGTCGCAGACCCAGATGAAGAGGACAGCGAAACGTAGGACAAAGTAGAGATGTGTTGCTGAAGTACTATGTTCCACTCGGAACCCAAGGGAATAATAATAATAATATTTCTTCGCTATTCAATTTATTCTGCTACTTTTCTAAATCGATTTAAAAAATTTACAAATTCTATCCTCACAGTTGTCTACAACAGTGAACGACAGTAAAACTTCTGAAGTTATTTTATGATGAAGGGTGAATTAATTTCAAAGAAAGTGCCAAAAAGCATGAGACCAAGGTGAAGAAGTGCTTCTCCTACCGATTGCTTTTCCAACCATCTAACACCAACTCAAAGTGTACTGAGATACTGGAGTCACCTGGGTTAGTAACGCCACATTGAGAGATTGACTCGACAGACTTCAGTCAGCGCCACAACATCAAGAACTACACATCTGTGATATTTTTCACTCAGTGTAGATTTCCGCTAAGAAATCGGGAGTGATAGTTTAATCAATTAATTAAAACCATATACGTTTAGTTACGCGTTAAAATCCGAAACACGCATGATTTTTCTAAAGTACAGTATAAAAGAACAAACAGTTCAGCGAAGAGCCTCTTCTCGGCGGATTTATTCACTTAGCTGTACAATCGCAGTTATATATTAGATATCATAGAGAAGATTTGTAGCTCAGATGGGTGACGCGAATTCGACTCTCAGTAGGGACATAGGTTCATTCAAGCTGTTTGCAGATACGCCTTGCTGACTGACTGGTGAGTGCCAACTAGCACGAAACCTAGGTGCCGGCAAGGCTTCCTGCCGATCGCCTCCAACAGTCTAATATCAATAAAGCGATTCATATAAAGCGTATACAGTAGATAATGTTTAACTACAAGAAAATAATGACTACTATATAAAAGAGTATTAATTAATATATTATGATAAACTTCAGTAGTAAGCAACAGTCATGATTATGGAGTTACTAATCAATAAACCATATTACTTACTAATAATAAGTAATATAAATTTGTAAGACAAAAAAGAAGGAAAACAAAGGACAGATTGTCCCACCTCGATCGGTAACTGAAGATCACATGGCCAACCGACTCGAAAGGTTAACTAACAAGGAAGCCCGTCAAGGGAGGAACTAACCAAGATAGGAGATCGAGGAGGATTGGAAAAATACACTAAGGCGGCATCCAAGTGATATTAAATGATACTCAGACTGTCTAGTGAAATGTGATCGGATAAGCGTCAGAGAGGTTCATATAAAAAAAGAAATAAAAGCTTATAGGCAGAGGCATGAAGCAACCAACTCCTTGAAACCGATGTCACAGAAGTGCATCCCTATGGAGGATGTTCCCCATTTGCGGATGATAACAGTGTAATCATAACATATACAATTTATAACTTACTATTTGTGCATGCCGACCAAGTATCATTTCTAATTCCCGTTGAGCCTTTTCTTCTTGTGCTGCAGTTGAATCAATATCAGCAGTAACCGCTGACAGATTTGTCGATAAGGATGAACTGAATCGACCTACAGGGGAGGGTAGAAGACTGCTGCTACTCCCACTCCCACCGCCACTACTGTTACTCAATGCTTTCAGTTTAAGTGATTGTGGAGCAACAGTGGTATTAGTAGTAGGAGGAGGAGTAATATTACAGCTAACACCACTATTATTATTATTGTTATTATTATTATTCTGATTAGGACCACCACCGCGTAGAAATGGTAAACGACGTCGTGGGGTGAATTTCTTCTTTATCACCTGAAAAATTGTGGAGAAATTAAAAAAAAAACGAAATATTATCAAGAAGAAAACAAGATAGACCATTTCTTAGACCAGTTCTTAGAAAACATAAAGATTGGGCGAAGAAATATTTACTTTTCAATTAGATCCTCATCTCATTCTGGCTCTACTCTACTCTAATATATATCCATAGCATTTTAATTACAATACACAACAGTTTACCAATCAAATGACACTGTGATATGTTTGTTAACAATAATTAGTCAGTGTCAAAATGTCAATGGGTTGATGATAATTAACGAAGGAAATCAATACACACATATAAAAGGTAGAAATGGTTAGAATAGATTAATTTTACAAGGATAACACGTAATTAAAGATGAAGTGGTCAGAAAAAATAATAATATAATTTGGACAATTATAATTTTTATCATTTTGAAGGTTTAGGGGTTTATACATTCGTGTTATGATGGCCAAGGTACGGAAAATTGTCGTACAAATTTCTTCTGAACACACAGGTTTAGCTGCTTCTTCAAGTGAATTCCTATTGCTTCAGCTGTTGGTATGTAGAAGACGAACTCGTAGAGCAAATTTAAGATTAGTAGGAATACGATAAATAATTTTAAATGCAGTATTAACGTCAACCTTATGCTCACTATCTACAAAATGTGCTACAATAGAGCTTGTTTGTCCCTTGCTTAACCATGCTGGATGATTTTCGGAAATACGATGATGAACCTGCCTAATTGTACACCCAATGTAGCTGGCTCCGCAGCTGCAATCAAACTGGTAGATACACATAGAAGAGGCGAATTTAGGTAGTTTATCCTTATTTCTCGAACGTAGAATTGGGGTGGTTGTGAAGAGACAACATACCTCTGCTGCTTAATAATAAGCTCTTTTAACTGCATTCTTCAGGTGCTCGCTGTGTTATTATTTCGCTGATGTTGTCATCGAGGAACTGCAGTTTTATGAACATTGGTTTTTTCGGAACTGTTGCTATACTGACTCTCCTAGGTGCTGAATTCATATTTTTCTCAATGAACTTATCTAGATAACCATTTTTTTCTAAGTAATTCTCTAATAATCTTAAGCTCCTCATTGAAACAGTTGTCTGAACAGATTAACCTGGCTCTATGAACCAGACACTTTACCAGGTTACGAGTTTATATTTCAAAGGTACAAAACTCAAAAAATGAGTGTACTGCCCCGTTATTGTTGTTGTTGTAGGTTTCCTATACACAAGAAAACAAGAGACAATTCAGCAACGAAATCATCTTCAGAAGCTGTACAATGGTACTTATATATTTACTGAAAAGGTATAATAGTCCATTATTGAATAATAGGGGTGGTATACTTGACGCAACTGACTTCAAAAGTAAAACTAGGTAGCGTATAATAGTCAATGAGACAAAGAACGAAAGAATTAGATATTTGATAAGGTTAAAAATGTTATTCAATGGAAAGAAAGGTGGTAGTTGAGCGTCCATTTTTAACAAGTTTGAAGAGGATGAGAAAATGTACAAAAGGAGCATATGACGGTGATATTAGTGAATCAATTTTTAAAGTTAACGCAAAGTAATCACTAAAAATAAGAATAATAAAAAAAAATTACACAGGATACTTAATGAAGAAGTTAAGACCATGGTAGAGTAAAAGACTAGACAAACGTTTTCTGTATACATAGTTCGCGGTAGTATTGATGAATTTCCAACGCCTCCATCATACACAAATACCGAAGCCAAACACACCCTTTGTACCATTCGGTTTCATAATGTTGATAATCTTAAAAGACGACACACTAAGTGGAGCTACGTGGCTTGAGTTCACCAAGTGCTCAAGAATAGAAATAGTAACGATATGTCTTGAATTGTCCTCTAACTAATCACAACGCATAGTGTTCAAAGATGCGTTTGGAAAGTGTGCGCTTTGTACGGCCAATATAACTAGCTTCAAAGGATCAGGTGAAGTGGCCCAAAGCGGCAGTTAATTCTTCACACATCCATTGATTATTTGTCGACCGTATAAATTGATCCGTGGTTGAGCTGAAAACAAGGCTTTTCTCAGTGATCTGTGAATAAAAGCGGTTCTCCAGAATCTCACCCAAAGTATTATCTTTAATTTCAACATTCATAAACAGCAGTTTCTTCGACACCATTTAGACTTTTTCGCACTTTTGACATACTTCTCATGTTTTTCTCGATAAATCTTGCAGGATAACCATTTGCCATGAGAACTTATCTGAGTCCCTCCAAATCGCCATCGATTGGTATTCATGGTATATATCCTTCTTGTTCTTGAAGACAGGGATGTGGATCAGATTTTTCTTTCTTCTCATCAATGGGATCCAACTAGGTAAATTCGTGAACTGACCATTCTATTTTGGTTTCCTGTAGATTGATTTTTGAAGAGAACCATCAGATTTCCGTTTTAGAAAAGCAACCGAAAAAAAAATGGAATTCCGAGTACATTTGTGATTTCTATGTGAATTTGACAGAATGATATGATAGCTATTCAACTCCTTCAATATCACTTTGATGTTGGCATTCATGATGTCGCATATGATGATAGAATCATCCATGTATCTTTGATACATATGAAAACTACCGATATTGCCAAGAATCAGTCTGTAAGTAAAGCTGCCAATAGAAACCACATCTCCACTCCGTCTGTTTGTCTATAAAGCACGTTGTTGAACTTGAATTGGACATTTAAAGTGCATGTCAATAGTGATCCTTTTAAGTAGCGGATCAGAACACCCACATACAGATTAGTAGCCTCGGTTAGTTTGCATATACTAAAAAATAAAATATGATTTTTTTTCAAGTACTATTTTCTGGGGCTTTGATTAGTTTCAAGTTTGACTACGAACTGCTAAACTGTATTTCGAGAACCATTGAAAAGTCAACTAGGTGTATGGAAAAGGTGGTCCATTGTGAACTGGCAGGAATTCGAATTCATAGGGCAGTCACTAGTGGCTGCATAAATAGTCTAAAGTTTAAAACTCTACAAATTTACAGGCGCATAAACATACGACATTAATTACTCGCAAAATTGAAAGTGAGAAGGAGGATGAGTGATTATGGTCAATCGTGGAGCTAAACAGTTGAAGAGGACAGCAAAAAATAGAAGAAAGTGGAGAATAATAAATAAATATAACAAACAAAGATTGAACGCTGCTGTTAAAAAGACTTTTTATGCAGGTAAGATCAGAATAATTGAGAATGTGAAGCCCATATAGTTATCCATCTAAGCCATTAGAAGAGGAGAAAAATGATGTCACACATCCCATTGTATTTACCAATCTGAATGTACACGTGTGGACACATACATAAGGAGAACTCATTGATCTCTGCAAGTAACGGCTGGGGCTTCACAGCATATTCCTAAATAGCTCAAGACGCAAATAGAATCCCAAGAACTCATCAATTAATGGTGAGAACAGGAGACCTAGCTCCTCTATTGCAAAACATATTATACAGACAGGACATAAAATTGATGTTTACACATGTCTTTTAAACCTATCTATAAGATGTGTTTGGGAGGGGGCATATCTTAAATTTCGTGGAAGCCATAGCTAGCAATCAGAAAGTTTAAATCACCTTTACGCGTTCACAGGGAACAATTCGTCATCACACTAAACCTACCTTCCTGGATAAACTTTGTTTTGAAACCACGATGGATGTACTACTGTAACGACAGAAGACAAGGGCCAGACAACAGATTGTTTATTGAGAAAATCAACAGATATTTATACATTTTTATGTATATTATTATTATTATTCGTTATTGTTAGCAGAGAAGCAATATCTTCTGATTGGTTGTTTTCCTGCTGAAGGTTATTCTGTCATCTCTTTGTGGGCGTTTCTTAGACAGTCCAGCGATATATCTGCGAATCGTATCCGCCCACGCTAAGCCTGGTGTGATTGGTTGTTGAGTTCCTTCCTCAAGGTTAGGCTTTGTTTATGTTTTTCCTCATGACCAAGATTTTGGACGCAAATTGCTATCTACCAATTCTGGCTACCAAACAGCTCTCACCACACTACTACCTCTTGCATTTCGTTTATTCATCTCCATTGTCATATATATATATACATATATATATATTCCCATTACACGTGTCATCAGATCGCTAGAGAGGTGTTGAGCAAATGCATTACGAACACGATTCAAACAAATTACGCCTTCTTATTGCTTTGTCTAAACATAATTTTTGCCTAATATATGTGAATGATATTTTTTATTGTCTGTGAAAATAATTCAGAAACGGAAAACTTATTGGTAAAATTCAACTCTCGGCATCCTAATCTCAACTTCACGATAGAACACGTGGAAAATGATACCATTAAATTCCTAGAAGTTTTTTTTTTTAGTGGAAAGCACTGATGATACAATTGAAAAGGTTTATATTTACAAAGTCCTAATGGATGGGATAGTATATATATTCACTTTTAAAAGTTTCACATTACAACACAAACAACTTCAATAACTATATTGTTATTCTATATTACTATTCTTTTTGCTTCACAATTCCTATTATTTATAATCTCGCTCGTGAATCTCTTCTCTTGCTTTGTGTGCTACATGCAGGGGAGGGAGTGTGGCAACTCGAACTGCTGCATACACATCTGTGCAAAGTTCTATTGTTGAAACCAGCCAGTCAGATACCAGTATTAACAATTGGATGAGATTTCAAGCACAAATTATTGCTGCTCATAATCCTCATATCAAGGCACTGCTCACACACACACACACACACAAATTTCTTGCTTCATGCACATACATGAGTAAAACGGACGATTAGACATTTGAATAAAGTCAATATATGATAGAGTACATTCGGAAACAGAGTAATATTAGTGTTATCAATGAAATACAATCAGATGGGAAGGGAAATAAGATGCTTTTATAGTAAAATGAATAAGTAACTTGTTAGAAAGTTATAATGTGTGAATTCAATTGAATACATCTTAACATTATTTATTATCCTCCTTTGATTTGACTGACAGTAATAATATCTTCTTGGTATCTTCCAGTTGCATGTATTGGATGTGGATTCGATGAACAAGGCAGGATTCAGTATTCAATCTTTCTCTCCACCAACCTACCCTACATTAATTTTTAGAATTTTGACCCTGTCCCAAACACACTATTGTGTGGTTGTGTGCTGTGTGCACGCAGTGCGATAGCTGAGTTCTTTTCTAACTGAAGTGACTCAACGCAATTACCAGAGATATATGTATGGAAGATATTATTACTACCAGTCAAATCAAAGGAGGATAATAAATAATCTTAAAATGTATTCAATTCACACATTCTAACAAGTTATTTATTTATTTTACTATAAAAACATCTTATTTCCCTTCCCATTTGATTGTAATTTATGGATAACACTAATATTATTTCTGAGTGTACTTTATCTTATATTGATTTTATTCAAATGTCTAATCATCAAATTTTACTCATGTATAATGCATGAAGCAAGACAGTTGTGTGAGTACCGCCTTGATATGAAGATTATGAGAGGTCATCAGTAAATATTACTGGATAACAACAATATGTGAGTTTATCCATAATGGAAATATACTCTACCATCAGAATTCCCAAGTTTTATAATACTTATGTCTTGAAAGACTTGTCTGGGTTTGCTTTTTTTTCTCTTCTCTAGGAGTTATATCATCACAGTGTTTAATTTCATCACTATTTTGTAACTTTTATTATTAATTAATGAATTGGTTCGCATTAACATAAAACATCACGTCTAAACACTTGATGATTTGAGTAGGTGGGTGGGTGTTTGTATATATATCGTATATACTCTAGAAATAAATGTACATAGATATCTCACAAGATTGACTCTTATATAATTACGCATTATTGCTTGAGTGTTAATCTCTATCTTACTAAAATGTATTTCAGACATACAGACAGAAAGAGGGAGAGGGGGGCGAGACAGAGGAGCTCTCCATCTCAAAGCCCCTCTTGTCCTCCTTCCTCGTCAACCTCCCTCCCTAAGATATTCACACAATGACAAAGCGAACAAACACAACCTCATCTTAGTTAGATTAGATAATCCTCATCAATTATCACATGAATTGAGGGAGAGGTGTGAGGGGAGTGGAGTGTGGTAAACGATGCTAAGATAATCCCCTGTTGCACAAAAAAAGCATAAATTGAAATATAAACTTATCAGTTAATCACTTTAATAGAATGTAGAACCTCGTGTGAAAGCAGAACAGAGAATGCTGTAAATTTTAGTTGAAGAAAGAAGTGGAAGCGGGAGAGACGGACCTCTACAACAAACACACTCACCTACCCAATCCCCCACTTTCCAAGATGATGAAAAAAGGAGGGAGAACAAACCAACAAACTCAAATCATCATTCATTTTATTTTTATTTTCCTTTAGTTTTTCGATAGAAGATGGATGGTAGATTAATCCGTGTGAAATGTACACGATGTGGGGGGTGCGTGGGTGGATGGGTGGTAAACAGTTAGCAAAGATGATCAAATTTACAGCTTTGCATTTAAATCAACCAACCCCCCCCCCGGCTTTGTATTCATTTATATACTCGACAGGAAAAAAAATATGAAGAACTGACCATAAAGAACAGTGTAGTCACGGAAATCATCAACAACTACTAGAGACTATCAAAGATAATCAAAAGTGACATAAAAGTGTAGAGTTAACAACTAGATATAAGTAAATAATCACTATTTTCAAGAATTGGTTTGTAGGCATTTGGTTGATTGATTACAAGATTTCATCATGAGCTGACATTGGTTGGAGAACCACTGGAAAACCTAGGAGTACTGGACAGCTGTTTCGTCCTAGTTTGGGACTCTTCATCAGTACGCTCACTAGTGACTGGCCCTATTCAGGCAGTTAACCTGCGGTTCTGGTGGGAAGCTGTGACCAGTAGGGTACAGCAGGTCGAAGATGAGGCAGTAACTCATCGAAGAAGACATTGCGAAATGGTAGTGCTGTGTCGTGAATTGGCAGAAGTTAGAATTCATGGGCCATTGGATCGGGTCCTAGCGGCTTAATGGTATACGAGCTCGCCTTGTAACCAGAAAGTCCTGGGTTCTAATCCCAGTGGATGCGTACTGATGAAAAGTCCCAGACTAGGATGAAACAGCTGTCCAGTACTCCCAGTTGGTTTTCCAGTGGTTCTCTAACTGATGTCAGCTCATGATGAAATCCTCCATACAAAATAATCACTATCTCATTGAATAAAATCGACGTTGAATATAGTGATAAATGGATTTCAAGTGTGATGACGAACCGACTGACTTAAGTTAGGGATCACCACTATTTAAACTACACATAGAGGAGATGGGGGTGATGCAGAAAACCAACCAACCAACCAACCAACCAACAACAACAATCAGAAACAATCAACATCAACGAGAGAGATTTGACAGAAGTCAATTCATGACTTCCCTTGTCTGCCTAGAAAGCACAGTTTCAACTACAGGCAGTCAGAACAGATGAAGCTGTTAAAACCAGTCAGGGAGCCAGACAGAATCGAAAAGGCAAGATACACCTTTATCAACCTAAAACTAGTTTAGAAATCTTCTGCACTCACTCAGCCAACCAGCATAAAGAACAAGATTCGGATTTTCAACACAAATGTCAAGTGAGTCATTTCTCCCATACAAGTGAGAAACTTGCACTACGTGTTATGAAAAAGTATTTCCAACAAGTCACCTCAGACTTTTCATCAACAGCTACCACCTCCATTGGCTTCCCCCATATCCAAGATCAAATGGCCGGCCACCTGGTTGGCCAGAAAGGATTAGCAACGAGAAACAAACCAACAGGCGTGAGTCGATCGCTCAACAGATATGTAGGAGAAAATGGAGATGGATTGGATTGGGCATACACGCCACTGAGGAGGATACCATCGAATGACATCGCACTCAATGCAGACCACCGCTCGAGTGGAATTAGAATGGTAGGAGACGAGTTAGTCGTCGTCGTCGGTGAGAGGCTGACATGGAGCAGATTGTGTGAATTGGAGAAGGAGATTAGAGATTTTGGACAATCATGGGGCTATCCGGATGAAAAGGACGGCAGAGTATAGAAGAAAGTGGAACCCAAGGGAATAATAATAATAATAATAATAATTTAAACTTACTTCTCGTACAAGCTGTTTACGTATTCGTGTTTTCACTTCCATAGCAAAATCTAACCATGTCCATACACAATTATGATATTCCAGTGTAGGTATAAACAATTCAAATCGGGTTACATCAGTTATATTTTTCTGTTTTTCACCCTGTAAGAGAAATAAACAAACGACGAAGAATATTTAAAAATTGAAAAAGAAAACACACGAACTTGGTACAATTATGGGCACCAAGAGGTGTGACACACAAAAATACTAAAATAACAATGTATATAGGGAAAACGGGGCTACAAAAAAAAGGAAAGAGGTCATCCAGAAAGTAAGCATGGATTTCTGTAAAGACCATTCAACATTCATCATATTTTCAAAAGGGAAGAAAAGAGGCAATTACGGTCTGTTCGCCGTTGGTTATTGTGATCCTTCGGCCATTTGTCCAAATGATCTCCTGGACAACATCAACGGATGTTAAATCAACACAAAAATATATATATATATACATCCCTCATCCCACGGCGCCATGTCATAAACTGACTACCTCTCCACCTTTCCCCCCCCCCACACACTACCACCAATCTCAGGACTAGCAAAGTGAGAATGGTATGGGAGTCTCCAGAGTGATATTCGTAGCACTAACCATAAACCCACGAAGTCAGTTTTTCAAGATGACCACAATTAGTGGAAGGTGACCTCCACTGTGCCCAAACACATGCGATTCCAAGGAGATAAAGATGATCGTATTCACAGGGTTGCGGCAAATACTCAGGTTGAAGAGACCAGCTTTCACAGTTATATAGGACAAACTAATGGAAAATACAAAATAACTTAGAACAAAGTTACTTGTTTTTCACTCAGTTTTGTGTTTCACATCAACTGATTATATTTGACCGAAATGGTATGCTTCAGGTTGACATGTCGGCCCCCTAATACGGACTATTCAACAAAGTCTGAGGGGATTAACTTCAAGTAATTTGGTGAACGATTACTTAGCAGTGGGAATTAGAATGGGCGTTCCGTCCTAAGTAAGACTCATCCCCAGTCAGTGAGTGGTGGTATTACCAGTGAGACTAGAACCTAGTATCCATTATTTCAAACATCACAGAGTTATCCACTGAACCAGCACCAGACTAGCATGCTAAATTCCATTGCTAGTCACCATAAACCAAATTCGAACAGGGCTAGAAACAGGTGTTGTAAAAAGTTTGAAATTACTTAGTATTATGTAAAAACAACACCAGCGACCAAAACCAGGACCTTTAAGTTCCGATGACACGCTCATTGACCATTTAGTAACTTGAGCAGGAATTTAGTGACCTGTGAATTCTAACTCCTATCAATTCTCGATTTTAGTGCGACCACCACCAATCAATGTCATCGGCAAGTATCCAACCTGGTGAACTTCTTCCTGGCATCTCAATGACTCTCTCTAAATGGCAACACACCATGATCAAACTTGAAACAAGCCAAATCCCTGCTAAACCAACAACTGAAAATTATAGTAGCATCAGCATAAAACGTTGGTGGGCCGTACAGTTTTGTTGTGAATTATTTTTACTACTGAAATCTCTTTAAAGTAATAAATACAATTGAATAAAAAAACACCATACAACAACCAAACAACTAACCTACCTTGTAACTTAAACGTATTGGGAAGCCAGGAATTTTAATATACAAGAATACATTGTTCTGACGAGCTCTTTCCTGTTATGCACAAATCAATAATGAAGGCAGAAAAGGAATTACGCGGATACAATTCAAGTGAAAGAATTTATTCCCATAATTTATTCAGAACAAAATATTTAGAGCGAACAATTGTTTTCAATAAATTCTTCTTCAGGCTCTACAATTATAAATCCATTAATGTAAGCATACAATAGCCAGTAAAGGCGAATTAGAATCATATCAGAAAGTGTATTGTGGAACAAGTATAAGATGGGATGAAACAATAGTCATATAGTCATATAGTTTTTTTAATATGCATGGTCAATAACAACATGGGACAGAATGAGATGAAATAATTTAATTTAATGATGTGTGTATATATATAAATATATTTAACAGAAAATACAGGTTTCAAGAGTGAGTGTAATCAGGGTGTGTGAGGCAATATGAAAATAAACCAACGAATGGGGCGGTCGAGACTAAAGTTCAAGGTTGAAAATAACAACAATAAGAATGATTGTAAAATAATAACGATGATATGGTGTAAAATTAAAATTAAATGTACTATTGGTGAATGATTGTCAAATAATAATAATGAATATAATGAAGTGGAATGAACAGGATTTTGTAAATACGATAGCAAGTTAGGAAAGCACTATTTAAACCTAAGGTAATAAAATCATAAGAAAGGTCATGAAATCATAAAAGTCGAAAATGAACGTTTGTCAATGAAACAGAGGAATAGAAGAAGGAAAAGAAAAGAAAATTGTGAAAGGAATTTATAGTGTTAATGGAGGATTTGTTGACTTTATTGTAGGCCAAGGTAAACATAGAGGTTGAACATACTTCTTCTGTATGCAGAGGGATGGTCTTCTGGTATTAGTTGCAACTGCTTCAGCTACTGATAGAAGACGTAGTCGAGCTCCTCTAGATAAATTACTAGGAACGCGGTAAATAACTGAGAACACTTGGTCAAGTTTTATCGGGTGTCCAGTATCTACCAAGTGGGCTAAGACTGCATTATTTATGCCTTTGGTTACTCCTTTACTCAACCATACAGGTACATGTTCACGTGCGCGCATGGATAAAGCCCTCTGAGTACGGCCAATATAACTAGCTCCACATGAGCAGTTGAATTCGTAGATGCACATTGATGAGGCCATCTTTGGTAATTTATCCTTTACTTGCTGTGTGAGTACTGGTTTAGTTGAGAAGTTTAGTACCAATTTAGCTGCGGGAAATGTTCTATCTATTGCTCTATTGAGTCGACACTTTAGAATGTCAGCTGCAATTTCCCCTTTGTAACTTAACTCAAGATACAAAGGTTTCTTGTCTACGGTATCCACCTTTACCCTGTCTATAGGTATTGACATATACTTTTTTAGGAAGCTCTGTGGATATCCATTTTCTTGCAGTTTCATCCCATCTTACTTATACTTGTTCCACAATGCACTTTCTGATATGATTCTAATTCACCTTTACTGGCTATTGTATGCTAACATTAATGGATTTATAATTGTAGAGCCTGAAGAAGAATCTATTGAAAACAATTGTTCGCTCTAAATATTTTGTTCTAAAAGAATTTAATCATGACAATCACTAAAATTAATTTCAATGTATTATATCGTCATTAACCGATATCAATTTAGAAATCATGGCGAAAATATGCAACACAGTAGATAACTTGTAAAAAATTATATTTGTAAAATCTCAGCGATATAATTTTTTACAAATGTCTACTTCTCACTCGGCGCCCAAATATTTTAGAACTATTCTGTCAAATCTTGACTACAGTTCATTTGACAGTAGATAACTGTTTCGTATGACTTTAAACCTCTTCAGTAGTACGAACGCATGGCTTCATTTGGGATTGAATGAAATGATAAGCAGTGATGAAGAGTCACAAACCCTGGCGAAACAGCTGTCCAGTCCACTCAATGGTTCTATAATTGAAATTTAAATCTAGAAACCTGAAATCCGACTACTAGTCATTCTTGTCATCGATGTCATCAATCCACTGAAGTTAGACAGATCAATACTCAGTCGTTAATTTCCGTTATCCTTTGAAGCCACAAAAACAAAGAAAACTTGTATATCTCCATTATGGATAAAATTTTATTTTGATAAAATCACATAGTGTTGTTATGCAGTAAGTAATATTCACTGATGATCATCTTTCGAACACAATTTATTACGATTCTCAATCATATCAAGGTACTCACACAACTTTCCAACACAACTCCGCTTATACAGTTCCATTATTTCTCATCTCTTGATTTGATTGGTAGTAGTATTTTTCATATTTCTGGTAAGGGTGATGAATCATTCCTATTGCACGTGTTAGATGTAGACTTGATGAACCAGGATTCAGGAATCAATCTCTCTCCACCCACCTACCCTATAATACTTTTTAGAACTTTAACTCTGTTCCACCGAATCTATTTTGTGGTTCTGTGTTAATGTATGCAGTGCAATTGCTGAGTACTTTTCTAAATTACTTATCCTCACGGGGTCAATCATTCTAGCCTTAGATAAATTCTTACGTTCTGACAGGTAATCTCACAACTCTAGGATCTACTAGTTTGACCTATGCAGTTGACCTAAGTCACAGTCATTGCAAGTTATTTTGTAAATTATATTATTTTGTCTAATTGGGTTTACCAGTTCCTTTTAGTTTACAGAGTGAGTTTGTAGGTTTAAATGCCACCCTAATTCCTGCTTTATTCAGAATCCTACGTAGGGTTTCAAATGTCCCCTCCTTATATAGGAAAACTTGAGACGCCTTACATTCTCTCTTATTTATGCTATGTTATCATTATTAGTTCCATCATTATTTTTATTTTGCTTTTGACCTTTCCTGATCTTCTTAATGTCTATCTGTCCGTTTTCGACATAGAACTTTGCACCGATGTGCAGCAGTTCAAGTCACCACACTCCATGTAGCACACAAAGCATGAGAAGAAAGTAGAAGAAGCCTGACCCTATGTCAGCTAACATTGCCCGTCCATCGAGGAAGGCAATGGACTAGGCATGCGTAACACATGTCCTAACCATCTCAGTCTTTGTAACTTCACAGCCTCGTCGATTGATTTCCCATCCCACCTACCTACCACTCGATGCCTAACCTCAATATTCCTCACCTTATTATACCACTTCACACGGAAGATAGAACGCAGGTACTCATGATCACAGAGAGCTAGTCTTTTCATGTCTTCTACTCTCAATGGCCAAGTCTCACAGTCATAAAGGAGGACGGAGCGGACTGCTGAGCAGTACACCCACCCTTTAGGTGAACTTAATAGGATAGTTATTTGACACTAATGCCTCTTCTATCTATTTTATTTCGTCGTTTAGGTCTTTTCTTGTGCTAATTAATGCTACTACTCGGTTTGTTAAACACTTAACTAAGCCCGTCTTAACAGTAAACGGATGAGATGAATTAGAGTCTAAATACCTGTTAGCAGAATGCGTTGACTCTCTATAAATATATACATAATGGACTTAAACTCTACCACAGTGCCCAATTTTTATTTTCATATGTATAAAACTTGTGTATTTCTTTATGCAATTTAAATCAGCACAAGATTTATATTTAAAAAAATTTTTTTGATTACAGCTTGATTCCACACCGTATGTTTTGGTACAAGTATGGAATTTTCAGCATGGATATCGGTAGCCCAAATTCTGCAAGCCGACCATAGATATCAGGTGTGCGTCGGCAGGGGATCAAACCTCGAACCATGTGCAGGGTCGGCGAGAGTCCTAACCACTGTGCCACTGAGGCAAAGCGTTCACGAATCTGTCTTCAGTTGTTTGAGTTCCGAATGGATCGTACGGCTTGAGACTTTAAAGTTCCACCAGTGATGTTGGTGGTGTTTATTTTACAAATTGGAGTGTTACTAGTCTCACACATCTTCACTCTTTCCTGGACTTATTGCTCTATTAATAAACTGGATGTCTGTTATCGGGAATTCTACCTCCGACAACGAGCACTCTACCAGGGAATCACCACCGCGAACGCATCATCGACTAGTAATTCCTAATCTTTCAGTTTCAACTTAATGATGGTAATGGTAAGAAAAATAAGAGCTTGATTCTGTACAATACTTTCTGAGTAGTACATAATCCCCAGTATTCTACTGCAAAACAATAACTTGTTATGCGGAATTTTCAGGTAAAACATTAATCGATAGCATGTTAAGTAGTGTGTGAGTAAGTGTGGGCCGCACTGTTGTGCAGACACACACCAACCAATGATACTGGGGGGTAATGGGATTATAAGTCACCAAATGAGGGAAGTTACAATTTATCGGCAGACCATACAACTTCACTTCGTAACTACATGCCTTAGGTTCGACTCCCAGCGGCGATTGGGTGAAGAATCCCGAACCAGGATGAAACGACTGTCCGGTAGGCGCTGGTTTCAAACACTAGTTTCTCTAACTGATCTCAATCCATGATCTAATCTTCTGGAAATCTACAAAACTTGAAAAGAAAAAGTGAACACTTACCCTCATCACATCGACTGGATTCAATGGGATTGAAGTATTAGCATTATTATTATTGTTAATCTGATTCATAGCCTGTTCAATTGTTACAGATCTATAATCCATTGGATTATATGCTGATGTTATCATTTGATAAGAAGGATGACCACAATGATTACTACTACCAGTTATCAAATGCGGTGGTATACAACGTGTGCATAAATTAATATGTGATTGAGGTTCTTCTCTGTGTGTTCCTCCCATCATCATCATTCTCATTAATAAGAGATCTGTATTATCAGAAGGAGAATAACAGGCTTTCATGCTTTCAGGATTCAATTGACTTGATAATCCACTATTTGTTGTATAGCCCATTTGTGTAAGGAGTAAATGTTCTTTGGATTGATAATCTCCACTGAAAAATCAATCGAAAACATTGAAAAAGAAACCAACAAATGAACTATAGAGATGAACTAAGAGAGATGTAAAAGAATGCCATAATTTAAAGAAAAATAAGATAATTTGAATTTTGCAAGGATTAGAATTATTATTATTATTATTATTATTATTATTGTTTTTTTGAGTTCCTAGAAGAACATAGGACTTCAGCCGCATGTTTCCAGTTCCTTCGGTTCTCCACCAACGTTTTCACCTGGCTCCACATCTTCCCAAATGCTTTCATCTCCTCTTCGTATCACCTCCTCCATGTCACCCTCTCACACTGAAGACCAACTCACCGCTTACCATTCGGCTTCCACTCGAGAAATGGCCTTGCATATGGTGTAATTTGATAGTTTGTTTCCTCAACGTATGGCCAATCCACCTCCATTTCTTTCTGAATATTTGTTGCACAATTCGTTCCTGCTGGGTTGGTTGGTTCGCTCCCAGAGATACCTGTTGCTAACCTTTTCTGACCAGCCATCTGATCTTGAGTAGTATTGAGCGAAGACAGTTGTTAATGAAAGTCTGTACTTTGTTCAAAGTCCCCTTCGTGATGCGCTAAGTCTCTCATCCGTATAGTAGTACTTACCACAGATTGGAGTTGAAAACCCGGGTCCTATTTTTCATGTTGAATGCTGTTGGTCTCCTCACAGACTTTATCGATCCTTGCTTTGATATCCTCCTCAGTTCCATCCGTCTGTACTTGAAACGATGGTTCCCAGGTAGATCGGTAGGTAAAGGAGGTTGCCTCATTCAGATTCCTCCCAATTATGCTGATTGTTAATTGCTGTTGCTGTTGGCCAGGAATCTTCATCACTTTTGTTTTCTTTACGTTCACCTGAAGGCCTATCTTTGATGCTTATTCTACCAACCTGTTCCTTTTCACTTGCATATCTTCGTTTGTGGGAAATCAGACATACATCATCATGGGCAAGATTTAGATCCTCCAAGTTTTTAGTGTGGGTCCATTTTATGCCTGTCTCCTCATTATCCGCTGTCTGTCACATTATCCAGTCTACTACAATCAAGAAAATCATTGAAGATAGTAGGTAGCCAGCCAGCTTGTCTTACTCCTGTCTTCACTTTGAAGGATTCCATGGGTTTCCTGGTGTGGATTACTTGAATTAGCATTAATTTAAATTTAAATTACGTCACGAGCAAACATTAGTCACAGATCACTGGAAACCTGGGAGTACAGTGAATAGCCGTCTCGTCTTAGTTTGCAACTACTCAGAAGTCTGCTCTAACGAGCTTGATATCTTGAAGTTACCAGGTTAGGTTCATTGGCCATTCAACCACTTGAACTTGTGTTACTTGCTGTTATAGCACTACGGCTACACCAAATATGGAAGTTAGAATCCATAAGTCATTCACCGCCAGTCTATTCGGTGGTTGAGTGGTCAGAGTGCTTGCCCTCGAAACCTAATATGATCATCGTAGGCGAGTCCCAAAACAAGGACAAGACGGCCAACCAATTATCCTATTAATTTTCAAATCTTTTCTGATAAAACTTGAAACTAATCAAATTCCTGAAAAAAAAACACCAACACTTGAAAATTTACAGAATACACAAAGAAAGGAGGATATTTCGATCAATAAGCCTAATATGAAGGATGATCATCAATAAGATGTTGTATCATTAAGGGGGAATTTTAAACGGATAGACAATCCTAATTCAAACATTCTCTTATATGAATAAGTAAGACAGTAGATCACCTGAACTAGTTTCACAAGGTAGTTTACAAAAAGTAAATGGACCGAAAACTTTATCGGTGCTTAAGATGCAGCATTCTGGGGATAAAATTTACTTGTGATGAAGTTAACATTTATCAGAGTATCATCACTCTCAGGAGAACAGATGTTAAGAGATCATGAGTCTTAACGGCTACTGATAGTATTGAATACAGCTCAATATTGTTATTGAAATTCGGCTACTCAGAAGATATATCAGGCCTTTCGATATAATATTAATAATAAGCAATGAGGAAGAAGTGCGTCGGTGGCACAGCGGTTAATACGCTCGCCCCCCAAGCACATGGTCTGGGATTCGATCTCCGGCCGACTAGGCACTCCTTTACCTCGCTAAGCCGGAAATAATGCTGGTAAAGAGGAAAGGTTGGGCATGAGGCTAGCAACCCCATCCTGTAAAAATGAACACTGCTACAGAAACTTCAAGCCTGTAGCTTGAAGCCCTATGTACCACTGGGAACTTGAAGGAAAGAAAAAAAATGGGGAAGAATAATAAAAATTTTGATTACCACTAATGTCAAGTCAGTTTAGCACTTCTATATAGCGTCAAGAGACTTGATGCACACTTCGTCGAAAACACTTCCAACAAGATACTGCTGCACATTTTCACTAACAACTGCTCATATTGGCGGTAGTGCGATACTGAAGAGCAGATGACCCGGACAGAAAGGATTGGAAACAAGGAAGTCTGGCAGGCAGCGAATCAACCAAGAATCTATCGCCTAACAAATATGTAGGGGGAAATGGGGATTGATTTGACACTCGCTGAGGAGACTGCCGAGTCAAACCATAGAGTGGAACCCCAATGGAAGATGACGAGTCAGGAGTCCAAGGGTGATTTGGAGCAGATGAAAGGTTATGGGCAACCGTGAAATCAAGTAAAAGTCACTGCAGAGGCAGGGTAAAATAGAGATGTATTGGAGAAGCTCTATGTTCTGCTCGGAACCTAAAAGGAACAATAATAATTAATAATACTGCAAACTTTTCCTTCGCTCGATACTGAAGATCAGAAAGGATAAATGACAAGGAATTTCACCAGACAGCGAACCATTCGTGGTTCATCTAATGAATATACATAATCTGATGCTCGCTAGTGACTGGCTGGCTACGGGACAAAGATACCTGAAATCCTGTTGAGAAGTTGTGACCAGTGGAGTACATCCGGTCGGAAGTGAGGATGGAGTTCCCGCCAATGACATTGGTTGGTGGTCGCGCTGAATCACAATTTGCTAGAAGTTAGAATCTGGTCCCAGTGGCTGAATGGTTTACGAGCTTGCCTAGTAACTGGAAGGTCCTGGGTTCGAAACCCAGTGGGTGCATACTGTCAATGTGTCATAAACGAGAACGAAACAGCTATCCAGTATTCTAGTGCCGGTTTTCAAATGGTTCTCTAGCTGACATCAACCCATGATCTAACCTGGAATATACAGAATAAAATCAAGGTGGATCGGACATACACTGAGGAGATATTCAAGAGAAATCGCATGTCACGTAGTCGAGTAGAGCTCGGATAAGAAGCGATGAATTAGTCGTCCGATACTGATATGGGGAAGATCATATGAGGAGAAGGATGAAGAAAAAACGTGGGCAATCGTAGAGCAGCTAGCTGAAAGTAATAACAAAGAACCAAATGGAATGAAGATGTGTGTGCCACTGAAGCGCTATGCTCCATTGAGAATGCCAACAACACAGTCAACACGATAACCCTGTAAGATACAGTATTCTATGCCGGTGTTATATATGTTACTATTCGAATCATTAGGACTTACCTTTGAAGAGAGAATTTCCGTCTCATATTTATCTTTTGTAATAAACTATTAGGTAATAAGAAGGTCGATGAATTGACTGTATCATTCACCCATTCATCATCGTTTACACTACAATAATTTCGTCCAGAGATAGCAGCTTCTATAGTCAAATTAGACGGTGATTGAAGTTTTGTTAATGCTGACACAGCTACTGGGGTTGTTTTTGACGCGGACAATGGTGATGACCGTGATAGTGGTAGAGATGACAACGATGAGGTATTATCAACGGTATTATCCATCGGTTGAGAGGATTTCTGAGAAATATTTAACTGTTGACCTGCTTCATTCTCATTGATGTTTACTGCACCACCAGCAGGAACACCACTACTACTGGCAGTTGTTTGTTGACGATGTGGAAAATACCTGGACAGATAACGCCGAATCCATGATTTACGCGACATAATCATATTGTCAACGGATGGATCTAAGAAGTCTATAAATAATAAAAAGAGGGGAGACAAGAAAAGAATAAAACGAAAAACAAATTTGATATTGCCAACCTCCCCCCCCCACCACCACCAGCCCCGCTTTTTCTAACTTAAACATAAACTGAACAACACAACAGCTGATCACAATGCTTTCACTGATCACTGGGTAGCAGCCAATGTTAGGCAACTATAATCTTTGGTAATCAATTGTTGGTTTGCAGGGATTTGACTGGTTTCAGGATTGCATCATGAGCTGACATCGGTTAGAGAATTATTGGAAAACCACCAGAGCGTACTGGACAGCTACTTCGTTCTAATTTGAGACACTTCGACGATACACACCCTGCGAACCAACAGTTGTATATTAATCTAGAGCTCACTAGCGACTGGTCCTATTCAGGCAGGTAGGTAGTTAATTGCCTGGGTTCTAGTAGGAAGTCGTGACCAGTAGGGTAGAGCAGGTCGGGTGTGAGAACAAATACTCGCAAAAGATTACATTGGTTAGTGATGGTGTTATATCGTGAATTGGCAGAAGTTGAAATTCCGACTTTGCTCTGATCTGATCTGCAGTGAAGGTATCCCTTGTAGTTTTGTCCTACAATTTCTGAATATTGAACTTGGACCTGTCGCGAGATGTTTTCAGGGATTTTAGCTTCACCTTAAAGGTTCCTTGAACTAGATGATGATCTGAGTGAGACCACATCTGCCCCCCTTTTCGACTTCGTGTCTAGCAGGCTGTCTCCACTTCCTTGACCAGTATTGAGGTGAAGTGTATCTGGTTTGTGGTGTGTCCGTCAGGCGAAACTCATGTTGCTTGTGTATATCCTTGTGCTTGTACACGCTCTCTCCGATCACCAAATCATTGGAAGCGCAGAAGTCTGCGAATAATTTTCCGTCCTCATTCAATTCACCAAAAGCCTCTCGACCCTTGATGAGTTCTCTTCGTCCATTATCTGCTCCCAGTTTATCATTCAGATCACGCATGAGGATCTTGATATCACCACTTTGGATGTTATCCAGTACGGTTTGTATTTGTCTATATGAATCTTCCTTCTTCTCTTGTTCTGCGTTGTTTGCAGCATTGTCCGTAGCATTGGGTAATTGTGACCTTTCTCGCTTTTCAGTTGATTGCTTTCATAATCCTGCAAGAGGAGATGTGTTCCCAACGCACTAGGGCTTTAGCTACCAGTGGTGACATCATGATAGCCACTCACTGCCTCAGTGTACTCGTTGTTGTCACCTGGGCGCCTGGAGTAGATTAATGACCCACTAACTACCAATGTTGACAATCCACATCCATTCCATCTGCTCTCGAAAATACCCGGAATTTCTATACCATATCTTCTCATTTCTTTGAGCTATCTGGGCAATCCTTCCAGCTTCGTAAATTGTACGGGCATTCCACGTCCCTATTATTATTCTTGCTTCCAATGAGAGAAGACACGTCGGCTGGATGACTGGCTTCCCGAAGGCTTTCACCAACCGCTGTGTCATTTCGCATTTCTGATTCCAGTAAAGAATACGTTTTTCTATATTTTTAAATATTTTTATTGTGCACCGAAGTTTCTGTAGCAGTTTTATTGGTTTTGTGGAGTAAAGGTGCTAGCCCCATCCCTAACCCTCCCTCTTCTTTACCCAGGCTTGGGACAGGCTAGAAAAGTGGCGAGCTGGTATAAACTAGGCAAGGTTAGTTAGCTCAGAAAATACAACCATATCAAAAACGTACACATTTATCTATGTACGCAGGTATACAAAAACTTACTCTGGCTATCTGGATTTGATTCTAAAGGATGATAGGAACTATCACTACTGCCCACACCCACACCAACACCAGCACCCCCACCACTCAATGCATTTGAATTCATGCATTCATACTGTAATAAATTCAGAAATTGTTGTGATGATCCAGACGGATTGATCATTAAACCAGTATTGGTTAGTGCGTCTTAAAATAAAACAAAACAGAACATATATTGCATACAATGTATATTACGTAATCATAAGTAATACAAATGCATAAGTAAATAAATAAATAAACACCTCTGGCATTAAGCAGCTGCAGATAGACAACATAAAGAAAGAACCTGAACTAAATTTTTTAAACTAGTTGGCAATTCTGAACCTTCCTAGCTCTATCGATTTTAACCGAACTTATCCGCCTACCCTCCGCCCCGTGTTGGAAAAATTGGATGGTATGTGTGAGTTCGATAAAACCAACACATTAGAGTTGATGACAAAGCTAAACTTTACACACCGAAGAGGTGAGACCGCACCAATGACCTTGGAATGCTCGACCAGTAAGTTTGTGAAACCAGGTTAATATTATCATATTCATGAACAAAATATGTTTAATGAAGTGCTGTAATCTTAAACGGGATATCTGGTGAGTTTTAGATTAGGTATGAGAGACTGAGTTAAGCGGTAAAGTTAAACTTTAACCACCACTAACTACCGCCAATCAGCGGATGACCTTGGGCGCACCAATCACATTAAGGGGTCATTTTTCGGTATGCAATACACATATGCATGGAAAAAAATGCACTAAAACTGTATAAAAGTCTTACAGAGGATACCTTTCTCTAACATACGATGAAAACATCTCCCAGTTTAGTAGCATAGGAGTATCAATGGGATTGTTACACCACATCCCATACATATATTCATGTAAATGACTATAAATGACATCCGTTTGAGATACATTAATGGCTGTAATCCTGTTTTTCAACCTTTCCCAACAGCTTTCGACAGAATTGGTGTGGGTCGTTGTAATGGGATCCACGAAATCATTGGAATGGTTGACTTCGTGGTGATTACATCCAAGGGATGAGGGAGAATTACAACATTTCCATTCCTCTGTGTGTATTATATATCCTTGTTTCACCAGTCGAGTGATAATACGTATTAATGCAGCTGTTTTCCTGTCTGCTATCCTCTCGACGAATCCTTTCTGTAGAGAGGTGTCAAATAAGCTAATGACCCAAATATTGTTTGGTCGTTCACGACCATGGTTGTATTTTTTTCTTCAATAAGATAGTTTCATCCACGTTTATGATGACACCTTCTCCTCCCAATAACGAATTAAGCCTCCTCATTTTCGATGGGGCGATGTCTCTGCAGTGATGGTGCCACTGAACTGTTGACACAAGACTATTTCCAGTTTCAGCAACTGCACCTCTCACAGGCTATTTTAAAACTGATTAATTACAAACATAGAAAATCTATCAAATGAACTGTAGTCAAGATTTGCCCAACCGAAAGCTGCTACCTTGACGTGGTGGTCGGGCTTGAACACCGCAATCACCTAATCAAGCTATACTGGCTGAGACTTATGTCTCTTGAGGTTCTACCATGCCAGGCAGGTTGTTTGGATAGCGGTTAAACAAAAAGCAGCTACCCAATCCAACATCATGTCCAATACAAAATTACAAAATTTCATGCTGGATCGGCCGTGGCCCGGATTAACAACGACTGCGCTTCCTGCTGCCGTGTCACAGGGCGGGAGTGATAAATCTGCTACTGAGACACACCAAACAAAAAAGAACGAACAAAAACAGGCCGCGTGTGACCGGCCTCAAGCAGTTGTCCCCTGGGCTCTGTGGTCACGCAACCAACTTCCACGGTGTGGACAGCCGGGAAGTAACAATCGCCCTCACAATCCGAAATGCACACGAAACCTCTCTATTACTCACTCATCTTTGTCTTCATCTTCATCTCTATCATCTTGCCTTCCTTCCACTGATGCAACTCCTCGACTTGATAGCTCTCCACTTCCTCTCCACTCTGCGTCCACTAAAAACGATGGAAGCCAAAAAACCACCACCGACAGCCTCTTAAAGCCGCGCCACCAATTTCATATAGGAGCTCTTAATGTTAGGACACTTTGCCAAATAGGACAACAAGCATCACTAGCCAAGACCCTGGCATCACGAGCCATTGATGTATGCTGTGTTTCAGAAACACGCATACAAGACCCAAGTGTGGTTATTCACCTAACCCCACCTGGCCAACAGGATGAATCTTCAAAATTCACCTTGAGGGTGTCAGGAGATGCCACAGCCAGTTCACGAGGATTAGCTGGCGTAGGGATAGCTTTGAGTACTAGGGCAGAAAAGACATTGCTTGACTGGATCCCGGTAGATAGCCGAATGTGTGCTGTCCGCCTGAACGGATCAGTAAGAAGGAGGAAGGACTGCACTACTCGCCGATGCCTTTTCGTAATCTCCGCCTACGCCCCCACTGACTGCAGTTCAGATGAAACGAAGGATGAGTTCTACCAAAAGCTGTCTAGTTTGGTGGGAAAGGCTAAACGCTCAGACATAGTCGTTCTAGCTGGTGACTTTAATGCTCAAGTAGGGAAATTGTGTCAATCTGAGAAGGATGTCGGTGGCACCTATGGAGTTCCGTGCCAGGTCCTCCGTCACTAACTGAGGTTACTAAAGCTGTCACCAATCTGAAACTAGGCAAAGCAGCGGGACCTGATGGAATGACGCCAGAGGTATTTAAGTACGGTGGAGACAGCTTACTGTCTGCATTAACTGAGGTACTAGGCAGCGTCTGGGAATCAGAAGAAGTCCCATCGGGTTGGTGTAAGTCACTGATTATCCCCATATACAAGAAGGGAGACAAGTCTTCCTGTGATAATCACAGAGGGATTAGCTTGACTAATATAGTATCTAAAGTCTTAGGCTCAATAATCATGCGTAGACTGAGTGGTGCTCGGGAAGCACAAACACGAGAGAGCCAGGCAGGCTTTAGACCAGGAAGAGGGTGTATTGATCATATCTTCACCCTCCGACAGATTCTAGAACATAGGCATTCCTACCGGCGTCCAACAGTCATTATATTTCTTGACCTAAAGGCAGCATTCGACTCTGTCGATCGGGAAGTTCTCTGGAGATGCTTGGCTGTAAAGGGAATTCCGAGAAAATATATTGCACTGATTAAGGCACTCTACTCGTACTCATACAGCCAGGTGAGGGCTTACGGCGAGCTGTCATCTGAACTGATGACGACCAGTGGTGTCCGTCAAGGATGCCCATTATCTCCTTTTCTATTCAACTTCATCATAGATGTGTTAATGGACTTAACCCTAGGTGACTTCAGCGACTCAGGGATTGACTTGCTACCGGGGAATAATCTCGTTGACTTGGAATATGCAGACGATATAGTCCTTCTAGGCGAAGACGCTGACGAAATGCAGAGTCTTCTAAACACCTTGAGCCGCAATCTACGAATGTTTGGCATGCGATTCGCTCCCGCCAAATGCAAGATGATGTTACAGGACTGGACTACATCGACGCCTAGTTTAAAAATAGGAAGTGAAGTGGTAGAGCACGTTGACCGCTTCACTTATTTGGGAAGTACCATCAGCCCCAACGGGCTGATCTCTGACGAAATCTCAGCACGAATACAAGGGGCTCGTTTCGCATTTGTTAGTTTACGCCGACTCTGGCGTAGACGAGATGTTCGACTATCGACCAAAGGGCGGGTGTACTGCTCATCAGTCCGCTCCGTCCTCCTTTATGGTTGTGAGACCTGGCCACTGAGAGTGGAAGACATGAAAAGACTAGCTGTCTTTGATCATAGGTGCCTGCGTTCTATTTCCCGTGTAAAGTGGCATAATAAGGTGAGCAACATGGAGGTTAGGCGTAGAGTTCTAGGTAAACAGGGGAAATCAATCGACGAAGTCGTGAAGCTACAAAGACTGAGATGGTTAGGACATGTGTTACGTATGCCAAGCCATCGCCTCCCTCGACGAGCAATGTTAGCGGATATAGGGTCAGGCTGGAAAAAAGCTAGCGGCGGTCAAACAAAAACTTGGCATCAGTCAATGAAATCCACAACAGTTGGTCTAAGCCACGTAGGAAGGTGTAGACTTCCAGGCTGGGGTCCTCGGGACGGTAAAAATCTATGGTTGGAAACAATTGGTGACATGGCTCAAAATCGTTCTCAGTGGCGCAGATGCATCCACTCCCTGTGACTTATGATCTCCAATGAAACTGTTTTGTATTTCTTTATTACTCCTTTGTCTCACACCTCTGCTCACTGTTTCTATTATGCTTTTCTTGTACTTTCTTCTCTTGCTTCGCGTGCTACACGGAATGTGGCGACTTGAACTTCCGCACATTTGTGCAAAGTTCTATGTCGAAAACAGACAGAGAGACAGTCAAGATTTGACAGAATAGTTCTATAATATTTGGGCGCCGAGTGAGAAGTAGACATTTGTAAAAAATTATATTTGTAAAATCTCAGCGATATTGAAATGAGTAATTCCAACGTTTCGTTCGGCAATCTGGTCCGAACTTCTTCAGGGAAATTAATCGAAATTAACATAACAGGTTTATATATAAAAGGAACATATTTAGTTTTTAAAAACTTTGTCCAATCATGATTTATAAAACAAGCATTCTGCTGCAGACACCGGAGAGTGGAAACACAATGATTGTGCCAATTACATACTTTCTTTGTTAATTTAATTCGATTACAGAATGCGTATCCTAAATTCGTAGCTGTCCAGTCACCTGACAACTTCAGTAGGTCGAATAAAGCAGCTCAATTTTCAGAAAGAAGACAATGTAATAAGTTTGACGGGGTTGTTCAACTAAACTCTAATCCTAAACACCATAATTTTGAAAATACGTCTAATCATAAAATTCTAGATACTAACAGTTTGAACAGACATGAAGGTGTGATGTTAGATGACGCATAGGAAATCCTGATTAATAAATAAGAATGGATATGTATCACTAACTAATAATACTTGGTCAAAGTTTCCCGACTGTCTATATCTACTTATGGAGACGTTAGGACATTGTTTTACAACTGTTTATCCACACACACACACACACACACACATACACACTGTGTTTAAAGTGTTCAACAAAGGTAGATCAATATTTGTAAGTCTGAGGTCAAATTTTGTTTATTATACTTGTTAATATTTGTTTTATAAATCATGATTGGACAAAGTTTTTAAAAACTAAATATGTTCCTTTTATATATAAACCTGTTATGTTAATTTCGATTAATTTCCCTGAAGAAGTTCGGACCAGATTGCCGAACGAAACGTTGGAATTACTCATTTCAATATCGCTGAGATTTTACAAATATAATTTTTTACAAATAGAAAATCTAGGTTGAGGACAAGTGGGACCTGATAACAAATTCTCCTTGCCTTCTCTGGCAGTAACTCGTCTCAAACAAATTGCACAACGATGGACATATCCATCAACTGACCCGCTGAAGCTTTTTATAGCCATCACACCTCCATATGAAAAAAAAATCTCTTTCCTAATCAACCTGACATCTAAGCAACTACTGGAAAACTTGATCCTCAGTAAACTGCAAACGCAACTGTGTTAGATCAGGTATTTGACTTGAATCAACTTATGTGGGTGAAAGACATTGGTGGACCATTCAGGGTCATTCGTTGATTGGTAGTTAATGATGCTTACAGTTTAACTTCGCCCAATTCAGTTTTAGGCTGAGGAGGCCAAGTTAGAATCAATTCACATTTAAACAAATATCAACTGACCATTCATTTGATTGGATAGTATAATTGAATGATTATTCATAGAACTATTTATTGTAGTTGTAGGAGCAGTGGCAGCGGCAGCAGGATGAGTACTACTAGCAGTAGAAGTTGTTGCTGCTGCTGTTGTCGTTGTTGTCGCATTTGATTCCTCAGATTTTTCAGGGAAGAAAAATGGCATCATTATACGATAGAATTGTTTACTCATCTAAGAAAACAAAGAAAAACAACAAACAACAAACAGAACTGATATGACATCATTAATACACTTCATGGCAAGAGTAAACAATAAACACAAAAGTCAAGTGACCTTGGTTCGGCCATTCAGACTGCTCAGCATTACAAATGGATACTACCTGTTAATATATATTGCCCGTAAAACTAGCGAGTCTTACCGAGTAACAAAAGTAATACTGGCGCGCTATTAAAACTTCACATTTTTAAGCCCTATGTATGTGTGTATGGATGGATGGATGGATGTTCCACTGGGAAAGTAAGGAATAGTTTTTATTTACCTGAAGTACAATCGGTGCAACACTAATTTCCATAGCTTCTTTGACAGATATTCCACCGACGGGTGCTAAAGCAGAACACGCAATGCGTAGTATAGGTCCTCCGGCATATCGTCCACCAGAAACATCAGGTGCTAAAACTTCCTGTGAGAGGATACAAAAAAGAAATGAAAGTTTGTTCAAAAATTCTTTAGAGAATTTACGAAGCAAGTATTACAAAATGGGTGGCATTTATTATTATTATTATTATTCCCTTGGGTTCTAAATGGAACATACGGCTAGCTTCAACAACACGTCTTCACTTTCTTCTATTCCTTGCTGTCCTCTTCATCTGGCTAATTCCACAATCGCCCATAATCTGTCATCTCCTCCTAGCCACACGATCTAACCTATTTCACCCTCGCACCGATGACCCATTGTATCACAATGGGAAGCGGGCAGTTGGCGACGGCCTGGAGTGCGCGCCATATCACTCGACAACCTTCTCAACGTATGTTCAATCAATCCATCTCCATTTTCTCCTTCATATTTGTTGAGAGATCGGCTCTCACCTATTGATTTGTTCCACTGCAGACTTTCTTGTTGCTAATTCTCTATGGCTGGCCGGCCGGCAATTCTATCTTCAGTATGCAACCAGCCAGCCAGCCAGCGAAGGAGGAAGCTGCCGATAAAAGTCTGCTGCACACCAGTGGAAATCCTTCTAGGTGACACGCTGACCAAGTTTCTGACCCGTAAAGAAGAACCGACAGACTGACGTAACATTTGTGTTGAAAAATTCGAATCTTGTTCTTTATTCTGGCTGGCTGAGTGCAGAAGATTTCCAGACAAGTTTCAGGTTGATGAAGGCGTATCTTGCCTTTCCGATTCTAGCTGGCTGGCTGTCTTTGACATCTTGATCTGTGCTGTCCCACTGCCTGTAGTTGAAATAATGCCTCCAAAATAGATGGCATAAAATATACCAGTATAAAATATTGTAAAACTTTATAAATACAACAGGGTTAAGATTGGATGCGCGGGATAAAACAACATCCAACAACTTTAAATAGAAACCCATCAGCTACTATTCAATTCAACCGCTTGAAGTTAGCAATGGGATATAATCTGTTGGGTATGTGAGGGGACTGGCGGCGACACAACGATCTGGTTGCCACAATCTTAGTAGATGAGAGAGACAAGGTTCGCAAATCGACTGGGTAACACAGCTCATCAAACATCCAGCTTTTATATGTTCTCTACTAACGATAGCATATACGATATATAGTTAATACTAACCGAAATTAGGCCTGAAGAAGTGTTAAGGTCAGGGGTGCGAGACAAGTAGTACCACTGTTACAAAAAACGTCAAAACTTGCAGAAAAAATGAAGCTGAACTCACTTTATAAAAAGAATTCGGTGCTAGACTAGAAACACGTATCCAGCCTAATTCTAAACGATGTGAACCAGAATCATCTTGACGATTAATTTTTGTATAAATAAAACCACGTAATTCAACATCAGCTAAACCGATTTGTCCATCATGCTCAGTCATACGCCATCTTGCATGCTCAAAACAAACCTTGAATTATAGAAGATAAGAGAAGAATTAATTTTTAACACTAGATTATGCTAAATAGTATTTTCAACAGAAGAATTGATTTAATATTATTATTATTATTACTATTCGTGTTATGCTTTCAGAGTGGAACACCAAGCTTCAGTGGCACACATCCACTGCACTTAGTTCTCCACTGTCACTTTTAGCTGGCTCCACAATGGATGAAAAGCCTTCATCTCCAATTCACGCAATCTCCTAAATGTCACACACACTCAATTCATTGCTTTTCGTTCTGGTTGTAATCTAGGGCCTGGCACTTGATACCACTTCATTATCTCTCCAACTTATATCCATTCAAGTCCGCCTCTATTTCCTTGTGATTATCTGTTACATAATAAGTTGTTGGTTCGTTTGCCACTCGTCAGAGTTCCTTGATACTTATGCTTTTCTAGCCGAGGGGGGGGGGGCTGTCACCTTATATTCAGTACGGAGCGAAGTGGGTAGGTGTTGATGAAGGTGTGTAACCTGTTCAAAATACCTTTCGTAACGCGAACAGTGAGCTTTTGAACTACATGAAACATTGACTTGATAATACTGTTAAAAATAAGGATCTTATTCATTATGCGAAGTGTTGTCCATTTCTACATCGATTTTATTCAGCGTAATGAACGTTTGTCTTGTGTTCCTGATATTTGATAACTTTCATGTCATCATCCACGCCATCTTTGGTGAAAACAATGTCTTTTTCTGATACCTGCAGGTGCCTGAATAAACTTGAAACCAATCAAATCCCTACAAACCAACATTTAAAACACATTCTAATATTCACTAATAACTGACCCTAGAATGAAGTTTATTTCAGTCCCAGTGAGAAGTCATGACCTTCAGGGTTACAACTGGCATTTACTCTAGATATTGCAGATTGGCAGAAGTTAGAATTCATCATCTGATCATTGGATTGTGCCTTAGTACCTGAATGGTTAACATTCTCGTATCGCAACCAGAAGGCTTTAGATTCGATCCCGTGTGGATTGGGTGATGTTTACATACCGACGAAGAGTTGTTTTAAAAATTGAAGTGACGTCTGTCCATTTCACTGTTTTATTGGGACGACAATGTTCTTGATAAAAGTGGAAGAGGGAACAGAAATGCCTCGTGCTTACAACCGGACTTGTGAACATAGAGGTCCACTTAAAGGAGCTGAAAATCCCTGATTCCAAACATATAATGTACATGGACTCTGGAATCCCAAAGAAATGAATACTGCATCAGCTTGTTCGAGTCATCTGAACCCTATCCCGTGGATCAGATTCCAAGTGAAACGCTCATATGAGAGATGGTCCCCTTTAGACAACCAAATGGTTCGGTCTGGGACTCTGAACAGTATCTCAGGCCTAGCATCCAATGGTGCCCATAATGTGTTAGACTGAGATTTAATAATATCATTATTGTTCAGTAATTAAATTGTGCTATTGATGATAAGTATTAGAAGTGATATATATATATATATATATATATATATGGTGAGAGCAGCCTGCTAGCCAATTGGTCGACATTAATCTACGTCAATGTCTAGGTCACCAATATGGGCCGTGAGGAAGTATGAAGAAGGCTGTTTCAACAACCAATCACAGCAAACTTAAACGTGGGCAAATATGATTCGCAGATAGATGGCTCCGCTTTCCGAGGAACTCAAGAACAACCAATCAGAAAACTGCGTTTGTCTCCTTGACTAGGCTATAATAAGTGAAATTTATATAAATACGTGTTGATTTCCGTAATAAAATCATCTGTTGCCTGGCCTTGTCTTCTGTTGTTACATATATATATATATATATATATATATATGCAAGCATTGTCAATTATTCTCGCTGTTGATATGAGATTGTGACGCATCTCTACGTCGACAGTCTGTGTTCTTGTCTTCTTTTGTCGCGTTTCCGGTGGCATCGATCGTGTTGTCGCCGTTGTTGCTAATAGTGGTTAGAACAATAGGCTCGCGAATCGACAAGATAGGAAATTCGTTAGAGCAACCATAAGTGCATTAACGATCATATCAGAAACATAGTTTTAATCTACTTATAAGTAGTTCGAATATTTTTTTCCTTCACGTTCCCAGTGGAACATAGGGCTTCAAGATAGTGGCTTGAAGTTTCTGTAGCAGTTTTTATTTTACAGGATGAGGTTACTAGCCTCATGCCCAACCTTTTCTCCTTACCAGCTTTATTACTGGCTTAGGGAGGCAAAGGAGTGCGTCGGTTGCCGGGGATCGAACCCCGGACCATGTGCATGGTCGGTGAGCGTCCTAACCGCTATGCCACCGACGCAAGTTCGAATATTACTACTAAATAAATTAACAATCAGAAAGAGAGAGAGGGTTAAAAAGAGTTACCTACCTCACTTCGTCTAACCACTTCAGCTGGTTTACTACCATTATCAATCGATTTATTCACATTCTCAGATAAAATCGACTCTGTAACAGACTGATTTTGATTCAAATTAATATTTGTACTACCGTTATTACTATTTATATTTGTATGAATTAAGTAGTCTGTTGATGAGGCACGGCGTAGATTACCTCGACCACCAATTAACCCACCTCCGCTACTTGGATTATTGTTATTATTATGATTATTACTGGCAGGTAGATACGAGTCAGAATCAGCGCTTAATTGAGAATATCGATTGAAATCTTCTTTAGCTAAAAGCAGAAAGAGAGGAATGTGGATAAGGAAAACACAAACATATCCAAATAGTGAAACCGTACATAGTAAAAAAAAACTAGACAATGCGAAGGAGGGAGGGGGAGTAGTTTTACTCTTTTTAAACCTGCTGAAGTCATACACATTAATAATGACAATGTGTATTTCTATTACGCAAGTCAGAGAAGAGACCTCATCTCCTCGTACTCCAAGTGAACATGGACAAGACGGAGGTTATGAAAATAACCAGCCAACAACAACATCCAGCGCCAATCACCATCAACGGGAGGGATTTGAAAGAGGTTACTTCATTCACTTATCTAGGGAGCATTGTCTCAACTACAGACAATCGGAACGGACGAGGATGTCGAATCGAGCGAGAATCGGGTGGGGGGGCGAGAAACACACACATTCATCAACATGAAACCGGTCTGGAAATCTTCGTCACTCAGCCAGCATCAACAACAAAATTCGGTCGGATTTTCAATACAAACACGTCAAGTCAGTCAGCTCTTCTATACGGATGGATCAGAAACTTGACAGGCGGGTCACAAAGAATATTTCCAACAGCCTGTTACAGACCTTTATCAACCAACAACTGTCTTCGCTCTATACTGAAGATTAGATGGCTGGGGCGGAAAGAATCACCGACAAGAAACTATGGGAACAAACAAAATAAGAACCAATCGCTTGCCCAACAAATATGCAGCAGAAAGTGGAGATGGATTGGACACTACTCGCTGAGGAGAACGCTGGGTGACATCGCGCGTCAGGTCATCACTCGAGTGGAACTAGGCCGAAAAGGAAGCGGTGAGTGGGACGTCAGTTCGAGGGCGACATGAAGGAGATCGTGTGAAGAGGAGTTGAAAAAGTATGGACTAACATGGATGCAAGTGGAGACGTGCAGTTGTTCCACTAGGAACCCAAGGGAACAATAATAATAATTACTCGTTATTGTTAGCAGAGGAGCAACGTCTTCTGATTGGTTGTTTTTTTACTGAAGGGTACTCTGTCATCTGTTTCTTGCCGTTTCTTAGATAACCAGGCTATATATCTGTGAATCGTATTTGCACACGCTAAGTCTGCTGTGATTGGTTGTTGAGTTCCTCAAGGTTAGGCTTTGTTATTGTCTTGTCTCATGACCCCGATTCGGGACGTAGACATTGACGTAAATTGCTGTCTACCAATTTTGGCTAGCAGACAGCTCTCACCACATGGCCACCTCGATTGTCATACATTATTTCACATGCCTTAACTCTGATTCACCATGTTTTATTAACCATATTTTAATTCAAATGCCTATGACTAATATTTTATTCTTTAAATGCTCAATGTCATTTATATCATTGTAAACATGAGATCGCCCTCTCCCTCAAGCGATGTTTACTACAACGGCTGTACGATAGTGCTCTCTCTTCCTTCCTTTCTCTTTCTCTCTTTGTCTTCATTCCAGATATACACACAGAAGTACTTGAGATACAAAGAATCTAACTTCTCGACCAGCAAGCAGTTGATTTAGATCGAATCAGCTGCGTAAATTGCAATGTACACAGGACAGCTTCCTCAGGATACTGAAATTATTCTCATAACACACAATATGTGATCCTATTTGATACCATTAACGGTGATTGAAGAGAAAAAACACAAATATAAATGCATAAAACTATATACTACTAATGATCGATTGAGATAAGTAGTAGTACATACTTCTACGATTTGATTCGTTTTGTCCTCTCTATTATAAAACCAACTTCTCCACCTAGTTAGAGCTCACTTACAAACTGCATATTTTCCATGTACCAGGCTGTACGTTGCCTGACTGAGTTTCAAGCATAAAATTCCGCACAGAAGTGTACAAGTAGTTCCAGTTGCCACACTCACGTTAACAGACAAAAATGTAGAGAAAAGAGACTCAAAAGAGCAATAATGAGCAGAAATGTACGAGAGAGAGAGAGAGAAAGAGAGAATGTTAACATGCAAAAACAGGAGGGTTTAATGGATGTTAGAGATTACAGAGAGTGAACCAGTTTTGAGTCGTATTAGTAAACATCTCAAGTCATTGGTTCTCATCATCTCGGGGATCCTAACCAGAAAGTCTACACCTCCGTTTGTAGCCTGGCTCAAATCAGCTGGCAAAGACTTCATAGGTTGACGGCAGGTTTTGGTCTGACAACTGATGACTCTTTTTCAACCCAACACTATGTCAGATACCGTCGATCGTTGGGGAAGACGGTGGTATGGCACAAGCGACACACGTCCTATTCATCTCAATCGATGAAGCTTCACACATCTACACACCTCGTCAATATTGCACAACTTACTACGAGAGATAGAATATAAACATCTTTGGATAAAGCAAACCAGTCAGACAATAGGCCACACACATGTAAATTTCGTGCCAGCCGTTTGAAAGGACATTAAAATTGTAACTATAACTAAGTAATCTACTAGAACACGTTTTAAATTTAGACCTATTGCTATTACCTCTCCTTTTCTAAAAACTATGGAAAAGTTACTCTTACTTAATCTTCAATATTCACTTAAAGCCTTTTACGATCCCAAACAATTCGCCTACGAACATAGTAGAAGCACTTTATATGCAGCTGCAGTCTTGCATCGGAACACTAGACCCTAGTTTAGATAAAGGGGTTAAATTTGTTGCCTATAACTTCCTAGATTATACACATCTGTTTTTAACTCGGTAGTACCTAGGAATATTTTAGTTAAACGATCTTTCTGTAACTCAAACTGAGTGTTGGGTTTCTAACTGGCTGGATTCTGATTTCTCAGGAAGAAAGCAGTAAACTGTATGTAAAGGGAAGTCGTCCACTTCATTGCTTACTAAGGCTGGCGTCCCTAAAGGTGCAGCCCTTTCTCCTCTTCAGTTTTCTTTCTTCTTGCATAACTTACCTCACTATGATGATGAAATAAACTTTGTTAAGTATGCTGATGGTCTAACTGTTTCAATGCCTGTTAACTCCCATTTCAACTGTACTGAGATGAGCAATTTTGTATCAGGAGTCAGTAAATGGTCTTCGTCTAATAGTCTTAAACAAAATCCTTCCAAATGTCAGACTGTTAATTTCAGTTTTCGATTAAAAGAAAGTTAAATGAAGCTGTCATTATCCATAACCTCTGTAAAATTGATGTCGAAATCACGTTTGTTGTTAAGTATCTTGGGCTAATTCTTTTTCTGATTTATTCTGGTCTTCCCATGTCTTAGTGATTTTTAAAAAATATTCTGTCTTACTTTTTACATTTCAGAAGTTAAGGCACTCGAGAGTTTGTCAGCACTTGCATCTTACCTATTCTTCTTTACTGTCCGCCCTTATTCTTTCCTGGATTGCTTAAAAAAAGATTATGTCATACTTTCTAGAATTCTGAAGACTGTCAGTAGGATGAGTGGTACCCCATTGGGTCATATCATTGACATTGTCACTGATAGGCATTTGATTTCATACAACAAATTTCCTACAGGAATTTTATCAGACTGTGAGCATCCACCACAGTATCCGCAGCTCCAGTCTTGTGTCTCCTCAGGTAGAACAAGAAGCCATTTCGAAAGACTTTATGCTCTCATGTCAAAAAAGTATAAAAATTCCACTATACCACATTTAGCACGTATTTTTTTGTGATGAAGATAGTGTCAGGCATGAACTAACTGACCTTCTTTGCACTAGTAAACAGACCATTTTCTCCATCGCTATTCCACCAAGCTTTGTCGTTATTTTTCTTTTTATATTTACAATCCTCTCAATTTTTTGTTTTTATTTGTTCATTTTTTCATAAGTGTTAATATCATTTGAGCTGTGTAATGACTGTTATTTATTGTCTTTCCCCTCACCATGCTATATCAAGCGAACATTAGATTCAATACACCATAGTAACATGCTAAAATTTTCAAACCGAATCGACAATACTGTTTGAAACAAACCCACTGTTATCATTATTATTATTATTATTATTATTATTATTATTATTATTATATTGATTATTCTGATTTTATACTTCGAATATTTTTTGACTTTAAATGTGGACAAATTCCTCTAGTTAATTTATTTTATTTATATTCTGAGTAAATCAGATGCAATATTGTGACGAATGATGAGAATTCCATTCTGTATTATAAGTACTGTTTTTGGAATGAAGATTATTATTACTATTATTATTATTATTATATTGTGTGTGCGGGGGCTAATGATACTACTACTATGGTGGGAGCTGACTGTTAGCCAAGGTTGGTAGACGGTAATTTACGTCAATGTGTATGTCCCCAATATTGGTCATTAGAAAAATAAGAACAAAGACTGAATCAACGACTAATCACAGCAGACTTTGCGTAGGCGGATACAATTTGCAGATAGATAATTTGACCTTCAAGAAACAGCCACAAAGAGATGAAAGATTCACGTTCAGCGAGAAACCACCAATCAGAAGACTGTGTTTGCTTGCCTACAATAATCTATAATAATGTACATGAACATCTGTAAACATCAGTTGATTTCCTAAATAAACGATCTGTTGCCTGACCCTTGTCGTCTCTTGTTACTTATTTGGCCAGCTCACATACACACACACACACAGGCAAAAGTTGAGGGAATAATACACCAATGAAGCAGGTATTATGTGTTTGGGAAAACAGACTACCGAAGTTACAAAAACACATGTGAACTCATTCGAAAATATGCCTATTAACCACTAAAAAATAAATTTACAATTCATGGAAAATTCCCATTGTAACATTTAGAAAATCAAAACAAGTGATTCAGCGAAGAGACTCTTTTCAACGAATTTATCATAAATTCTATGCTATTAAATTTCACACAATATTACGTAACGTTTTTGTTTTATTCGATTTGTCTACTAATCCTACAATTGCACATCCTTTTTCAAGTTCTATCCCTCCTATGAATTATTCTATATATGACATTAATCTGCTTTGCCACTTGACATTTAACTATGAGTATAATCACAAATATTTTATTTTTAATTGAACTTCATATGATTATGATTATTTTATGCATTCACACCTAAGATTCAATTCTCTCACCGGATATAACTTCTAAAAAATAACCATATATATACGACTGTACAGCTTGATGATAAATTCGCTGAAAAGAGTCTCTTCGCTGAATCACTTGTTTTGATTTTCTAAATTTACAATTATAGAGAAAAAAACTTACATTGCTTCGGTATTAAATTAAGATTAGTAACACCTGATCCACTAAAACCGCTAGCCAGAGTAGTCGCCAGTGTTGTTGGAGTAAGAGGAAAATCATTGGTGAACGATGATGACGATGATGCTGTAGATTGTACTGGATGACGCTTAAATGACATCGCTTTGCGTATATGACGACGTTGAGCTTGTATTTGTAATTGTTGATAATGCGCTAAACGTTGTGATAGAATGGCATTTAAATCGATGATACTTGACTTCAGTGTATTGATTTGAGTCTCTAAATGTCTATATACATAAGGCATATGTATTTTTTGTTCATTTTCGGCAAGAGGGAACAGAGAATATACATTAAAAAAAACATTAGTATTATTCTCACATTATAACAGAGAAACTTTCCATCATTTGAGTATATACACACACTTATTTACCCAGTAATTTAAATCTGAAGAGTAGGTGGGGGGAGGGAGGTCGATTACAATGAAGCTTTCGTCATAATATCGTAACATCAGTCAGAGGGAACCACTGAAAATCTGGGAGCAATGAGCAGATGTTTCGTCCGAGTTTTAGGCTCTTCATCAGCACGCATGGATGACCCAACACGAAGGAATTAACTCGTGGATGAGCACCGCCGTCCAGTACTCCCTGCTTTTCACTCATTCTCTAACTAGCGTTGTTTCACGGCATAACCTCCAGTGACATTAATGCGAATCCCTATAAAACTTATAATCTAAAAGAGAAATTCTTCGAGAGAGAGAGAGAGAGAGACAATTTATCCTACTCTAATTTATATGATGAAAATGTGATTTATCTATATAGGGCACTTTTAATTTCTAAGCAATTCACATCTCACATTTCAACGTCGGTTTCGCCTAGTTTACCAGTTCCCTAGTTTTCTAGTCGGTCCCTAAACCCAAGAAAAGACAGAAGGGTGGAACTTCGGGACTAACTACCCTAACCCAGAAAATCAATCACTAAAGAAACTTCAAGGCACAACAAATTATATAGAACACAAATCTACTCTTCGCTGGAAATTTCCTGCAGTGTTAGCGTAAACAACAAAATTCGGATTCCCAACAATAATAACGTTCTTCTTATACTAGTTAGAAATTTGCACTGTGTGTATGTCAAAAAAAGCATCTCCAACAGGTTACTGCAAACTTTTATCAACAACTATCCACTTCGCCGGCACCATACTGAAAACCAAATGACCAGAAAGAATCGATAACAAGGAACTATGAGAACAGACCAGTCAATAACCTATTGCTCAATAAATATGCACTGTGGAATGGAGATTGATCGGAATCACACACTGAAGAGACTGCCGAATGAAATCACACGCCAAGCAATTACTCGAGTGGAACCCGTGTGGGAAACGACAAGTTGGACATCCAAGGATGATATGGAGGAGGTCGTATGGGGAGAAGGTGAAAGCTAATGAGCAATTGTGGAGCCAGTTGAAGAAGGCTGCAGGGGATGCGACAAGACGAAGACATACTGTTGAAGCTCTATGTCCCAAACAAGTGATTTAGTAATCCTACAGTTGCTTCCCCGTAGAATTCCATTCATTACACAATTTATATATATCTATATATATAAATATACAATGGACGTAATCTTTCTTAATTTCAGTCTTACTAATTGTATTATTTTGTCTTTTTCATTTTGTTTTATCATTTTATTATTTCACATCTTCATTTATATTATTCTCTACCCCACCCTTGTGTAATTTCTACCCTCATTAACAATTTATATATATATATATATATATATATATATATATATATATGACTACTAATCAGATGTCTAATAGATTAGGGCATAAAGAAAGCATTAATGATGGCTAGCAATAGGGATGAGGAAGCATGTTTCGTCCTGCTTTGAGACTCATCAGTTGGGGAGTTGACCTACCTGGTAACAGCGAAAGCGGATTTTCGGTCGCATAAAACTCTGATTGGATATTAGTTCATGATTAGATTCTGGTTAGGTAATAGGGTGGAAAGATGTTTTGGGGATTTTACCTAAATATCTTGTTGATATCACTGACAATGAGATCATAATATATATGACATAACAATTATTTCTTTCATATATGGCTATTTTTGAATTTGACGTATATTATAAAAAATATCTTGTAAAAAATTCCATTTCACTCTGCTCTTCTCAGTCTTCTTCAGCTGGCTACATGCCGTTGCCCGTAAGTTTTCCTTTCCTCCGCATACGATCCACCCCCCCTACCTCATCGTTTCTCATTCAGGTCCCATTCAATGGCCTGACGTGTGATGTCATTCAGCGATCTCCTCTCACCGCATGTCAAAAGCACAGAGATATATTCATAACTCATGACCACATACTAACTAGAGTGAAAGGAATTCTTTAGGACCTAGGCCACGTGAATATTGAAATCAGATAGGCTGGTGGTGGCATTCTATATTGCGAATTGGCGAAAACTAGAATCCATGGGGCATTCGAATTTACATAAGAGTCTGAATAATTAACAGACGCACGCAGTAACCTGAAGTTCCTGGGAATGATTCACATTGGGGTCATGGGCGTACACTGCCGAAAAATCCCAAAGTTACGACTAAAAACAGATGTTTGATACTCCCTGGTTTCCTAAATGGTTCCCCTAACTGATTTCAGTGAATCCATGATCTGGCTAGAAAAATCAATTAAATCCTCAAAAATTTAACACTCGAGCACATAATTTGCTCATATCAATTAGTAAATGAAATATTAAAAAATCTCACGTTTCAAAGCAATGAACAATAGTAGAATAGTCCCAAGAGTTAGTTTGTAGGGATTTAATTTATTTCAAGTTTGATCGAGGATTAATATCAATGAGGGAACCAGTGGAAACCAGGGGGAACCTGACAGTTGTTTCCCCCCCCCCCCACTTCCAGACTCATCATCAGTACGCATCTAACACCAGGGCTCAAACACAAGGACTTCAAGTTACGAGACGAAGCTCGCTGACTATCCAGCTACTGGGACTCAACTCAGTGACCACTCCATGGATTCAGACTATTAGCGCAATTCGCGATTTTAGTGTGACCACCAACCAATGCAATCAACGGCGAGTACTTCTCCTCATCCCTGACTGGATGGACCCCATTGGTCACGACTTCTCACTAGAATTCCAAGAGACTTCATCCTGTAGCCAGCCAGTCACTCGCGAGCATCAGACTAATTTTTGAAGAGTTGCTCTGTAAAAAACATTTGATTCTTTCCAATTCTGATCATGGAATGATGTCAATCAGAAAAGTTGTAATTCATGAGTCATTGAAACGCGCCTCCCAGTAACTGTATGCTATTCCAGCTTGCCTTGCAACTGAGAGGGTCCTCAGTTCATACCGATGAGGAGTCCCAAACTGGGACGAAATAGCTGTGTCCGGAACTACTCCCTGCAAGTTTTCAATAGGTCTCTCTAACTGATATCAATCCGTGAACAAATTTGAAAAAATAACTTTAAGTAATAATTATGATGATAATAATGATGATGAAATGAAATATCGACAACTCACCTAGCCCCTTGAATACAATTCACTAATTTCAATGTAATATTTGATGATCGTCTTTCATAAAATGTTGAATCCATAGAGGTATTCGGCGTGGATAGAATAGGATTATTAATATTACTACTGTTATTATTATAATTATTGATAAATTGAAAAGAATTAGGATAACCTATTGGTGTATTCAACCCAAGCTCTTGCATTGTTTGACTAACATATGACCATAAATAACGCTCTAAATGACGTTGATCTAATATCATTCGACGCAAAGCCTCTTGATCACGTAGAATAGCCAATCGAACTTGTGATTCAGACATTAAACCAAAAGCCACACGATTACGTTCTGATTGAGCCTGTAAAAACATGAAGAAAAGCGCAAAATGATCCGTGAATAATAATAATAATAATACTGATAAAAACAGTAATATTCCGAGGGTCAAAATGTATGAAAATAAGTAAAAATACTATGCAGATTATACGTTGGTTGTCCAGCGGGAGGTTCAGATTCAATTCCCGGCTGGCACACTTGTAAACTTCACATAGTTTACTAGACGGGAGTAAGCTCGGAAAGAAGGGAAGGTTGAGTGTGAGATTAGCAACTCCATCCTGTAAAAACAACACAATCTCTACTCAATGTTTAGACTTTGGAGATCTGTGTTTCAATCAGAACGCAGAAATATATATATATACTTAAGACAGATCCTGAGTTTTTGGATCTTACGCTCAACCCGAACGGCTGGTTAATAAATCGATCGCAGTTACCGTTTCGGATTTCTTTAGAAGAAATTCACAGCAACTGGCTGATCAGACTTCTTTACTATGAGATGTTTGTAAAACCCTAGTGAGCTAGATGATAGAAGGCAAATGTCTAACTTTAAAAGATCGATACTACTCTCTACTCTGCAGATACATAATAACTAACTGACTGAGTTCCAACGTAGAACTTTCCATTAAAGTATGACAGTTGAAGTCATAATATTTCTTAAGTTCACGGATAAAGGGGGGAACAGAGATGTTGAGGATATAAAGAATAATGAGAATATTATGGATTTCCGAAACCAACAAACAACCTGCAGCTATTGACCCTCAGCATCTCCAGGACCCCGACCAGTGGCTGAAACCAACAACCAGATACTTCATGGATCAATGTCAGGTCTTCGTTCGACCATCTCTAAATCTCTTTCAACCTAGTCTTAAATATTAGCTAACATTGCTCAACAAGGAAGGCGAAGATGTTTATAAGACTCTGTATTTTATCAGCGGTTTCCCTTAAAAAAAAAAAGACGACATCATCCGCATACTCTAAACTGATAAGATTATTCACTAGCAATAATCCCATCTTTAAGTAGTGAAGGTTGACTATGGTCATATCAGTTAGTACATCTATGATGAGACTCAATAAAAATGGAGACATCGGCAATCCATGACGGACACCACTGCTCGTCATCACTTTAGATGACAACAGTCCACAAGTTATCATACAGCTTCACCACTTCAATTGAAGTGCTTTGTTTAGTGCAATATACCCTCGCCATACTCCCTTCACCGTCAACCACTGCCCACAACTTGACTGGTACAATTCAGTCTTCACCAAAGATAGGGCTAGACACAATACACTAGTTACCAACTATTGCCCAACCAAAAATACCCAATATAGTCCTACAGAAGGTCAGTCGCGAACTTAAATAGCTCAGTGGTAATGTCTCTGACTGCAGTACTCACCGGGTGACATGGGTTCGAATCTCAGAAGGGACACGAGTTCCTTCGAAGTTGCAGATAGGCTTTGTTGATGAGTGCCAACTAGCACGAAACCTAGGTCACGTAAAGCCTCCTGCGAACCGCCTCCAACCATCTAATACCAACAATTAACAGTGCACCAGGATAGTGAGCCACCTAGTGGCATGGCGACCACACTGCAAACTTGACTGATAGAATTCAGTCTGCATCAAAGATAGGACTAGACATATTACACTAGTCACTGACTACTGTCCAATCAAAAACAACACCTCTCAATTAATGAAGTGAAATGACAAATTCAGTCCAAAGAAATTTTGCAATTTTTAGATGTCAATAAGTATTCCGATGTTCCAGACTCTGTTGAAAGGTGAAAATATGATCAATACACCCTCTTCCTGGTCTAAAGCCTGTGTGCTTTTCCCCGGTTAGTTTCCACTAACCCCTACTTAGTCTGATGAGCATAATTATTGAGCCTAGAACTTTAGATACACTACATTAATCAAGTTTATCCCCACTTATGATTATCCCGTGAAGACTTGTCTCCCTTCTTATAAACCGGGATAATCGGCGACCTACACCAACCAGTCTGGTGGAACTATCTCTGATTCCCAGAGATTAATTAACCTAGTCAACAGACACTATTTTTAAACACTTCGACAGTCATCCCATCTATTCAACCGAAGATCTCTAGAAACTCTAAAGATAATAAACATGAAGTCTACATTTTGTTCTGATTGACAAATGCTTTAAGTGTCATTATTTAACTTTGACCAATTTTATAGCTAATAGTGATTATGCAATTGAACGATAGTCTAGAAAACTGGCATGACTTGACATGCATAACACACATATCTTACCCGTCTCAAACAATACAGCCTCACAGCCCTATCGATTAAACTCCTCTTCTTATCTAACACTCCACGCCTAAATTCAATACTGGCTCAGCATATTACAGCCACTTAACACGGGAGATATGACACAAAACACAGCTAACCTCGTCACACCTTCCACTTTCAATAGCGCCATATATCAGAATATAAATATTAATTTAACCAATGAATTATTTGCTTACCTTTCTTTGTGGTTCCACATACAGGAGGAGATCATTTACAATATCAACAATCATATGATATTGAAGCTGAAAAGTAAAATAAATTAACAAAACATGACATAACATACTTTGTAAGGCAAAAACAAAAAAACTAGTAGACTACTCCAAATCAACAAAGATTAACGCAACACAGTGCTTATCTTATTTCACTGAGGTATATACGCGATAGTGCAGAACGTATCCACTATAATTTGATAGATGGTGATTACCAGTCGAATTCATCCAGAAAGCGCATTTCACCCTCCTATTTGGGACTTATCATCTGGATGTACCTGCAATCCCCAAAGAGTGAGTGAGTGAGTGGTGATGTTCCCACTGAGCCTCAAACCCAGTACCCATCGTTTCAGACGCCAAAGCTTTATCCGCGTGGACCACTTAGGCGCCATGAGAGCCACCACGCCTTGTGCAACGGATATCGGTTACTAGCCTCGAAAAAGAGGGTGGGCGGAGCGTATGAGGCTAAAGACCCTACCCCGGAAAATCACTCCAGTAGCTACATAAACTGTAAAGAACAGAAAAATATAAAAGAATAAACTTATTCTTCGCTAGAATCAAAAGAAACGAAATGATACGAGTTGGCAAAAACCTTCGGGTTGTCAGGCGACCGATATATCTTCTTTCAATGAAAGCAAGCGTAGGGGCATGGAATGTTCACAAGATATTCGAAACTGTCTGGAAAGACTGCTTATATTGACGAAGAGGAGAGAACACATGACCAAGATGTACTTCGGGTCTTTGAAGGAATATGGAATGGAAGTAGACTCTATAAATTGTAAACTGGAGAGTTAATCATCTACTGCGGTGATCCAGATGACAACCACGAGCATAATGAAAGAGTGGCCATCACCAACAGCATCCGCAGATCTTATAAAGTGGGCAGTAATCTCATCCGGAACAATGAAAGCAAGATCCAATGCAGAAGGAAAGAGAGTTGCAGTTGCCCAATGCTACGCCCTCACTAACAATGCAGACCCAGAATAGAAGAACGAAAGCCTCTACAGACAAATGCAAACAGTAATAAACAAGACTCCAAGTGGAGACATCACACTCCAAATGGGTGATATGAATGCCAAACTGGGAGCAAATAATACAAAAAGAGAACTCGTCATGGGTGGAGAAGCTCTTGGAGGTATGAAGGAGGACACCGGGACACACTGAAGACAATGAGTTTCACCAGGTAAACGCACCGAAAACCAGATAGACTTCACCTCAATCTAAAGAAAGTAGAGACGCAGTCTGCTTGATGCAAAATCGAGATGAAGAAAAGTAGGCTAAAACCACTATCTAGTGAAAAGATACCTCGACGTCAAGTTGGAAGCCTTCAGAAGAGTTGGAGGCAGACCACAATTCAAGTTCAACGCTCAAAAACTGAAAGACAAAACTACAAACGGGCACCTCTATTGCTGCCACTAGGGAAAAGTCGGATACATTATGTAGTATCATGGATGAAACCTGTGTCTGAGAACACAAGAACCCTCTAAAAGTTACGTTGAATTAAACCTGTATAACCGTTGTGGGAAGAAAGAAGAGGCAAGACAAGGAATGGGTATCTAAGAATATGCAGGAGCTAATAGTGCGGAAAAGAATGGTGAAACACGGGATGAACCATTACCAAGATGGACAACGAAAGCAAGGAGCTGAGTTCAATCCACAGCGAACTGAATACAGGAATTAAGAAGCCTACTAGGAAAGACAAAAGACAATTTCTATGAAACACTGTCAACTGAATTACAACAGATCACAAGTAAGAAGGGACCTCAGATAACCAGGTGATCGCTATCCGGGAAAAGAGCAACACAGGTGAGACCAATGGATGATAATGAAAGGAACCCAGTTAACAAGGAAGAGCAACAAAGAAAACACTAGGATGATTACTTCAAAGCATTCATGAGTTGATCAACACAAAGCCGGTGTCACTGAAAGCCAAAAAGAAAGTAGGACTAAGCCGATTTCCTCCAAAAGTACTTTCAAAACAGACCCAGAAACCATAGCAAATATGCTGCTGTCTACTACTGCTGAAGATTTGAGAAGGAAAGGTAAAACTGGTTTATTACTACACCCTGAAGCTACCTTCGTGGTCATTCTCTGGATATAATGCAAAAAAGTAGTGTCATTATTATTATTTTATTTATGTCTAAATCGTATATCAGTTTCGCTTTGGCCTTTTATTTCATTTTTTCCCACATAAAATGATCTGATAAGTATATATGTATGTGTGATCAGATTGTTGTTCGAAACCATATTAAGCAGACACACAATCACAATACTTTTCACATAAACTCTGTCTTTTAAATAACAACACTCTAAAAATTTGGCCAAGTTAAACTTAAAGCGCCACTAACTGCCAATCAGTGAATGACCTTGAATGGTCCACCAATGACTTTCATCCACCTGAGTTCAAGCTTCTATTCCGTTTGATTCCAGTCAAATACCTGCTCTTATACAGTTGCGCTTGTATTTTGATGAGGATTAGACTTTCCAGTATTCCTTGGATGTGGCATTGCTTAGGAACGAAAGGATGTGTTCATGTGGAGGTGTCATGAGTATAAAAAAGCGTCGGCAGGTCGATTGATGGTTCTGTACATCGTTGTGTGATTGGTTTGAGACGAGTTAGTGTCAAGCAAGGTAAGCTGATGATACTAATATTTCGTAGGAACACTTTTTGCAAGGTCCCATCTCTCCTTAACCCCGATTTTGTATGTTGGTAATTACCGGGTTTTAAAACAGCCTGTGACAGACGAAGCTGTTGAAACTGAAAATAGTCTGGTATCAACAGTTCAGTGGAACAATCACTGCAGAGATATCGCCTCATGGAAAATGTAGAGACTTCCTTTGTTATTGAGAGAAGGTGTCATCGTACACGTGGATGAAACTGTCTTACTGAAGAAGAAAAAATACAAGCGTGGTCGTGAACGAGCAAACAAAAAGGATTCGTCGAGAGGATAGCAGAGAGAAAGTCAACTACCTTAACATCCATTATTACTCGACTGGTGAAACATGGATCTACAATACACACAGATGAGTGGAAAGGTTATAACTCTCAGTCATCCATTGGATATATATTCACCACAGAGTCAACTATTCTAGTGATTTTGTGGATCCCATTACAACGACCCACACCAATTCTATCGAAGGCTTTTCAAGAAGGTTAAAAAACTGGATACGAGCCATTAATGGATCTCGAAAGGATGTCATTTATAGCCATTTAGATGAATAAATATATTCATAGAATGAGGTGTAAATTTTCAATTGATACTCTTATGCTAAACTGAGAGAAAGGTAACCTCTGTAACACTTTTATACAGTTTTGGTGCATTTTTTTTCTTAAATATGCGTATTTCATACCCAAAAATGCCTCCTTCATGTGATTGCACCAATCACGTTCAAGGTGATTCGCTGATTGGTGGTAGTTAGTGGTACTTAAGGTTGAACTTCGCCCTGAATTTATATTAAAGGGACTTATATGTTCAACATTTCTTCATAAAACTGACAATAAACCAATCATTTAGTGTTAATTAAGTAGAAACAAGAGAAGGAATACTTACAGAATTTGTAAAAACATTTAATGTATGATGTAATAGAGTAACTGTATCTGCTCCTTCTGGATTATGCACTACTTCTGTTTCATCAAGTGACTGTAAAAAAAAAGAAGTAAGAAAATAGGAGAAAAACTGGTATTAAGTCCATACAATTAATGTACAAGACATTCCACTCAAGTGCTTATGTGATGAAAAAACACCTCCTCGCTGATAACATTGACTAGCACTGACGCTAACAATCTTGAATTGACACAAGTTGGAATACATTGGCTGGCCGCTGGATACCATTCCAGTGACTGATTGAATGGTCAACAACCTCGGCTCGTAACTTAACCGCCCTCGTTTTGGGGTCATGGGTACACGTACTGATGAAGAGTTCCAAAGCAGGACAAAACAGCTATCTAGTACATCCTAGTTCTCTAACTGATAAACATCAATGATCAACTTCGACATACATTTAGGTAAATTGATAGTTTTCATTTCATATTTTTAATTGATTTAATAATTCCTATTGTAGCATTAAGAACACAAGATTCAGAGTGAGAATAGTGATAATAATAATTGTAATAATCGTAGTAATAAGCAAAAGTTACATAGACTAACTAAATAAACAAAATAAATAAATGTCTATCCCTCTGCGGCCAAGGCAGAGGTAGGGATTGAACACAAAGGTCTGGCTTAAATTCATGAATTGCTAAGGCCTCAGCTGTCTTTAGAAGTCTGCAGTGAAGAAAACGAGACTGGTTAGTTAGCATGGATTCGGTAGATGATCTTGGTAGAGTGAAAGGAGTCGGTCAGGTGTTCTAGAATAGAGCTTCGCAGACACTTCCTTTCTCCCTTATAAAACCATGCAGCTGGAATGCGTTCTCGTATCCATGAGTGGAAAGCGTTCTCTGGATACAACAGGATGTGTACTGATACATGCACATGGAGGCAGCCAGACAGGGCTTATCTTTTACATAGATAGAGAACAACTTGTGGCTGGTGAACGTCATATGTAATTTTGCTGCAAGGAACGTCTTACTGACTGCTTTAGACAGACGGTTTTTTGAGCATATCTGAAGCTTGATCACCTTTGAATTCCGAGTTCATGAATAAGGTTTTCTTTGTAAACTGAGTCGAAGACCAGTTTAGACTGCTTATCTTTCGTGTTACTGTCAATAAATCGGTTAGAGTAACCGTTTTCTGCGAGCATGGCTTTTAAGAAGTCAAGTTCTGAGTCTATATATGACATTCATTGTTTTGTTACTTGATCACAAATATTTTAATTGCATTTCATACTGTTATTATTATTTCATGTATTCACACCTTTGACCTAATTACCTCACCGGATATAATTTCTTTATAAAAACCATATATATACGATTGTACAGCTTGATAATAAATTCGTCGTCAAAAAGAATCTCTTCGCTGAATGTATTTTAATTATTTAACTATTCTAACCAATAAACATATATAGAAATAATTATAACATCTACAAACTTAATTCTAAATGTTTATTGAAACTAATAGATTAAGTATACGATATGATCACGCAGCTGTAATACAATACAGATCAAATGGTGATTTGATCACCTGACCTTGGACAATGTCATAATCTAAAGAAGAAACGATGATGACTTGAATTGGCTTGTGAGGACACAGTGTGATGGAAAGACTGTTTGGGAAATCCCTCCTGAACGATCAAATCACAACATCTATACTTATATGGGTACTTTAGTAAACTTTGTAGGGTGCAGCAGGTCGAGGGTGAGGACATTGGCTAGGAGTCGCGCTATGTCGTGAATTGACAGATGTTAGAATTCATAGGCCATTGGATCGGGTCCAAGTGACTTAATGATATACGAGCTAGCTCACCTTGTAACCACAAGGTCGTGGGTTCCAACCCCCTATGGTGGGTACGTACTGATGAAGAGTCCCAAACTAGGACGAAACAGTTGTCCAGTACTCCCTGCAGGTTTTCCAATGGTTCTCTAACTAATGTCAGCTCATGATGAAATCCTGTAACCAAAAAAATCCCTACAAACCAACACTTGAACTTTATAATTATTATCCCTGCTTCTCCTAGACTGCATATCAATATTCTGACGTTTCAATATCACATGTTAATTTGATCCTTATTATTTGTCCTTGTCCTTGTTCTGGATCTCTAATTTTAATGCTTTTCTTTATCGTTGGCTGTATATTGATAATGCGTTGTTTAAAGATATGGTTTTCTGTGTTTAAATCGAGATCATGCTGACCTTGAACTGTCCACGAGAAGTGTTGGTGTGTGATTCTTGTGGATAAAGCTTTTGATCCCAGCTTTTTGGGAATATTCTACTTGATCCTAAGTTCTTTTTTTGTACTTACACTGGACTACACTGAGCTGTTTAAGGATATTGTTAAGGTAATCTCGAGGTTTTGATGTTATTACTGTTGCCAAGTAGAACTGTAGAGCCAATGAAGAATAATAATCGTCATTTTGCTGTCTTTGAAGTCCTTCGTCAGTTGTCCAGTAGAACACAACGATCACTTTCCGGCGCTCAGGACAACAACGAGTTGATTTTGATCATAAAACAAAGAAACTAGATGATCAGATTGGATGGTGGTAGCGGCGAATCGCAGGAATCCCATAGAACGAAGGAATTTTAGGATTATACGTTTCTAACTTTGACAGTCCTGAATTCGATTCCTGATGGCGATGTGAGTGTACAACTACAGAGGACCTAAAAACGAAGATTTCCAATTATTCACTGATTGTTCTCAGTTTCCAATGATACCTACTGTAGGATTAATTTTGCCTACAGAGTTTTGGCTTAACTATAGTTAAAAACAGAGTGAATTTCATGTATTGGTTTTGTAGGGATTTTTGTTCGATTGCATGGAGGATTGCAGCATGAGCTGACATTAGTTAGAGAACCAGTTAGAGAACACCAGTTGGAGACTCTTCAGCAGTACGCACCCCGGTGGATGCGTACTCGCGAAGAGTCCCAAACTAGGATAAAACAACTGGCTGTCAAGTACTCCCAGGTTTTCCAGTGGTCCTCTAACTGATGTCAGCTCATGACAAAATCCTCCATGCAATCAAAAAAAACAGAGTGACTTAACATAAAATAAATCATACAATTACACCAATAAAAATCGAACAGTATAGAGGGAACGGACAAAATGAGCAGTTAATTAATTACATGTACACATAAATAAATTGACGGAAAACGAAGAACACTCAATGTCACAATACGTGGTGTGAGTTTACTTCAAATTAACCAATAATCGCCACAAAAAGGTCACATCATATTGATTGGCTGTCTATCATACAATTCATCTATCTATCGCGATTAAGACCTACATCGAAAGTCTTACACTGATATGTATCCATATATATATATATATATATATATATATATATATGGTGGTCTCTCTTTCTATTGCTCTCTTAGTATGTGACCATTTCACTTTGATGAACCTGTCTCCTTTAACAAAGTATATTCCCCTTATATTATATATAATATGTGTGTTTGTTGACAGTCTGACCTTGGTGGTATATATCCATATAATTTGTGTGTTTGTTGACATGTCTGCTATATTTTGCTATGTATATATAGATCGATACTCCATTATAATTAGCCAATCATGTTAAGATTGTCTATTGATTGTTCACACACTTGTTCGGACATTCAGATATATATATTTTTGCTCGCACACTCTTGTGTGAATTGATTCTCCTTGTGTTTTGAAAGTAGAAGTATCATCGCAAACCTAATGGTCTTCTGATTTCCGTCTTTCTTGCGTCAGGACTATTAAATTCTCGACCAGTACATAATAATAATTTGGCGACGAGTACATAACACATACACATCATAATAAAGAACAAATAGTCAGAAAGAATTAGCAAGCAGACAGCTAACCAAACTAAGAATCTATTGCTTAACTATACATGCAGATGTACACTAAACACACGTTAAGGAAACTATTGAGTAATCTCCTACATGAAGCAAACCCACGAGTGAAACTCGACTCGCAAAAACGACGAGTTAGATGTTTGAGGATGATAGTGAGGAGATCATGTGAGAAGGAACTGAAAGCTTATGGTTAATCATGGAGCCGGTGGCTATGGAAGAGAACCGAGTGTGATGGGCGGGTAAGTGAGCTGATGAAGCCCTATTCGACTAGAAACCCAAGAGAATAGTAAGAATAAGATTTATATGCAATAAAAAGAGGAAGAATTTGCTGACGATTGGAAATGATGACGACGGCATTTTCCCAGTTAGAAGATTTAGAACAATTTCATCTCAACATACACAGAGTAAATCTTATGCAATGTGAAGTACGTTATAAAATGATAATATAACTTATGTAATCGACCTGTAAGTTATCCATAACGCTCACAATAAAAAAAGTAAAAACTTAAACACAACTCTTGTTAAAAGTCAATCTGAACGAAGAATATTCTTTTCAATAATTTCTCATCAGGTTCTTACAATTATAAAATATAATATTTGTTATCGTTACAAGAATGACTAGTTATGCGGCGGATACATTTTTTAACGTAGAATAACAGATTAGCAGTTATGGGGTGTCAAAATAAATAGTCATATTTGTGTGACAAACGTGCTAGGCTGAAATCGATTAAAAATATTGTAAAACGGGAGACAATAGTGGTGGTTACAGTTATTATTATTCGTCATAATTTATGCCCTTTATGCAAACATTCCCTCAATACTATCGAATTTTCATTTGTACGGACTTATTATTAGTGATATTATCTGTTTTCTCAATATATGCCTCCACCTGTTTCATTTAATATATTCGTTATCTCACTATGAACCTCTCATTCCAGTCTTACTATATCCTGCTTAACTCAGACCACTTTGTACTAGCCACTCACCTGACACTCTTTATAACCTTGAACTGATTTGTCAATTTTCCTACCCCACACTCTACAATTCCATTATGATTAACCACCACTATTGTCTCCCGTTTTACAATATTTTTAATCGATTTCAGCCTAGCACGTTTGTCACACAAATATGACTATTTATTTTGACACCCCATAACTAATCTGTTATTCTACGTTAAAAAATGTATCCGCCGCATACCTGGCTATCTTTATTGTAACGACCACAAATATTATATTTTATAATTGTAAGAACCTGATGAGAAATTATTGAAAAGAATATTCTTCGTTCAGATTGACTTTTAATTCATAATATGGGAATATTTCACACTATCAAATCTTACAACTCTTGTTGCAAATCAAAACAGATCATACTACAAAGAATATTTTGTTTAGACATATATTTATTGCCAATGATAGTATGACATGGAAGTAGAACTTACTAAAGGTGGAATTAAATGCGGTAGTGGTAAGTTCGCTGGATCAGCAGGTTCATAATGAATGTAGAAAACTTCACATGAACAACGAGATATCATCCTTTGCAGTTGTATAGGTCGAATGCAATTAGTGTTGTTCTCGCCAACAGCACCTGTTGTTATCTTATTAGCATTAGTAGTAGAAAAAGTACCAAAATTATTATTGTTCACAAATATCGTATTCCCACTGCTGATTGCCTCAGCTGACATACCACCAACACCACCACAAGTGTTAGCTGTGAAACCGGTATGATTTATGATACTTTGACGGGCTAGTAATGACGACTTATTACTTGATATATTCTGTGGGAAGCCAACACATGCTGTTACAACACCACCAACTGATCTACCACAACCAACAACTTCTGGTCGTCCACTCAGCGCATCTTCATCGGCATTTAAACCATGATGTGCCCAATCACTGACATCAGCTGTTGACAACCATTGATCAGGCGTACCTGGAAGAACCTAAACAATAAAAAATATCAATAATATTCGATGAAAATCAAAATGATGAGGTGTACTTCATTAGCTTTGACACTACAACATGAGATGATGAATATTTCTGGATTACTACACAGAGATGTAGCTCAACAGCTTAAGCAACTGGGCTTTCATAGACACTAGGTGGCGGGTTTAGAGCCCCCGCCCCCCACCCGCGCACTCCCAGTACTTTAATCTGGGTAGTAGTAGCATCATCCGTCCCGCAATAAAAACGTGGTTCATAGTCTGGAAGACTGGAACACTACTTCTAAGAAACTGAGTTAATATTGTGTTCAAGAGAACTTGTACACCCCTCATACTTTTAAAATCAATCAATCAAGTCTTATTTAGCTATCTTTTCTGTCTTTTATAAAAAGCAGACACTTCACAACAGAATACTTTGTAATGAAATCATAACAGCCACTAAAAATCGGATGAAAGTTAACAATCATTGAATAATATATATTTCATCCTAGTATAGAATCATCTCTGGGTAGTGCTCACATTCTCCAGTCTGTGAGGTATGGAGCTCGGAACAAAGAGGTTACTATTTGAACACTACAACTAAAACCCTTAAAAGGTTATGAAATGTGAAACTGAAAGGTTCCAAATTTATCTAATGCTGTTTTATTTAACAGTGGTCTAGTTGCTATTGTGAGGCGTGTGCTACTAACAAAGATTTATAAGTAGTAACATTGCGTACGATTTCTTCCGCAAAAGTCTTGAAAAGTGTAGTGAGGAATTAAGATATATGTTGACACATTACTGTATGTCATCGTTTTGCCAAATAATCAATTTTGCTACCAAATATTACTATGTTTTGCTGATATATAATATCAATTCGAGACGAAATCTAATGTCATGTTAGTCAGAAACTTTATATGGATCACGGATATTGGCATGTGTTGTTGTATCTCACGAAAAGCATTTCCAACAGGTTGTTGCACACTTTCATCAACCACTGCCTCTTTCGACAGTTCGATACACAACAACAGATCAACCATCAGAAAGGATAATCCAACAGTGAAATATGTCTTACATCAAACCAATGAACAACCTATTGCCCAATATATATGCGGAAAGAAATGAATCCCACTATGGGTAAAATTTATTTGAATAAAGTCTGACAGTGTTATACAGTACTACTTGTTGATGATCATGTTTCGAGCAAAATTTATTGTTGCTCATAATCATACCAAGGTACTCACACAAATTTCTAACTTCTTTTATATAATCCCATTATTTTCCATCGCTTGATTTAATTGGCAGTTGTATTATCCCTAAATCGAGTATGAGTGATGGATCGTTCCTATTGCATGTGTTGGGTGTAAACTCAATGAACAAGGATTCCATAATCAACCTCTATTTCCACCTACCTTGATTACTTTTTAGAATTTTAACCCTCTCCCACCCTAATGTCTGGTTGTGTTAATGCACATAGTGCAACTGCTGAGCTTTTTTCTAATTTACTTATCTTCGTGGGGTTAACCATTCTTACCTCAGCTAAATTCTTATGTTCTGACAATCTGACTGCCCCCGACCTACTAGTTTGACCTTTGTACTTGACCTAACTCACAGTCATTGCGACGTATTTTGTAAATTATAATTAGGTCAACTGGGTCCCACACAGTAGGCTGGGAGAGGATTAAAGTTCTAAGAAGTAATATAGGTGGGTGCACAGAGAGGTGGTTGATTACTGAATCCTTGTTCATCGAGTCTACACCCAACAAGTGCAATAGGATGCAGTGACTCATCACTCATATCGGATACATGGAAAAGACTACCACCAATCAAGTCAAGCGATGAACTGAAATAATGGAATTATGTAAACGAAGTTAGAAAGTTGTGTAAGTACCTTGACTGATTATGAGCATCAGTAAATTGTGCTCAAAACATGGTAATCAGTAAATAGTACTATATAACACTGTGAGACTTTATTAAAACAAATTTTACCCATCATGGAAATATACTCTACCACAGGGCACAAGTTCTATTCTTATATCGAGGGAAGAAATGAAGATTGGATTGGACATATGCAGAGGAGACCACCGTTGAGTGAAATCATGCCTCGAACAGAGTATCGATGAGAATACAAATGAAAAACACAACGAGATGTCTATGGGTCTGACAGTGTGACATGGAGGCGACTATATGAGGAAGAAATGAAAGCTTATAGAAGCAATCGTCTGCAGTCACCTGGAAAGGATTGCAGAGAAGAGGATGAAATAGGAGATGTTCCACTTGAAACAACAATAGCAGTCAATGGTAGATATGAAGGTGGTAACACTGTGGAGATGAAAGACTACAATAATGAATTTGTCACAAAGTGACACATTAGCAGGTGGAAAACCTATGAAAATTTGAAAAACCTCTATTAGGTGTTATCTTGTCCCAGCTTGGGACTCTCATATAGTAGTGATCAGTTATCTCCTCATCACTGTAATGATATGAAATGGGGGCAAAGAATTTCAACTTCTATCGATCAGAGACACAGACAAACCGCTAGTCAATATCATATTGGCGAATGAATATCTGTCTTCAGAACTGATTTAATGGACCCCCATTGGGTACAATTTCCACGATAACTTCAGTTATTCCTTCTAGTAGTCAGTCAGTTAGTCAGTCAACAGTGAGTATTTTTCATGATTATTCACCATTAGTCAGACAGTATAAGAAGTAAAACGATTAGAATGACTTTTATTATCAGTAAAAAGTTTCGGCATCATGGAATAGATCAAATAAAGTATAATTACATTTCAATAGTTTAAACACAATGATAAGTTTTTGGTAATATTGTAACAACAGAAGACAAGGGCCAGGTAACAGACTGTTTTATTACGGAAATCAGCACGTATTTATATATATTTCATGTACATTATTATAGCTTATTCAAGCAGACAAACACAGTCTTCTGATTGGTTGTTTCTTGCTCAAGGTGACTGGTTTCTCGGAAAGTTAAGTCATATATCTGCGAATCTTATTTGCTCACGTTAAGTCTGCTGTGATTGGTTGTTGAATCAGCCGTGCTCATATTTTCTCACGGCCAATATTAGCGAAATAGACATTGACGTAAATTAATATCTACCAATTGGTTAGCAGCCTGCTCCCACCACAATATTTCGATCAAAATTACTGCCTGTGATCACACATTAACTGTTGGAATTGTTTTGGTTTCAAATTCACACATTCATGATTTGTACGCATATATGTATAGTTCTTTTTTTTTGTCCATTCATTTTTGTATATTCAGAACTATAATATTCCAGGTTGTTGACAGTTATACTGCGGCGTCACCATTGTTACATGTATCCGGTGTGACCTGAATGAATATAGATCCTAACTGAATTTTTGATTTTCCCATCGATTGATTGGACCGAAGTGCTCGGTCTCAGGTTGACATGACTCTTTTTCCATTTGTTCATATCAGTGTTCAGAATACAAATATTGTTCCAATCGATATTGTGCTTTCTGTCCCATGCATGTGCAGTTATAGATGAATATTTTTTTTCTAAATTTTTGTAAGCTTATGTTCCTGTTGGTTGACCTTTAGTTCGGCGTTTATGTTCATTCACTCTTATTTTGAGTGATCTGGACGTGTTTGACCCACTATATTTAGTCGGACACTTGGCACAACATATTTTGGATATCACATTGTTTTTATCCATCATATTTAAGGCCTCTTTCAGTTGATTTATCTTATTTTTAATTAGATTCGTCGGCTTAAACGTGATGTATCAGAGGCAATTAAAAGAAACCTCAAAAATATTAGGATTCGTACCATGTCAAAACCAACGAATCCAACTAACCAGAAATAAAATAAATCAACTGAAAGATCCAATAAGAATGATGGATAAAAGTAATGTAATTTACAAAATATCTTGTGCCGAGTGTCCGACTAAATAATTAGGGTCAAACACGTCCAGATCACTCAAAATAAGAGTGAATGAATAGGTTTCGTCGAATTGCCTGTAATCCTTACAGACCAACTACTGAAATTTAATCTGATGCTCGCTAGTGACTTGCTACAGGATGAAGTTTCCTGGAGTTCTAGTGAGAAGTCGTGATAAGTGAGCTCCATCCAGTCAAGTATGAGGATGGATGTCCCACCAACAACACTGATTAGTGGTTGCGCTAATTCACGAATTGGCAGAAGTTAGAATTCATGGGCTGGTCATTGAATTGGGTCCCAGTGGCTGAATGGTATCCGAGCTAGCTTGCCTTGTAACTAGAAGGTCCTGGGTTCAAACTCTGCAGTATGGGTACGTACTGCGGATGATTCCCAAACTAGGCTGATGAAACAACTGTCCAGTACTCCCTGTTGATTTTCAATGGTTCTCTAACTGATATCAATCTATGAACAACTCGTAAAAACAAATCTAATCCTTACAATCCAACCATTGAAGATTAGAACAATGTTTGTATTCTAAAAACTAATATGAACAAATGGAAAGAGAGACTTATAGCAGAATCTATATTATTCATTAAGGTCACACCGGATACATGTAATAAGGGTGATTCGGGAGCACAACTGTCAACAGCCTGGAACACAATTCTAAAATACACTAAATGAACGAAAAAAAGAAATGAAACGAATGAGTACAAATCATAAAAGAGTGGATTAAAAACAAAACAATTCCAACAGTTGGTGTGTGATCACGGGCAGTAATTTAGCTCGAAATATTACTCCAAAAAAAACACAACAAGAACTTATCATTGTGTGCAAACCCATTGAAATATATAATTATAATTTATTTAACTTTTAATGTTTTACTTACCTGCCCAACAGTAGCATAGTATTGCATACATTCTAAATGTCCAACTAGACTGGATTTATTCAATAGTTGAGAATCTTTCCATATCGGTGGATGGGTTAATGCATCCAACTTAGCCCTCGCTGCGGATACCAATACATAACCAGCTAAATGATTTGTTTTTAATAATAACTATACACGAAAAGATAAACAATGAAATCATAACAGAAATGTCAATAAAAACTAGAACTCAACGTTAAAAAAAAATATGCTTTTATTATTATCATTGAAGAATTTATGTCTTACTGGTTGATGCTCGCTAACGACCCCCACGTGGACCAGGTTCGATTCCCCACCGATTCACTCTCCAACCCAGCCTAATCCAGTGAGCAATAAGTAAGCCTAGTGATAGGAATTGGGTTAAAATAGTAATTGTCTTATGATTCATCATGTCGTTCATCGTAGGATCAGATAATTGTGAAATTCCATCTTTCCCATACACTTTAGACTGGTCTTGGTCAAATCGTCAACCAATCAGAATATTTGTCTTTCGCCTACCTTAGCCCAATCATCTACCAATTAGAACAATGTATTTCCACTGCCCTGGATTGATTTTGATGTGGTTGTTTCCACTGATGAAGTTGTGTCGTAACAATCAGAAATGCCAGCCTTTATCTTTTGATAATTACGTGGCTCAGTGAAGCAGAAAGTACCACGGACGAATAGGTGTCCATTGCGTCACTATTATTATATCCCTGTCTGTCTGCTTTCGACATAGAAGTTTGCACCGATGTATAGCAGTTCAAGTCGCCACTCTCCCTCCATGTAACACACAAAGCATGAGAAGAAAGTAGAACAAATGCATAATAGAGACAGTATGCAGGGACTTAAGACAAAAGGAATAGTAATAACGAACAATAATATAGTTTCATTTGAAATCAGAAGTCAGAAGGAGTGGATGCATTTGAGTCAGCCATTGAGAACGATTTTAACCCATATCGCCAATTGTTTCCAGACATTGGTTTTTACCGTCCCGTGGACCACAACATCATATCCTCACTCTTCGACAGATTCTAGAACATAGACACACTTTTCGACGTCCAACAATTGTCATATTTCTCGACTTGAAGGCGGCCTTCGACTCCATGGATCGAAAGGTACTATGGCAATGTCTGACTGTGAAGGGAGTGCCAAGAAAGTACATTGCACTAATCAAGGTACTCTATTCAAACTCACGTAGCCGTGTAAGGGCTTATGGGGAATCGCCATCTGAATTGATAACAACCAGCGGTGTCCGGTAGGGATGTCCACTTTCCCCATTTCTGTTTAACTTCATCATAGATATGCTGATGGAAGTATCCTTAACTGAACTTAATGACTTAGGAATCGACTTGTTACCAGGGAACAAACAGTCTTATGGACCTAGAATATGCAGATGACATAGTCCTGTTAGGGGAGGATGCTGACAAAATGCAGAGTCTTCTGAACACCTTGAGCAGCAATCTTCGTATGTTTCGGATGCGATTCGCCCCTGCTGTCAAAGGTAAGATGCTGCTACAGGACTGGACCACGTCAACTCCCAGCTTAGTGATAGGGAGTGAAGTGATAGAACATGTTGACCACTTCACCTATTTAGGAAGTTGTATTAGCACCAACGGACTGATTGGCGATGAAATCTCAGCAAGGATCCGAAAAGCTCGAGCTGCTTTCGCTGACTTACACCATCTCTGGCGTAGGCGTGACATCCGGTTATCAACCAAGGGACGTGTGTACTGTTCAGCAGTTCGCTCCGTCCTTCTCTATGGCTCTGAAACATGGCCAATACGAGTTGAAGACATGAAAAGGTTGACTGCTTTCGATCATAGATGTCCGCGATCTCTTTCTCACGTTAGGTGGTTTAATAAGGTAAGTAATGTTGACGTTAGGCGTAGAGTGTTGGGCAGGGAAAGAGGGAAAACCAATCGACGAGGCTATAAAGTTACATAGACTAAGATGGCTAGGTCACGTGCTGCGCATGCCTAACCATCGCCTCCCCCTCCACCCGACGGGCATTACTAGCTGATATAGTTGCAGGTTGGAAAAGGGTAAGTGGTGGCCAAACAAAAACATAGCCTCATCAATCCATGAAATCCTTGACAGTTAAACTGAGTCAGGTAGGGAGATGCAGACTCCCGGGTTGGGGCCCTCGGGACTCTAGGAATCAATGGCTGGAGACAATAGGTGACATGGCTCAAAATCGTTGTCAATGGCGCAGATGTATTCAGTCTCTGTAATCTTTCACATTTCTTTCTACCATTACCCATTCTGTTTCACTCTTATACTTGTCAAACTCTATTGATTCTCTTCACTCATCTTCTTGTCTACCTCTGTGTGCTATTTGGAACGTGGCAACTCGAACTGGTGCACCTTGGTGCCAAGTTCTATGTTGAATCCAGACAGAGACAGACAGGACCACAACCAGGAAATCTACAACTTCCTACGTGGCTTAAACTAACTATTGTGGATTTCACTGACTGATAAAGCCATGTTTCAGTTTGACCATCGCCAGTTCTTTTCCAACCTAATCCATCCTATGTCAGTCAGCTAATATCGCCCATCCGTCGAGGAAGGCGACGCCTTGGCATGCGTAACACATATCCCAACCATCTCAATCTATGCAACTTCACAACCTCGTCGATTGATTTCCCCTCCTTAACTAGCACTCTACCGATGGCTAACGTCAGTATTGCTCACCTTATTATACCACCACCTGACACGGGAGATAGAACGCAGGCACCTATGATCAAAGACAGCTAGTCTTTTCATGTCTTCCACTCTCAATAGCCAGATCTAACAGCTATACATGAGGACGGAGCACATACAAACACGCATAAGTCCACACCGCTTATATCAACTGTCGAATGGAGATCATACAATTAGCGATATAGACCATAACACCTAGATAAATAGGAAAGATTAGGCAAGAGACTTACAACCCCTCCCCCAATACCAGTGAGCTACTAAAACTTCAAAGTTCCAATCGAGATGCAAAGGAGAGAATTTGTTGAGGAATTGAACGACAGATCACCTAACTGTTAATCAAATGTTACAATGAATGACATCACGTCTCCTTATTATTCTTTTGAAAAGATAGCAGGAGAAGGAATCAGAGAATTGAAGTATGCAATTGGATTTTTTTCCATTATGAGAGTGTTTCACCCTTATTATCGATCTTTTTATTCACCTGTTTAAAAGAATTTTAAAAGCCTTTCGTTTTATCGCCTTCCTTGAGAGTAAGCATAATCATTATGAATAAGGCTGTTGGCTAACCTTCCTTTTTATAGTCAGACACTCGTTACTGGTGTCCAACTAATTATCCAATACAGTCTCAAAGGGAGGTCAATCGCTAGCCCAAATAGCTGAGTGGTAACGTCTCTGACTGCAGTACTCACTGGATGACGCGGGTTCGCACCTCAGAAAGGACATGAGTTCCTTCAAGGTCGTAGATACACCTTGCTGACTGGTGAGTGCCAACTAGCACGAAACCTAGGTCAGGTGAGGCTTCCTGCCGATTGTCTCCAACCATCTAATATTATCAGAGGAACATTTAAATTATACGAGAGTCCAAAGTTAATGAGGGCGCCAATGAACAAGGGGCAACTGACTGTGTTGGAAAAAAAGGAAATTAAAGTAGAAGAATGAAATAGGATTTTTAGTGAGAAGCCAGGCATGACCAACGGGAATAAGGATATGAATACTTACCGATGACACTGACTGATGGTCGGTCATATTAAAATCACGAATCGGTAGAAGTTGGAGTTCACATGGTGGCCACTGAGTCAGGTCCCAGTAGCTGAACGGTTTACGAACTCTGTAGTCTCACAAAACTAATGCTCTTTCTGTTTCAGGTAATTCAAGAAGAAATCATGTACTAATTTGGAGAGATTTGCTTGATTGGTTACAGGATTTTATCATGAACTGACATCGGTTAGAGAACCATTGGAAAACAACCACAGGGAGTACTGGAGAGTTGTTTCATCCTATTTTGGGACTCTTCATCAGTACGCACCCACCCTACCGGACTTCGAACCTCGGCCCTTCTGCTAATTCACGACATGGCGCGACCACTTAACAATGCCTTCTTCGATGAGTAACTTGTCCTCACCTTCGACCTGCTGTACGCTACTGGTCATGGATTCCCTGAATAGGGCCAGTCGCTGGTGAGCATCTCAGTGATATTCAACTATCATATTGTAAGCACATACAAAAAAGTATAATTCATCATTACAAGTTACAATATGGAAGAATATTCAGACAGATGGCTTGGGTCATGTATGAAATCAGTAAAGCGCCAGTAACAACGTACAAAAATACTCCCAATCGCCACCACGGACTCCCTGCAACTCTACATACACACACACGCAAGTTGACAGGATTGTACACAAACACATGTACAGATTGTCAAAAAAGAGCTTACCTGAGGATTGATCAATTCCAAATGCCAATTACGCTCAGCTACCAGACTGGATGCACATATATTTAATCCTTGTAATTGTGATACAACATCCGTCTGTTTAGGCTCCTGGTTGAAAAAAAAATAAAAAGAAGCGACTTGAGAAATAAATGCTTTCTCGTGTAATATAATTATAATAATTAATAAGACACAAGCTGGATACATTATGAACACCAAGAGACATGCCACACATAGTCTCTCATAGTTTGCATGACAGCTACAATATCACTCAGACGAACAAACCGAAGTAGGTGTTTGTCTTAAGACGCCACCCTGTGAAAATTCGACATGAAATATGATCCACAAGGCAGTGAGTGAACCAGTGTCAAGAGCTACGTTGTCATGCTTTCTAGTAGCTAAAACACGTTCATATATGTCATTCGATGTGTTTGGACTCTGGAGACCACTTACAGTATAGGTTTAGAATCACGGTTTTCTAGCCCTCCCAGAAAGATCTGCATATGCGCCAGTACGGTTGTAAACACCAGATGTTCGGATTCACCTTATCACTTTTACGAGGAACACCACCGCCATGTGAAGGCAGTGAATAGGACTTACCTGGCAAGGGCTATGAACATGTAGTCACATGGGAGCATTTCGAGAGAATGACTTAAGTCTACCAACCGTCGACCGTGGTAGATCGTTTATGGGGGAAAAGTAGAAAATAAATAAACATTAGGAAATATTGATGATGAGATTATTATCTCAAAAACAGTTTTTGAGTTGGCAGGCTGTTTATCAATGTAAATGGTGTTGATTGAAGAGGAAATGAAAATCTTGAAAGAGACTGCGAATCCCAACAGCGAACCACACTACCTTCCCCACGAAACCTCTTATTCAATAAAATATCAAAGATAGTAAGTATTACACTGTGAGCATACCAATTCACAACATGCTCCCTCCTATAGAGCTAAATGCATAGGCCCTAAAGGTAGGATATTAACGACACATGTACAAGAACATTTCCCCAATATGGTTGTCAAAATGAGAAATTAAATGACTTAATAGTTCAATTCCGCAACACTTTGTCCATCTGCACCAATAAAGTAATCCTTCAAAGTGATATAAAAAGTAGTTTCTGAGGGGCTTTCCTGTTACATCCTCTGTCTAGAGCAGAAGCTCCTGCTATATATATATATATATATATATATATATATATATATATACGTAAAAGCCTGAATTGTGTACACAGAAGCTTTTTTTTCTCAGTCCATTTTATTGAGGTGGCTTTAAACAATTGTCTTTTATTGACTTGTGCAATAATTTGGTGTGTGTGTGTGTGTGAATCCAAACTCATTCGTCTTTCTTTAAAAAAATTCTTAACCTTAAAATATGTAGTTGGAATCTCTTATTCCTCAGCAGTACGCATTCACTCGAGTTCGAACCCAGGACCTGCCGGTTACAAGGCAAGCTCGTATACCATTTAGCCACTTGAATACGACTAGATGCACCCAACTGGTCACGACTTCTCATTAGAACTTCAGGAAACTGGGTCCTGTATCCAGTCACTAGCGAGTATATCCTCAATTTTCTTCATCCAAAAACTGAGACTCCATTTTATTCAAGTGCCGATTTGCAGAGATTTTGACTACTTTCAAGTTAGACCATGCATACAAAATCATTAGTGGCCGAGTGACTCTATAGGGTATAAAGTTGTCTGGAGTCCTAGTGACAAATCGTGATCAGCGAGATCCACCAAATCAGGTGTCAGAACAAATACTTGCTGATAACACTGATTGACTGACTGACCCATCGAGAGAGTTCCCTGGTTCGACAGAGTTATGCGTACGTACTGTTGACCAGAAGGGTACAGCAAGTCCAGTGTGAGGACAGTTACTCGTCGAAGACATTGCTAAATGGTAGCGTCATGTCGTGAACTAGCAGAAGTTAGAATTCATGGACTGGCCATTGGACCGGGTCTCATTGGATTAATGGTCTACGAGCTGGCTCGTCTTGTAACCAGAAGGTCCTGGGTTCCACGCCCATGGTGTGGGTATGCACTGAAGAAAAGTCCCAGACTAAGACGATATGAACAGCTGCCCAGTACTCCCTGCAGGTTTCCCGATTGTTCTCTAACCGATGTCAACTCATGGTGAAATCCTCTAACCAATCAATCAGCAGGGGGGAAATTAAGTGCATAAAAAGCTCGATCCTGTCGCACTTGGTCGATACTGGACATCGCATCGATTTCAACACAGCTTTCAGGGTTATATACTGAATTCCGAAGTCGTTATCACGTACAGTTCGCTTACGTCTGCTACACATAGCTGAAGTTGTTGCAATAAGATCGACTAAACCGGAACTCTGTATCCAAAAAGAACACGTTCAGACGCTGTTCCTACCGTGGCCAACCTAGGATTGAAGATTTTTCTTCTCACCAAGAGTGCTCCTTCCCCTTAACCCTCTAGGTTTCTTTTCTTTCCTTTTTACTTTGCTTATTATTATAAATATTATTATTACAGTTACTATTATTCGTCATAATTTATTATTAGTAATATTATCTCTTTTCTCAATATATGTCTCCACCTGTTTCATTTAACATATTCGTTATCTCACTATGATCCTCTCATTCCAGTCTTACTACCTCCTGTTTAACTCAGACCACTTTGTACTAGCCACTCACCTGACACCTTTTATAACCTTGAACTGATTTGTCAATTTTCCTACCCCACACTCTACAATTCTATTATGATTAATCACCACCATTGTCTCCCATTTCACAATATTTCTAATCGATTTCAGCCAACCACGTTTGTCACACAAATACGACTATTTATTTTGACACTCCATAACTACTAATCTGTTATCCTGCGTTAAAAATGTATCCGCCGCACAACTGGCCTTTATTGTAACGACCACAAATATCATATTTTATAATTGTAAGAGCCTGAAGAGAAATTATTGAAAAGAATATTCTTCGTTCCGATTGACTTTTAATTCATAATATGGGAATATTTCACACTATCAAACATATAAATATTATTGTACATCTTTTGAAGATGGTTCGTCGAAAAGAAAATTTTCTCCCCTATCTAAGTCTTTTTCTTATGACCCAATGTGGGGATATTTGATTTACAGGGAGAAATGTTTATGGGTCACGATCACAGGATAAGAGATAGAAAAATGAGGTAAGAAAATAAGGGTGGAAGAAAATAGCGTTAAATAAAACGAACCAAAATACGGTCAGGTTTTAAGTGTTCTGAAAATGAGAGTTGTCATTATTTAATAATATTTTCATACACACCCCCGTTTTTTCCTTACCTCATCTTCCTACCCCTTAGCTATGATCATGACCTGTAAACATATTGACCTGTAGTCATAGAAATTGTTCCCCTTTATGCTCGATTGCCATTGGTATAAATATGAATGAAAAGTATTTTTGTGACCACAATGTTAGAAATGTGTTCCGCGAATACGCATTACACATTTCAGATGAATTATATCTTATCAAGTTTTGGGGTTTGCAGGAATTTGATTGGTTAAGCCACTGGAACTAGATCCATTGGCCAGTCCATGAATTCCAACTTCCGCCAATTCACAACATAGCAAGACTGGCATTAGCCATGCGCCACTTACTGAATTTCCTAGTTAGTAGGGTAAGTCAGTCAGGAATCAAAATCCCGACCACATGTATGTTTAGCGAGCATTCTTGAAAGTGAAGTGCTGATCCAGGTAGGGTAGATAAACATCATTTGGAGATGTCCTGATTCTGTTCAGATAACTTTTCATGTGATTAATAAGTTTCTATTCGACATTCAGAGACAATCCAGAAGGAAGTCTTGGATCTAGGTTTCGTGCTTTTGGTAGTCACTAGTCAACAAGCTGTACCTTCAGTCTTGATGGAACTCATATCCTCTCTCATATTCGAGTGTGTGTTACCCAGTACTAAAGTCAGAGACACTACCACTAGGCTATTCAGACCCATCACAGACCATCACCTTCTGTAGGACTCTATTGGATACTTTGATTGGACACTAGATAGGCACGCATCTAATCCTTAGGTTGGTGCAGACTGAATTCTATCAGTCAAGTTTTGCAGTGTGGTCACCATGCTAGGTGACTGGTCAACATGGTTGTACTCTAAATCAAAGTTATACGATTTCATCATGAACTGTCATCATTTAGAGAACCAGTGGAAAACCAACCAGGCACTACCGAACAGATAGTTGTTCCGTCAACCTACTTCGGGACACTTCATCAGTACGCACCCACTGCCAAGGATCAAATCCAGGACCATTCAAACACCAAGCAGACTCGTAGACCCCAAAGCCACTGGGACCCGATTTAATGGCCAGTTCATGAATTCCAACTTGTGTCAATTTGTGATATCTATTTCTCTAAGTATCCCCTTTACAACAAATCAAAAGAGCCTTAGTAAGGCGCCTCTTCAGTAGAATCCAACCAATATGCACTGAAGACAGACACACTTGATGAGGAAGAAAGAAAGTTGACACAAACTCTGGTTGATAATAACTGTCCAGACAAGTTCACCAGGAGACATAAAGTAGTCAGAACACCAAGAACCACTCTCCAACTCACCCCTAAGAAAGATGTGTACATCAAGCTTCCCTATATGGGGCATCAAAGCAGCTTGACAACTAGACAAAGACTGAACGCTGCTGTTAAAGACTTTTTATGCAGCTAATATCATAATAGTAGAGAATGTAAAGCCAAGCTTTATCTAAATTCATAAAAGGGACTAATTGTTTTAAATGTTTAAGATCATATAACATCAATTCAAATTGCTATTTGGAACAGTTGAAGACAAAAGGTGAATATTTTAAAGACCACAGATAAGTTCTCTTTTAGAGAGTGTCGATAAATTATTATTTAACGTTTGCAACAAAGGGGTGCTGAGTTCGACTCTTAGTGAGAACACCATCACACCCACAGGGGATGCGTGAAGATACCAGCATCCGATTGACAAGTGCTAATAAGTAGGATGTGTACTCGGCTGTCACACATCATCAAATCAAATAACACAATCTACTGTTATTTCAGAAAACAAAGTATAAACTGATTGATTATATATAACTCACCTCTTCACAATAGGCATAAAATCGTGCAGTATCAACTTCTTCTAACAGTTGTGCTAACATTGGAATTTGTTCTAGATGAGAAGCTTTTGATTTACGTGATGATATTGACGGTGAATCAGCAATACCACCACCACCACCACCACCTATTGATATATCTGCATCGGATGAAGAATACTTCCTAGATATGAATTCATAATCATTAAGAAGATTATCTTTGCCGACAGCTGCATCAATTTTCGTTGTTGTTGCTGTTGAAGAAGTTGGAATGTTGGCTGCCTCATCACATAGAAGATCAGTAGTCTCGAGCAGGTTTACGGCATGATCATTATCTCTTAATAGACGATGTGATCCAGTGTGCAGAACACCTGATCGCTTGTCTGCATAATCTGATAACTTGTAGTGCATATTTGATATTTGATTACTATTTGATAGTTGTATAGCACTAAGTGCACTGTTTTTTAGTGATAAAAGCATTGAAACAAAAGAATTTAATACGAAAGTAAGACTCTGTATGCACAAAAAGTGGAGGGTATTTAAAAGGAGAGATGAAGCAATGATCAGGGCGCTCTAATCGAACTCTCATGCAGTCATCCGGGCGAGAAGCTAAGGAGCGTCGTTTTCTTAAATAAATGGTGACAACCAGTGGTGTCCCTCAAGGTGTCCACTGTTCCCATTTCCGTTTAATTTCATCATAAATATACTAATGGAATTAACCTCAAAAGCCTTCAGGAACTCAAGGATTGACTTGTTACCATCAAGAAATAATCTCGTTAACTTAGCATATGCAGATGACATAGTCCTCGCTCCTAGGTGAAAACGATGACAAAATAAGGCAAAATCTTCTGAACACCTTCAGCAGTAAGCAATCTTCGAATGTTCAGCATGAGATTCGCTCCTGCTGTCAAATGTAAGATGATGCTACAGGACTAGACTACATTGACTCTTAGCTGAAAGATAGGCAGATGTGAAGTAGTTGGCGGAGTGTGTCGACCATTTCACTTATTTGGGGAGTTGAATCAGCTGGCGCCAGCAGGTTGTTCGCTGACGAAATCTCAGTACAGGTACAGAAGGCTCGTTTGGCATACGCCCGCCAACATACGCCGTCTCTGGCGTAGACGTGATATCCGGCTGTCGACCAAAGGACGTGTGTACTGCTCAGCAGTTCGCTCTATCCTCCTTTATGGCTGCGAGTGAGATATGCTGGCCATTGAAAGTGGAAAACATGAAAAGTCCAGCCAGCTGTATTTGATCATAGCTGTGTTCTATCTCCTGTGTGAGGTGGTATAACAGAGTGGGCAATTTTGTGGTTAGTCATCAGTCGAGTGCTAGGTAGGTTGGAGGGGAAATCAATAGACGAGGCTGTGAAGCTACATCGACTGAGATGGTTAGGACATGTGTTACGCATGCCTAGCCATCGCCTTCCTCGACCGACGGACGATGTCAGCTGACATAAGTTCAGGTTGGAAAAGAACCAGTGGTGATCTAAACAAAACATGGCACCAATCAATGAAATCCACAACAGTTAGTTTAAGCCAGCTATGTAAGTAGGTGCAGACTTCTTAAATTGGGGTCCTCGGGACGATATACACCAGTGACTGGAGACAATCGGTGATGTGACTCGAAATCCTCGTTCTCAATGTCTGGCTCAGATGCATCAACTCCTTGTGTTTTATTATATCTAATAAAACTATATTGTTCTTCAATATTACTGTTTTTTTTGCCTCATATCTCCGTTTACTGTCTCTATTTTGCGTTTCTTTTTAAGTTCTTCTCTGGTGACTCGAACTGCTGTACATCGGCGTAAAGTTCTATGTTGAAACCAGACAGTCAGTCAGTCAGCACAACCCAAGAAACTTAAGTCTGAATAAAAGGTACAAAAGTCCTTAGTAGTTAAATTCTCCGCCACGCGTGTGTGTGTGTGTATAATCCATCACCGTTTTCTTTCGTATATTTGTCAGGCGACAAGTTCCTGATTGGTTCATTGTCAGAGATCGTTGTTAATAACCATTTCCGGGCATTTAGTCCTCAGTGTTATAAAAGTCAACAGCGGATTGTTGGAAATGCTCATGGAGAGGAGCCAAGTCTCTGAAATCTATACAGAAACACTGACTGACTTAACAGACATGTTGAAAATTCAAATTTCGCTCTTCATCCTGTGTGCATAGTAGATTTCTAAACTGATTTTGGAGTAATGAGGGTCTCTCCCTTGAATTTCCAATTCTGGCTGGCTTTGATATAGTCATCCGTGAGACCACATCTAGGCCAAGTTAAACTTTAAACACTACTAACTACCAATCAGCGAATGGTTCAATGATTTGAAGGTTTCATTCCGCTTGATTCTAGTTAAATACCTGCTCTAACACAGTTACGCTTGCAATTTGATGAGCATTAGACTTTCCAGTATTCCTTGGATGTGGCGTTGCTTAGGAACGAAGGGGTGTGATCATGTGGATGTGCCATGAGTATAAAAAGCGTCGGCAGGTCGACTGCTGGTTATGTATATCATTGTACAATTTGTTTCAGACGAGTGAGTGTTAGAGAAGGTAAGCTGATGATTCTAATATTTCGTATGAACATTTTTTGCTAGGTCCCATCTCTGCCTAACCCAGATTTTGTGAGAGGTGCAGCTTCTGAAACTGAAAATAGTCTCGTATCATAAGTTCAGTGGTACCATCATTGCAGAGGCATCGTCTCATCGAAAATGAAGAGACTTACGTCGTTATTGGGAGGAGAAGGTGTTATCCTACACGTGGATGCGACTGTCTTATGGAAGAAAAAATAAAACCATAGTCGTGAACGAGCAAACATTGTTTGGTTGATTGGTTCATATGACACCTCTCTACAAAAAGGATTCGTCGAGAGGATCACAGATAGAAAGTCAACCATCTAAATACCTATTATCACTCGACTGGTGAAACAAGGATATATAATACACACAGATGAATGGAAATGTTGTAATTCTCCCTCATCCCTTGGATGTAATCACCACGAAGTCAACCATTCCAATGATTTCGTGGATCCCATTACAACGACCCACACTAATTCTGTCGAAAGCTGTCAGGAAAGGTTGAAAAACAGGATTACAGCCATTAATGGATCTCAAACGGATGTCATTTATAGTCATTTACATGAATATATGTATAGGATGTGGTGTAACAATCCCATTGATACTCCTATGCTACTAAACTGGGAGATGTTTTCATCGTATGTGAGAGAAAGGTATCCTCTGTAAGACTTTTATACAGCTTTCAAGCACTGTGTTTTCATAGATACATGTATTCCATACTCAAAAATGCCTCCTTCATGTGATTAGTGCGTTCAAGGTCATTCGCTGATTGCTAGTTAGTGGTACTTAAAGTTTAACTTTGCCCACACGTGTAATTGAAACAACGATACCTAAACAGGCGAAAAAGTTGACTTTATATGTCAGCATTAAATTTTTAATGGTTGGTTGTAGTTGAGATGAACCAACACGATATAATCAAATCATTTTATGCTGTTGAATTCGGCTGTAGGAAGAAGTTGCTTGAAGTTCTGTTGTGGAAAGGAGTCATGACCAATGGAGTCCCACCAAGTTGAGTGTGATGACAAATACTCACCCGAAGACACTGACTGGCTGTTCCCACCATCTATTCACGGGCGATCGACTTCAGGACCAATAGGGAAATGGTCAAGGAACTCACGTTGCAACCTGAAGGTTCTGGGGTTCAAATCCCTGGTAAGTAGGAGATCCAATGCTTTCTGACTAAAAGTCTCAGATAAGGGAAGAAACGATTGTCCAGTACTCCCCGGTTTTCAGTGGTTCTTTAACTGAAGTCAATTCATGAACAAACTTGAAAATAATATCAGTATTTCCCTTGAAATATGAAAATTACACATTGTATAGGTTAAAGAAAAGAAAACAATCACAGCTTACTTTCGGCTAAGAACAGTACTGCTGGCACTACTGCCACCAATACTCAACTTTCCAAGTCCAAAACCTCCACTGCTGCCAACCCCACCACCGCCACCACCAACAGCTGATGTTGTCGTGGTTGTTGTTGTTGTTGTTGTTGCCGTCGTCGTTGTTGTACCTGTCCCTGTCTGACCTGGATGCAATTTAAATCCATGCAGTGCACGAGCGGATAAATTCTTTTTCAATGATTGTGCATGTTGATAACTATCCATTAGAATGTACACTAAATTACGATTATGCTCAGTCCAACGCATTTTAAATTCATGAATTTCAAGATGATGAACAGGAGTCAACTGAAGGGTTAAATAAGATAAAAAAAGAGAGAGAACAAACAAAATAACAAACGGTAAACTAGCAAGTTTGATCATCGGTGGTGATATTGGGCAGATCTAACAAAGAAGCTTCAAGGCGAAGGAAGCGAACTGTTGCTCGTTGATCATTCACAGTCTGAAATGGAATTCAATGCCCCATGAATTCTAACTTCCGTCAATTGGAAATTTTTCTTTGAACAACGTCCAAGTAATGTGAACAGTGAGTATCTGTGCTTACAGACTCAACTTGTTGGTAGATCCCCACTGGTCACGATTAGTCAATAGAACTCCAAGTAACTTTCTCCTATCTATAAACACTCACCAACAAAATCATTTCACTCAGCCAGCCCTGTGTCAACCAAAAGACTCAACGAAGAAGGAAGATAAAACCAACACCATCTAAGAAATAAATTGCAACAACTGCGAAAAACACCACATTGGCCAAAGTGGACATCCCCTTCGCCTTCGTATCCAGAATATAAAGTAGCCGTCGAAAGACATGACATCCACTCCCTCATATAGGCTGCATACAGAAGACCAAGGACATCAATTCGACTGGGACAACCAGTGTTCAAATATTAAACAGAGGAGACACCAAGAATGCTAGAGAATTTTTAGAAGACTAGTATTCCAGTGAGTCGTCAATCAACACACACACTGAAATAGACAAAATTTACCAATCGATAAGAAGGAAATCTCATACACAAAGGATCAGACTTCAGGCCAAGGAAACAATTAGTGCCAATACAACAAGTACACTAGAGAGTGTGAAAATACACAAAAACAACCAATCACGTTCAAGGTCGCCCACCAGGAGAGATGACTAATAATGAACTCGTGGAGAAATCTAACAGCTCACTTCATCAGATTGAAATATGCACTGAAGATGCTGTCTAGTAGGGCAATGATGAAAGCTAAGCAAATAAACTATCCAGCTGCTTAGAGAACACGACTATATTAAAATTACGACATTGTATAGCACACGAAGATAGACAGAAAAGGAAAAAACTGAACAGAACTATGATGAGCAGAGATGTAGGCAAGAGAGAAATAATTATGTGGAGAAGCACGAGGACTTCATGTATCTTGAAGATTACAATGAATGAAAGTATCTACAGTGCTAGTGAGAATGATTTTCTTAGCCATGTCATCAACAGTCTTCAGTCATTAGGTTCTTAAACTTGTGGATGAGCTCAGCCACTAAGTCCACAGCTCGCTCTGCATGGCTCAAACCAACTATCAAAGACTTGACAGACTGATGTCATGTACTGATCTGACGATTCTTATCTCTCCTCAGTGAAGAAGGCAGTGGCTAGGCATCAACAATATTCACCTTAAGTATCACGATTGATGTAGTTTCACAACCTCATCGACTGAGCTTCCCTCCTTATGTAGCACTGTACACTTGACCACAATACTACTCACCAACTAATATCACTAAACACGAGAGGTGGAAAGTAAACATCTGTGGTCGAATACACCTAACCCTTTCATATGTTCCACTTTCCATGGAAATGTCTCACAGCCACAGAGAAAGACAGAGAGAGAGAGAAAAAAAGAGTTGCTGACCATTATACACATCCTTTGATCGATAGCTGGATATCACGCCAACGCCAGAGATGACGTAAGTTAGTAAATGCCACAAGAGCCCTTTGTATCCATATTGAGATTTTATCAGTAATCAGGTGGCCAACACAGTTAATCACTCTACTCTCTATCCTTACATTGGGAGTCTAAGAATGACATAAACCTTGGAGACCTTCAATTGGAACCAAACATCAGTCAGCCCCTCATGTGAGACTCGAATGAGAAGAGACTAGTTGAGCATTACTTAGACAGTGACATGGGAAAGATCATGCATACCGACGAAGCCCTATGTTCCACTTGGAATGCAAGTGACTAATAATAATAATAATAATAATAATAGTAAGCGTGAAAGGGAAAGGCATCTACACTGCAAATCTTCTTCATTACCTTAAGTGTATACTACTGCTAAATGATTACTCACTTCTTCATGGGTTAACTGATGCTTCTCACAGGTAGCATCTACGACGTCTTTAGCGGCGCCTACCCGATTGCCATTCATATCTGTCGCTGTCATCTTTGCAGTATTGACATTGTCTTGAGTAGATGACAGTTTATTTTTGTACGGACTCTTTTCATCAGATTGTAAGCCAACAGTTGCCTTTATTGTTGCTGTTGTCGGTGTCAGTGTAACAGAGGTAATATTCATGGCTGTCACAGCGGCAGTTAGTGTATTTCTTTCAGAACCTTTACAATAACTATCATCAGTAGGATCGATGTTATGACTTGTTGAATCACCATTCTCACTATTATTATTACTACTCGTATTACTATTGACAGTAGTAGTAGAATTAGTAGTGGTGGTGGTCGTGTTTGTCGTTGTTGATGCCGTTGTGTTGTTAGTATTGGTCATTGTTGTTGAACGTGGTCCAGGTATATGCACACGAACAGTGACATTCGGTGGCAGTACTGATGGACATAGTTGTTGATAGCGTAACAATGGGACAAGAATAAAGGCTTCTGCATCATTCATATCTTCAGCATCTTGTTCTAATTCACTAGTAACAGAAGGCTTATTCAATTTATGATGACTACAACTGCCAGACTGTGAAAGGTTATTCTGTAGGAAAGAAAATAAAAGGATAATAAGAGGCATGAATTAGCATGTAAATAATAAAAACATTTTAGTCACATAACAGTACTCATATTCGCCGGTTTAACAAGCATAAAAATAAGCAGAATGGGATTCAAATGCATGAGCTAAAGACTGAGAATATAACACTGTGACCATTGAACTAGTATGAGTCAGTGGCACATTGGTAGAAATTCTCGCCAACCACACCACACGTGGTTCGGGATTCGATCCCCGACCACCAACACACACCTTTACCTCGCTAAGCAAGTTATAAGACTCGTAAAGAGGGAAAGTTGGACATGAGGCTAGCAACGCCATCCCGTAAAAATAAATACCACTGCTACTGAAACTTCAAAGCTCTAGCTTGAAGCCATACGTTCCACTGGGAACGCTAAGGAATAAAAAGAAACCCCATTGAACTACAACCACAAAGATAATGACCAGGAAAACTTTGTATGAGCGCGTAGTTATTACTTCACAGCTGCTTGTCTACACTGTGGATGTCGGTCTCCTCTTAAAGCACATGAAGAAAAAGTAGTATTAGTGTTGTGCGACTGCCGAGTTCATGGAACAGCTGATTGAGACCGGTCACATAAGGCCTATACAACGTAGTTTTGCCGGCGGTGGCCTAGCGGTTAGGACGTTCGCCGACCATGCACATAGTCCGGGGTTCGATTCCCTGCCGACGCAAACCTGATATCTGTGGTCGGCCTGCAAAATTTGGGCTACCGACATCCATGCTGAAAATTCCATACTTGTACCAAAAATACAGGGTGGAATCAAGCTGTAATCAAAAATAAAAAAATAAAAACAATAAAAACCTCACCACACAGGCTACGAGCTGCCGTAAGGTGACTTGAAATGTAAGATCTTCGGGGTTGACCTTCACTAATCCCCTCTTCTTCAGAGCAGAGCTCGCTTGCTGTTCGTCTTAGGGAAACACCTTACTGTTATTATATGCCTACTCATTTGCAGTACGACTTCACCCACACACTGGAAAACATAGTGTAAAGGACTTACAGTATGATAGTAACTGCTTTTAGTCTAAACACTTCTCAAACAACCTTTGTAGCATGGTGGGACCTACAGGAACAATAGCTCCATCAAGTGAAGCTCGTTCGGTCAGTGAGATATGTTCACCTGTCCACAACATTAAGGCAGTCGGATCAACGCAGGAACTGATTTACTTAACCCACCACAAACTGTGTTTACAGTAATAACACTGTCACAATAACAACGAAATTTTTTGATTGCCTAAATGATGAATCAACTAACTGTCAGAATCTTTGTAGTAAGCTAAGCACCGAAGAATTTACTGATCAGTTAGCAGGGGTGCGACCAGTAGCGTCACATCATGAATTGGCAGAAGCTGGAATTCATGGACTGGCCATTGGACCAGGTCCCAATGGCTTAATGGTCTACGAGCTAGCTCAACTTGTAACCAGAAGGTCCTGAGTTCGAACCTTGGAGTCCCAAACTAGGACGAAACAGTTGTCCAGTACTCCCTGCAGGTTTTCCAATGGTCTTTTAACCGATGTCAGTTCATGATAAAATCCTGTAACCAATCAATCAAATCCCTATAAACCAACACTTGAATAAAGCAATTTCACGAATGACCCACCTCATGAAGAGATTTAAATTAGTCGAATTTTCCTTTAAAGTCAATAAAAGTTGGACCACAAAAATGACATCAATTAAGGAACCACTGAAAATCAAGGAGTTTGTAAATCTTTAGTACCATGCTGAAATTCTACTTGAAATCCAGCATGCGAGGGCAAAGTGGATGCCCATTGATAGCATTCGTTAATGGTAGTGCTATATCTCGAAATGTTACACACTGGAATTCATGAGTCGTTGAATTCTAACCACATAAGTGAAAGCCCTGGATGCTCATAGTTGGACAAACTTAAACAAAAGTGAAATGGCTTACCGGCGTCCTATGATTTCCAAAGGTTCCCTAAATGAAGTCAGTTAGTGGTCAAATACCAAAATAATTAAATCCCTGTACATCAAAACTCGAAAACAACAAACTGAAACATAGATATCTTGGAAGTGTGGTGAGAATTCGTAACCGGTGTGGCCTATAAGGTCGTATGCTGTGACAAATACCCGCCAATGACACCAGCTAGCAGTCACGCCACAAATCACAAATGGAGAGAAGTTAAAATTTATGAGCAATTTGATTCTGTTATAGTGGCTAGAGGGTCCACCTGAAGATAGTGAGACTTGATGTCATGTGGCACCAGCGGTATGTACTGATGAAGAGTCCCAAAGCGGAACGAAACGACTGACCAGTACTCCTTAAGTGGTTTTCAAAGATTCTCTATCTGATTCCCGTTCATGATTAAAATCTACAACATTGAAATAAATTCCCCTCTCCCCCCTCCCAAAAAAGTGTGCAGTTGAACTTAACTTACTTGATTTTGATGTTCATTCACGCATTGAAGTAACATTTGCACTAAAGGTCCAGGTAGATTATCTCTATGCCTAAGACGTATTGCACTATCATGTACACTTGCGAATAAATGTAATACAGACCAGCTGGCGATTGGACGTCTTGACAGTCCATTACGTTGGATAGGTAAACGTGGTGGTATCATAACATATGGATGTAATAAGGTTGAAGAACAATTAATATTATTATTACTAGTAATACTAGTACTATTAATCGTAATATTAGTAAATCCATTTCCAGCTGTTGATGAATATGGTTGTCGGTAGAAATTATTTGATATTTTATTAATATTAATATTATTACTATTATTAGCAACAATAATTCGACGGACTTTAACTTCATTTTCTATTTCACGTTTTAATTTACCAATAACTTGTATCGGTCCAGTTGTTAGGTGTACACCAGTACGTTTAGCATAGGATACCCAAAAGATTAACTCTAATTGAGGTAAATTGAAACTGAAATCCAATGATCTAAATAATAAGAGATGCGAATATAAATAGTAATAACCATTAGACAACCATAACACACAGAAGGAATGAATCAAATATAATCATATTTTATTAACCATAGATAATCAAGACGTGGTTTGTGGGGATTCGATTAGTTTTTCGAGGATGACCACGTATTGATATCAGTTAAAGAACTATTGAAAACAAGCACCGGAGTACTGGACAGCTGTTTCGTTTTAGTTTGGGAGTCATCGGCAGTATGTATCCATCCTCGAAAAACAAATCAACTCTTGACAACTGTTATGTTCTCTATTGACTAGCTACAGGACGGAGTTTCCTGGAGTTCTAGCGAGAAATCTTGATCACTGAGGTCTATCCTGTCGGAAGTGAGACAAATGCTCGCCCATAAAATTGATTGTGATGTTCGCGCTAAAATCACGAATTGGGAGAAGTTAGAATTCATTAGCTGGCCATTGAGTCGGGGGTCCCAGTCGCCGAATGGTCTACGAACTTGCCTTGCAACAAGAAAGTGCTGGGTTCGGACCCCTCAGATGGAGAGTCCCAAACTAAGCTGACGAAACAACTGTCCAGTGCTCCCAGTTGGTTTTCAATGGTTCTCTAACAGACATCAATCCCAGGTCATACTCGAAAAGCTAAACATATTCTGAAACACACTGGGACATAGAGCCTCAGTAGCCTATTTCAAACTCCATGAGAGAATCTGATGCTGCTATTGACATTATGTATGATAGCCACACCATCGGTGTGTTCATGGTTGTTTCCAGGATGACTGCAGATTCATGACATCTTTAGATCAGATAATGATTCGCAGGAATTTGACTGGTTTCAAGGCTGATCACGAACTGTAGAACCTAATGAAGAGCAGGTCATCGAAAAGAATATTCTTTGTTCAGTAACCATTCCTTATAAAAATCACATCTTCGTTTTGCTCTGTCAACTCCTAATTTTTTCGAGAATTATTTGAAAGTCTCTGCAGTTTTTTCACCTAAAAGAATAAACAGGTTACAGCGAGAATTCCCTCGCCCTATCTCTCTCTCTCTCTCAATAGCTAGACAGAAAACCACTTCCAAGCAAGATACTAAGTCGCATCATCCTGGAGAGAATCAAACAAGCCCTAGATGAAAAACTTCGTCCGGAACAGGCTGGATTCAGGAGAAACAAATCATGTATTGATCAAATCGCCACTCTACGGATCATCATTGAACAAAGCTTGGAATGGCAGTCACCTCTCTATCTCAACTTCATCGACTTTGAAAAGGCCTTCGACAGCGTCGATCGAGAGGTCATTTGGAAACTACTTCGCTACTACGGGGTCCCATCGACAATTATACACCTCATCCAACAGTTATACGACAATGCTGCATGCCAAGTAATCCACAACGGGAAACTTACGGAAGCCTTCGAAGTGAGGACGGGAGTGAGGCAAGGCTGTCTACTATCACCAATGATCTTCCTGATTGCAATCGATTGGATAATGCGACAGACAACGTCAACCAACGAGGGAACAGGCATAAAATGGACTGACACAAAAGACTTGGAGGATCTGGATTTCGCCGATGATATATGTCTGATTTCCCATAAACTGGAAGATATGCAAATGAAAAGTAACAAATTGGCAGAAGAAGCATCAAAGATAGGACTTCACGTGAACATAGATAAAACAGAGATGATGAAGATTCCTTGCCAACATCAACAGCAACAACAGACCACAATAAGCATAAATGGGAAGAACCTGAAAGAAACAACCTCCTTCACCTACCTGGGAAGCATCGTCTCAACTACAGGCGGAACTGACGAGGACATCAAAGCCAGAATCGGAAAAGCAAGACAAGCTTTCATTACTCTCAAATCTGTGTGGAGGTCAACATCATTCAGCATCAAAAATAAGATCCGGATTTTCAACTCCAATGTGAAGTCAGTGCTACTATACGGATCAGAGACTTGGCGAGTCATAAAGAGCATCTCAAACAAACTTCAAACCTTCATTAACAACTGTCTCCGCTCAATACTCAAGATCAGATGGCCAGAAAAGATCAGCAACAGGGATCTCTGGGAGCGAACCAATCAGGAACCGATTGTGAAACAAATAGGCAGAAAGAAATGGAGATGGATTGGCCATACGCTGAGGAAACCAACAAGTGACATCACTAGACAAGCCCTCGAGTGGAACCCGAAAGGGAGGCGGCGAGTTGGTCGTCCAAGGGTGACTTGGAGGAGGTCATGTGAAGAGGAGATGAAAGCATGTGGGCAGACCTGGAGCAGGGTGAAAAAGTTGTCAAAAAACCGAAGTCAATGGAGGTGCGCAGCTGAAGCCCTATGTTCCTCTAGGAACTAAAGGATACAATAATAATAAATATAATAGTATAAGAAATTTGTAAGGCTTATCATAAATCTTAGCTTACTGAATTAAACGTCCAAACTGTGGTTTCCTCGGTGGATTATAATTATACAAAGATCCACGACGAATAGGTCGAGAAATTTGTGAAAGGCAAACCTGAAGGAGACAGGAAAAGAGAAAGAATTGAAAAGTAAGAGTTTATTTTTGAAATAATTGTTAAGCTTACTAGTGATTGACAACAAGCTGATGTTGTCTGCGATTCTGGTAGTAAGTTGTCATCAGCGGCGTCTACGACGTTAGGTGTGAGGATAGATACTCACCAATGAGTGCGAATTGATAGGAATTTTGGCTCCGACCCACTGTTTGAATGCTCGTCAAGCTCACCTTATAACTTGGAAGTCCTAGGTTCGATCCCTGATGGAATCATGGTTGCTTACAGATGAAGAGGTCAATGTACGGACGAAACAGTTGTAGACTTAATCAACTGACTTGCCTTTTTTGCCTGAAATTCTACGCCTCACCTCAATATTACTCAATATATTTAAACCAATTAACACCGGAAATAGAAAGCAAACATCTATGGTTAAAGAAAGCTAACGTGATCACATCATCCACTTTCAACAGTCACGTTGAACAAATTAAACAAGGACATTAAAGGCACTTGAGCAACCAAACGTCTTTTGTTTCTTCTCTTACACATTCAAGTGATATTTTTATTTCCTTCACGTTCCCAGTGGAACATAGGGCCTCAAGCTAGTGGCTTCAAGTTTCTGCCCAACCTTTCCTCTTTACCAGAATTATTTCTGGCTTAGCGAGGTAAAGGACATACCCACTCATTTATACAACTAGAAGTTAAAACTGAATGGATAACAAAACATTTGAATCTAGGAGATATGCATTTCATCCTATTTGGGACTTGTCATCTGGAGGTACCTGAATTCCCAGTGAGGATGATAGTGTTATCACTGCTACTCCATACCAGTGTGGTGAGAGCAGACTGCTCGCCAATTGGTAGACATTAATTTGCGTCAATGTTTATGTCCCAAATATTGGTCGAGAGAAAATATGAACAGAGACTGATTCCACAACCAACCACAGAAGACTTTGCATAGGCGGATATAGTTAACATGTAGATGATCTGACATTCAAGAAACAAAGAGATTCAAGGTTAATTTTCTGTGAGAAACAACCAATCAGAAGACTGTGTTTTTCTGCTAACAATAATGTTTAATATGTACATGAAAATCTATAAATATGTGTTGATTTCTTTAATAAAAGATCTGTTGCCTGGCCCTTGTCTTCTGTTGTTACACCAGAACCCGTTGTTTAAAATGCCAAAGTTTTATCCACTAGACAACTACTCGGTGGATGTCGCGTTCAAGTCACAGTGGGCACACTAGTACTCACTGGGGATGCAAGTGCATTCAGCAGACGAGTCCCAGACAGGAAGAAATGTGTATACATCTCTCAGATTCCACTGCTAGTCACAATCTATTAGAAATAACACCATGTTAGTGTTTTTTGAGACATCGTCAAAGCGTCAGTACTAGGAGAGCTGACATATCAACACAACGCAGTGGATCGAGCATTACAGTCAACCATAATCATTATAATCAATACATTATATAACTACCCGTAATTTATCAGCATATTTTAATACACTCGTATAAAATAAACACCATGGTCGTTGATCAGCTGATCCAGATGATCCAGTAGGCGGTGGTTTCACAGTGAAATTCACTTGCATTGCTAGACGATTTGCTCGAAAATATTTGAATGAATCATGCTAGAACAATTAATAATAATAACAGAGAATATAATTAATCCAATGTAACATAAATAGATGAAATCAGCAAAATATTCTGTAAATAGGTGAAGGTATTGGCAATTATTTGCTTTTGTCAGTGTGCATGTGAGTAGAGCTTTCCAATGAAAGTTGTTCCATGATCTGTGTGGAAGCTGAGATTCTGTCCGGACGACCAGATCACTCTTCCAGAGCCTTTGGCTTGGAATCATTTCCACAGAACAGAAGAGCTGCATACCCATGGTTACCACACAGGTCGAATTCTTTCGGATTCTGTAGCCCATATGTACCACAGGTTTGAAATCCGTGTTCTCCACCACGTTCCGTTAGATTGACCTCTATGTCCACGAGTGCAGTGGATCAAAACAGTTTTGAAGTCATGATAGATTTCCAAAAACAAGGCGACAGAACGGTGGCTTAAAAATGAGTAGTTCACTTGACTCTTGATAACGACGGATTTCAGTAAGGGTTACTGGTCCTGATAGACAACGATGTGGCTTAGGCACACCACTAATAGTAGTGTAGCTGGCACATTTGTTTACAACTTGGGTAGCCAATTGCTTACTTAGGCCTTTCCTATGGGCATTCTACGAGTCATTTGCTTGGTACGTGTTATACAAACAATACTGGCTACTGGTATGAGACACCTAGTAAAGTGTATATTACGCTGTTTTCTTAATTTGTAGCAAGTGGCGGAATTAATACACTCCTGCTTAAAGTTCTCAGTAAGTCAGGTGATACATTCTAGAAATATCCTTTGGCTACTTTTAAAATATAGAGATACGTCTTCATAGGCTTGAACAGTGGACCTTCAGACACTAGCTCAACTGTTCGAGTTCCATTCCACCTACTTCAGTTTGGGCAACTGGATAGTAACATCATTCATAGGATAATTATGACTTAAAGCCTGCCTCCTATTTTGATTATTCCAATTACCATCACAGAACCTTTTTTTCACTCTTTAGCGTTCCGAGTGGAACCTACAATTTGGAAGTTCAAGTAGCAGTGGTGTTTTCTTTTACGTGATAGCACACTGCTAGTATCATGCTTAACCTTCTTTTTTTACTGGGCTTACTATCTGTTAAACGAAGTTCAGAAATGCATCTCCAGGGAGTCGAACTGCAAACCACTTGTGTGAATTAGACAGGTAAACACAGTTAGGCGTCAGCGCTCACGCTTGCCAGCCATATGTAGGTGATCTGAACCGATTGCAAGCTCGGTTGAGTGCAGGATTAGTAGCTTTACCCGATGAGACGAAGCATCACCACCACTTATGAAACTACAAGGCATGAAGTCCTGCCATGCTCTTAGAATACAAAGAAGTGAAAAAAGAAATCAGTTAAGCTGTCTGCTTTCAAATAAGCAAACAACAGAGTGGTAAGAAAAGTCATACCAACAATATATATATATATACACACACACACACAGCAATAACCGGAAAATAAACGAACCTGTAGTCGCTCTGAGGGGGATAAATTCTCTGTACAACAATATTTCACTGAATGATGATCATTAGGATCACGTAATGACAACCAATCGAGCCTCACACTGATTGAATAAGACAACAAGAATAAAAAACATACAAACGAACAAGAATGCAAAGTATAAATAATCATAAGACTGAAAACAGAAAAAGTTAATTGCATTATTTGACGTAAACCACTGAATATGGTGGGTCTGCTGAAATTACTACACCGCCTAAATTTCCATTCCAAAATAATTTACCTAAACCAGTGTGGCTTCAGGTACAAGCAGCCCTTAGGCTCATCCTAACCAATCCTGTTGAACATTAAAACGGTAATGTAGAAACAAGAGCTACGTTCAAAGCAACCGATTCATATCTAAAGAGAGCTGACTGCACTTGCTGAAGTTAGTTTAGTTGTTTCTGGAGACCCTAATTCAACTGTTAGTGAACTAGCTCATCACCGTCAACTAAATTCTTCAGCTTATTAACTACAGAGGTCAATTAGGCTCAACTTCTGTTTCTGACTAGAAATAGTCAAAAATTCTATGTATTTGGAGGTGTCAGCCTTTTAATACGCTTCGAGGACTAACCTCACATCTCAGTTGGATTACCATCATTCAATGGGAGTGCAGGTATATCCAGCTAACAAGTCAGCTACGTACAGGATGAAAAGCGCACCCTAGATGAGTTCCACTGGTAGTCACCCCGTCTACCAAACTGTAACACAGTGTTCTCGCAATTATCATTATTAGCGATATGTCTTGTATATGGATTCAGTTTGTACTAATTGTGATTTCATTCCATCCTTATCTCCTGATACGATTTGAAGCCAATGGAAGTGGATATATTTAAAGATTTTTACAAGCATATCAATAAGTTTTGTTTATTAGAAGGTATTGTGATGAAGAGTAACGACCTCCTGAGGATAATATCGCCGACTACTGGGTGAACATGTGGCAGAAGTAAATTGTGCCAAGTCTGTATCGTATCTGTACGTAGATTAGGGAAAACAAGGCTAATTTTGAGGGGATGGTATTAATTCCTTTCCTATCTGTATTTTGTTACTCTTTCTTTTGCGATCAGCTTTATACTACTTACTACTTTACCAGTATTAAGTAGTATGAGTTTATACTTCGTTTACTATGTTGGTGCTTTGTAAAAAATATTGTTAGCTATTGACAGTAACCTTATTTTATGTATAAACACTGCTTGTCCTTTGTTAATTCATATTTCTCTAGTTGAACGGTATCTGTTTTATTTATATTCCACTCCTCATTGAACACTTATTATTTATCTGGCCTGTGGATCGCCCTTGACACAGTTTTGCTGTATTTTCTTACTGATGCACATAAACAATAAATTTCATGGACTTCCGCCATAGACACCCCGCATTTTGATATTTTCATAGTATATTCATTATTCAATAAATCACATGCTACTGTACTTTAAGAACAATCCTGCATTTTCAGATTTTACGTGCAATTCAAATGTTTGACTAGCTAGCTGACTGACTGGTTTCAACATAGAACTTTGTACAGGTGTGCGGTAGTTCAAGTTCCCACTTTCTCTTCATGTATTACCACACAAAATAAGAGAAGAGATTAAAGACAGATTCAAAAGACAGATAATAAATGTAAATATAAGGCAAAAAGAATAATAATATGGAAGAACAGTAGGATTTTAATGGAAATGATAAACTACAAGGAGTGAATGCATCTGCACCAGTCATTGAGAATGAGGATTTTGAGTCATATTACCAATTGTCTCTAGCCACCATCATTGGCTCTTACCATCCCGACGACCACAACCGCACTGACAGTCTACACCAACCTATATGGCTGGTCGGCTTAAAAGAACTGCTATGGATTTCACTGATTGGTGAAGCCATGTTTCAGTTTGACCATCACCAGCTCTTTTCTAACCTGATCCATCCTATGTCAGTCAGTTAACATTCCCCGTCCGTCAATGAAAACAATGGCTAGGATAGGGATGCGTAACACATATCCTAAAGATCTCAATCGATGTAACTTCACAATCTCGTCGACTGATTTCCCCTCCCACCTTACCTACCACTCACTGTACACCTAATCTCAATATTGTTCACATTATACCACCTGACAAGGGAGATAGAACACAGACACCTATGACCAAAGACAGCTAACCGGTCATATGTAGAAACATCAGCCTCACTTAGTTCACTAGCTTGGGAGAGAAACAAGTAGCAACAAATCTGGAAAAGCAACCCAATCAGTACGGGAACTTTACAGCAGAGAAGGAAAAAAAACTTATTTTCTTCTGGAATAAGGAACACTTCAATTTGAGGACTGATGACGCTGACTACTGAAAGCCTCCAGTAAACCACTTTCAGACAATAAGTCCTTCATTGTATGTGATGAAAACACTTCAACTGCCGAACTTCTTAGAATATTTAATGGTTCTCACCCATCTTTGCTTTCCACGATCGAAGAAGAGTCGGATTCTTCCTTTCACTTTCTTGATGTTAAGCTAGATAGAAGAGAGAATGGAACGCTGTTAAGGTCGATTTACCGAAAGCCAACATTCACTGGGCAGTACACTAACTTCAACAGTTGGGTACCTTTAGGAAGAAAGAGAAATCTTATTCATTCCTTATGCTCCAGAATTCGTAAAATCTGCTCTGCAGAGACAATTGATAGGGACCTAGATAACCTTCGATCAAATCTGCTTAACAATGGTTATCCCACAAGGTTCATTGAACATAACATCAAGAAAGAATCCACCCCGAGACAAGTCACAGTACCAAAGAAAAATCTGTTTATGAGTCTTGCATTCAAAGGTGACACCATTTCAGAATTGATTAAAAGTCGTTTATCTAAATGTGTTAAACTCACTTTTCCTGCAGCTGACCTGCAACTAGTTTTTACCAGCCGAAATATGATCAGACAATGCGTCAAGGATAGATTACCGCTTTTGTCCACATCTATGTGCATTTACTCTTTTACTTGCTCTTGTGGAGCTGTTTATATTGGACGTTGTAAGCGTAATCTCCGAAAACGTGTAGCTGAACACTATCCGGTTTGGTTAATGAAAGGCGAACGTAGAACTGCAAAGTCGTCTATTTGTGATCACCTATTAGAGTCTGGTCATTAAGCCCCACGTGATTCATCTTTCAAAGTTATCTACATGGCAAAATCGAATCGATCCAAAAGTTTACGTTTTCTTCACTTATGCATAGCCGAAGCTTTAGCTATACATGAACAGAAACCTAAATTATGTGTTTAAAAGCGTTTTGTCAAACCCCTTTCTTTACCTTGGTCATAATTATGTTCTTTCTAGTTTTTATTTTATTTTACCACTTGAATTCTTTCCACTTCACTTCACATCTTCATTCTTATGGTAATCGTACTCCTAATTTTCAAAATTTTTAGACAACACTTGACATTTTTGTTATACAACAATCTTTAATATTTTTGTAATTTATCCACTTCAACTCTACCCCTTATAACTTTCATCACATATATACGTACATTGACTGAGCAATTAATTAGTGCCACTTAATTACCTTTTTCGGTAATATAAATACGACTGTACAGCTTGAAAATGAAGTCGTTGAAAAGAAATTTCTTCGCTGAACAAAAGCTGTGTTTTTACTTATGAATAAATGGGTATTTTTCGAGAATAAAAGAAATATTAAGCATGGGGGAAATAGAATGTCTGCCGAATGTTCGAGGCTAGCAAGGCTGCTCATTATGTACAAGAAAAGAGAAGATATATAACGACATAATACAAGGGCAAAGCAACAGAGCGTTTATTCAAAAAATCAATAGATATTTATAGATTTTTATGTACATTATTGTCAGTAGAGAAGCAACGTTCTCTTATTGAAAGTTTTTTTTTTGATTACAGCTTGATTCCATACCGTATTTTTTGGTACATGTATTGAATTTTTAGCATGTGATATTATCAGTAGTCTAAATTTTGCAGGCCGATCATAGTTATCAGGTGTGCGTCGGCAAGGGATCGTACCCCGGACCATGTGCATGGTCGGCGAGAGTCCCAACCACTGTGCTTGTGATCATTTCTCAGAAAGTTAAGTCATATATCTACGAATTGTATTTGCACACGTTAAGTCTGCTATGATTGATTGGTGAGTTTCTCAAGTCATGACCCCGATTCGGGACGTAAGTAACACTGACAGAAATTGCTGTCTACAATTTTGGCTAGCAGACAGCTCTGACAACAGATATACTATTTGTGATAGCAGATGAAATGGAAGTGGACTGAGTATTGATCAGAGAGTCAATAATCTAGTCTAGTTATCCAGACGACTTGCCACGAATACACTGAGGATGTTTTGTTCTCTGAGCTGGATGGTTAGTTTGCGAAGCTTTCATCACCTTACTGGGTGACATCTTCAGCGCATACTTCAATTTGAAGTGAGCTTTTAGATTTCTCCACGAGTTTATTAATCATCTCTCCTGGTGACCTTGGACGTGAATGGTTGTTTATGTGTGTTTTAACGTCTTCTAGGTTACTTGTATTGGAACCGGTTGTTTCTTTGACTTGAACTTTGACCCTTTGTGTGTGAAGTTTCTTTCTTATTGGTTGATAAATTTTGTCAATCTCGATGTGTCTATTGATTGATGATCCACTGGAATGGGTGTGGAAACACACACAAACAACCAATCACGTCCAAGGTCACCAGGAGAGATGAATAATAAACTCGTGGAGAAATCTAAAAGCTCACTTCAAATTGAAGTATGCGCTGAACATGTCACCCAGTAAGGTGATGAAAGCTTCGCAAACTAACCATCCAGCTAGGGAGAACAAAACCACATCAAAATCATCCACCTGAGCTACAAATCTTCTCTATCATATCTACACTGAGGATGTGGTGATCATCATAATATAGTGGGAATCAATCTCCTCTGAAGCTATGGTAGAAAGAATGAACTCAAAATGAAAAAAAATGGACTAGTAAACATTGCTAAACACCTATATCACGATTCAATAATGATGTACACTTGAGACTTTTGAAAGCCTGATGTCACATGCTTACTTAATATGATGAAGTGGATGGAATGTGAAATAAACTCAAGATCCAATGACTTAATGGTCATACGCTAAAACAGATAAATGACATGGTTTGATACGAGACTTTCAGTTTAATTATAGTATGGTTAAAGAGTAAAGGTAAGAGACAAGACACATGGTAAGGGAATATTTATTTGCAATTTGGTAATCTCTACATAGGGAAATTATGTACACCTTTATCTTCAAATCACCATCAACACAGATCTTCTGTGTTGTGCCTGCTACTTCTGCCCTCCCTTCGTATTCTGTCTCTTTGTCTTTTTTTCATGTCTACCAACTTCTGCAGTAATACTGTTCTATCCTACTCTCTTTGACATCAAATCTCTCTCTCTCTCTCCAGCTAACTGATATTTTTGTGCCAATGAATGTTTCTCTTTGCATACTACTGATAAATCTTGTCAGTAGCAGCATACGGCAGAGTAACCAGATCTCATTAATAATTTATAAATTAGGCGAAGTTAAACTTTCGACACCACTAACTACCAATCAGCGAATTATCCAATGGGATTCACGAAGGATGTCGAATTATCCAATGAGATTCACGAACGCAGTTCAATGCTGTAGAGCGCTTGATTCTTTTCTAATACGCGACCTTACAAGATTACTGTTGCAATTCGAGGAGTACAGTGTTTTCCAGTATTGCCTGGATTTAGGGTTGCTCCGGAAGGAGCGAACTTGTTTGTGTGTTGGCATCATGACTTTAAAAAGCTATAGCAGATCAACTGATGGGTTTGTTCATCGTTGTGCTATGTGTTTGAAGCGTGCTAACATTAGAGCGGATAAGCTGATAATTTTAATATTTCGTAGGAACTTTTTTCACTAGGTCGCATCTCTCCCTAACCCAGAGTTTCTACATCTGCAACTACTGGGTGTTGAAACAGCCGGTGAGAGCAGCAGCTGCCGAGACTGAGAATAGTCTCGTCTCAACAGTTTAGTGGTACCAGCATTGTAGAGATATTGCTTCGTGTAAAATAGGGAAAATCACTTGTTTGCTGGGTGAATCCCGTTACGAGGACTCATGCGAATTCCATTGAAGGTTTTTGGGGCTGCTTGAAAAACAGGATAAGGGCTATAAATAGATCTCAAAAGGATCTCATCTACCGGCATTCAGATAAATATAAGTACACGATGTGGTGTGACTTCTCCATTGACAGTCTTATGCTAAACTTGGAGATGTTTCTCTCACATGTTCGAGAAAGATACCCCTTGTAACCGTTTTATCCTCTTTTTTATGCTTTTTTCTATAAATATACGTTTCCATTCATCATATATGCCTATTTAATATGATTGGTCCGTTCAAAGTCGTTTGCTGATTGGTTGTTAGTGGTGTCGAAAGTTTAACTTTGCCATAAATTATGTATTAGAAAGGAGGGGAGAAGAGGAAAAAGAAAGGAACTGTAGGGAACTTACGTCATTTCTAAACGTGGCCAATGAAATAGTCTACATATCCCATCATATTTTGATGCTGTTTGATAGACAATATCAAGATCTCCATCAACACGTATAACTCCTTTAAAACAGCAGCATAAAAGGCATATATAAAACAGAAAAGAGTTTAAGCATGACAAACAAAGATTACGTCTTATGAATATTATTAGAAGTATTATTAAGCAGAAGATGTATTTCTACTGGACACACATCCGACTGACTCAATGTCATATGACTCTCTGAAGTACATACAAAATTCCATACTTTGTGTGAAGGCTAGGACACTGCTCAGATGTGAAGACCCAAGCAGATGGTTGTCTTAAGCGGCTCTCCTCGAGCCATTGCCATAAACTCTAATCTACAAGGCAGTGGAAAGGCATCATGATCTAAGTTTCCATGATTTCTGGTGGCCGAAACATATTCATACGCAATTCGATTCGTTCAGATACTAGAGTCCATATACACCATAAGTTCCTTTGAACACCCTTCCAAAGTCAACCACTAATGAACATTACATTAATTTACAAAAAGGATAGTCTACAGGAATTTCTCACCTACAATACAGTGCTATAACAAGCGGAAATTCAGTCTCAGGTTAGATTGAAGCCACTGATATTACTTGTCAGCTTCAATTAATATTTCCTTAAATTAATTTGCGCAATATGGCAACAGTTATAATAATAGTAGCTCAAGATCTCGATTTCGCAGTGGACGATTAAAGTCTAATGTCTCACAAGCTCGAAGAAATATACGCTAAGACTAACCAACTGGCTGAAGCAACAGGCGGTGAAGACAGGACTCCAAGTGAGCAAGGCGAAGATGGAAGTGATGAAGATAACCAACCAATAACATCAACAACACACCAATCACTATCAACGGTTACTTCCTTCACTTATCTAGGCAGCCAGCAGCATCTTCCCAACTACAAGCAGTCGGAACGGACAAAGATGTCAAAGCCAGCCAGAATCGGAAAGGCAAGGTACATCTGTAACATTCTGGAACCAGTTTGAAAATCTGCGCTCGGCTAGCATAAAGAACAAGATTCGGATATTCAATACCAGTGTCAAGTCAGTCAGTTCTTCTATATATGGGTGAGAAAAGTGACCAGCGCATCACAAAAAGCATTTCCAACAGGCTTCAGACTTTTATCAACATCTGCCTTCGTCGACAGCATACTGAAGATTAGGTGGCCGACCAGAAAAAATTAGCAACAATAAATTATGAGAACAAACCAACCAAGCACCTATTGTCTAACAAATATGCCGAAAGAGTTTAAATGACTTGGACATACACTGAGGAAATCTTCAGATAACGTCGAACGTCAAGTCCTTTAGCAGGACGAATTGAGCATCCTAGGGTGACATGGATGAGATCGTACCAGGAGGAAATGAAAGGGACCACAGAAGAGAGGACACAGTGGAGATGTGCTGTTGAAGCCAGCCCTATGTTCCCCTCGGAACCCAAATGAACAATAATACATTAATAATAATAACAATAATAGTAATAACAGAAAAGTGAATATGAAAAACGCTCATATTACCATTTTCCCAATTGACAACAACACGATTCCATTGCCAAGTGAAAAATTCTGTTGAATTATACGGACTTAAACTAGTTGAATATAACCAATGCATTGCATCAACAGCGAATAAAAAACGACCATGCAACAGTAGACGTGATTTATCCCACCAACCTAATGGTGGATAAGATTTATCTTTTGTCAATGGTTTAATATCATCTAAACGTTGATTTAACCAAGATATTGTCGGCTCCCAATTAGCACCATAACATATATGCAATGACTTGACATCTATTATACACAAAGGGAAGGGGGGAAGAAGATACAAGTAAACAAACAAACAAACAACAGAATGATTGGTTATTTCATTAATCGTTTTATTACATAAAAAGGGCTTAAAGCTTAGATGTTTCAGGAATGATAGTGTTCAAGTATTGGTTTGTAAGGATTTGATTGATTGATTGATTGGTTCCAGGATTTCATCATGAGCTGACATAGGTTAGAGAAACATTGAAAAACCTGCAGGGAGTACTGGACAGCTGTTTCATCAGTCTAGTTTGGGAGTCTTTCGAAGTACGCACCCAAGGCAAGCACATAGACCATTAAGTCACTGGGATCCGATCCAATGGCCAGTCCATGAATCCCAACAACTTCTACTAATTCACGACGTAGTGCGATTTGCACTCGCCAATGTCATCGCTGGCGAGTGTTTGTCATAACGCCTGACCTGCTGTACCCTACTAGTCACAAATTCCCACTACAACTTCAGATAACCTCCTACATAAGAAGTTCAGCCTGAAATACAGGACTTCAAGCTTAAAGGTTTCAGTAGCGATGGCGTTGTTTGACATTTTACAAGACTACACCGTATTACTAGCTTCATGCCCACCTTTCCCTTTTTTTTCTTCCTCGCTTAGTCGAAGTTATTTTTTTAAATTATTTTTGATTACAGCTTGATTCCACACCGTATTTTTGGTACAAGTATGGAATTTTCAGCATGGATATCGGTAACCCAAATTTTGCAGGCCGACCATAGATATCAGGTGTGCGTCCTGAAACCAACCAAATCCCAACAAACCAACACTTAAATACCAATGAGATGCTCACTGGCGACTGGCCCTATTCAGGTAGGTAGTTACCTGGGTTCTAGTGGGAAGTCGTGACCAGTAGGGTGCAGCGGGTCGGGTGTGAGGACAATTACCCGCCACCGAAGACATTGGCTAGTGGTCGCTCTATGTCGTGAATTGGCACAAGTTAGAACTCAAGGACCATTGGAACTGGTCCCAGTGGCTTAGTGGTATACGAGCTCGCCTTGTAATCGGAAGGTCCTGGGTTCGAATCCCGGTGGGTGCGTACTGATAAAAAGTCCCAAACTAGGACGAAACAGCTGTCCAGTACTCCCAGGTTTTCCAATGGTTCTCTAACTAATGTCAGCTCATGATGAAAATCCTGCAACCAACCAAATCCCTACAAACCAACACTTAAATATATTACTTCTGATTACTTTCACCCCACTGTGTGAGTACATGCAAGTAAATGCATTGCAATGACCAAGCTATTTTCAAGATTATTCAACTTAGCCGGATCAACCCTTCTAGGTCTAGTTAAATTACTATGTTCCAATAATTTAATTGATCCCGATCTACTAGTTCGACTTATGTATGTGACCCCACTTAGAGTCATTATATGGTAACTAGTAAATTACATTATTTTTCTTAATTGGATATGTTGGATACCTTAGCCAACAAAGTTTGTCTCTGAATGATTGAGTTGATTGGTTTAAATGCCTCTTTAATTTCAGCCTCACTAAGAATTCTACACAGGGTTCCTGATGTTCCTCCTTCATATAGTATTACAACCAAGTCTTTGAATTCCTTATTGCTAATATCATTTGCAGTATTTAAATTACTACTCTTATTTTCCTTATGCGTCTTCATGCATACACAACGCCTATACCGAAGATATATATATATATATATATAATGCTACAGGACTGGACTACCTTGACTTCTAGCTTAGAAATAAGGAATGAAGTGGTACAGCGTGTTGACCACTTCACTTATTTGGCAAGTTGCATCAGCCAACGCTAGCGGGTTGATCGCTAATGAAATCTCAGCACGGATACAGAAGGCTCGTTTCTCAATAAGCCAGTTTAAGCCGTCTCTGGTGGAGATGTAACATCGGGCTATCGACCAAAGAGTGTGTGTAGTGATCAGCAGTCCACTCCGTCCTCCTTTGGGGCTACGAGTAAGACATGAAAACACCGGCTAGCTGTCCTTGATCAAAGATGTCTGAGTTCTATCTCCCGTGTTAAGTGGTGGCATAATAGAGTGAGCAATACTGAGGTTAGGCGTCCAATGATTGCTAGGTAAGGAGGAGAAATCAATCAATGAGGTTATGAAGTTAAATCGATTCAGATGGTTAGGATATGTGTTATGCATTCCTATCCTAGCTATTGCCTTCCTCGATGAACGGTCAATGTTATCTGCTTGATAAAACGATGGATCAGGTTGGAAAAGAGGTAGTGGTGACCAGCCGAAAACATGGCTTCATAAGTCAATGAAATAAATCCATAACAGTTAGTGTAAGGCGACCAGCCACTTAGGAAGATGAAGACTTCTTGACTGGCTGGGGTCCTCGGGATGGTAAGAACCAATACCGATGGCTGGAGACACTTGGTGATATGGCACAAAATTCTAGTTCCCAATGGCTGGTGCAGATGCATTCACTCCTTGTGACTTATAATATCCAATAAAATCCTAATGTTCTTCCATATTACCATTCTTTTTGCCTCATATCTCTGTTTATAATCTTTCTCTTTGGAATCTCTTTTTACTTTCTTTTCTTGCTTTGTGTGCTAATTGAAGTATGGCAACTGGAACTGCTGGACACCAGTGCAAAGTTATACGGCGAAACCAGTCAGTCAGTCATATACATATTTAGAGAGAGAGAGAAAGGACAAATCATGGTGGCGTGTGAATAAATTGATGTTTATAAACAATAAATTGTGCTCGAAACGTCATTTACTTATTAATACTGTGTGTTACATCGAATAAACTTTTCTAATATGACAGTCAATAACAATACCGTTAAATAATCAATATTAAAAATAGAACTGTGCATAAATCAAATATCACTGAACAAATATTTTGTTCCTCTCGTCAAATCTACCAAGCAATGAAAACTTATGATCACGGGAATTACTAAAAGCTAATCAGTTCATGTTGTTCACTTTGAATAAGGGAGTTTGCATTAATGATGTCTTTATCCAGGTGAGTCTGATGGAATGCATAATGAAAAACCCTAAGAATGACCATAGTATCTACAATCATATATATATATATATATATATATATATATATATAAGCATTCGACTTTCAAAAAATAGGTTTCGGTGTTGTCCTGTCCTTTTTGCAACTAGCCTAGGCGTGTTTCATGAAAAATCTATTTCCGGTCATTGAGTCGAAACAAACCTCAATTGATGACTCCAACTGACAACAACCAATATCGTCATAGGATGGCTGAGAAGAATAATTGCTCAGATGTTTGTTTCGCACTCTTAATTTGTATTTGAAAAAGCCATTCACATTCCTCATTGGTTTAGACTGTTTGCTGTGGCAGTGAATAAAGGCGGTAATCAGCTGTGATTAGCCCTAAAATCGACCAATCAGACAACGGTTATGTAAAATAGATAGCCATAGAGACGCCCACGCACATGTACGCAACTTAGTCGTTCTGTGATTGGTGGATTTAAATTTAGTCGTATCAGAGCTAATATTGGCCTTTGGAAGTAGTTGCGTTCTCTGAGGTGGTTGGTTTTACCTGTAAAGCTTTCGTCATCCTTCTGGACAACATCTTCGACCCAAGTTTTTGAACAAAATGAACTAATTTAAATTCTCCATGAATGATAGAATTGTGTCTCCTGGCAGTCAACTTCGTGACCGGTGGTCGATTTACATCTGTACTGCTCATTTTTTTATTGGCTTGGAATTTGAACTTTCTTGTCATGTGATTTACTTTTTATCAGCTGATAAATTTGGTCCATATTAATATGTTTGTTAATCGATGGCTAACTCACTTGAGTACCAGGCTTCTAGGAACTCTCTGGCAGTTTTGGTGTTTCCTCTATTTAAAACTTCGAAAGCTTAGCAATTAAATCAAACAGATCATAGAATACAGATAATTGCAAATTATCTACCTAAGCTACAAATCTTCTCGATTATTTCAATGTTTGCCTTTATCTATCTACCCTTCAAGAGATATACTCGATGTCTGCCTTGAAGAACAAAGCTTCAGGTAGCACCATTTAACTGAAAGTCACACACACACATACATACGTAATTTTTTAGCGCCTTTTAAAAAAATAAAAGAATCAACAAAGTAATGAGAAAGAATAAAACATCAAGTAGACAAGAAAGTTATGAAGAAAGTAATGATTGATTCAATTTACCTGCATTTAAATCATAATAAAATTTTGTGGGTGAACTACCACGAATAAGCGTGTACTTTGGCCAAGGTTTACCAGGTTCAATTGAAACTTTACGCTGACCTATACATAAAAATCAGAAAAATAATTCGAAATGCAAAATACCGAGTAAATCTTTCATATACATTTTCGTTCATAAGAATAGTATCTTATATGTAACCTATGTGTACTTATGGTATGATATAACATGTTTGACGCAATTACTGATACAAGTGTTTGCTGAAGGCCAAGATATATACATACCTGTAAAAATAGAGACACATGGGTGAAATTACACCTATTTATGATAGAACTACATATGCCATAAAGTTTCTCAATTGGAGGAATGTGATAAAAGCTGGTGTTACTGAGATACGTACTAATACCTAGTAATTAACTGCTTGTCGTTTTTAGATGTACTCACAATTCGCCAACATAATGGGTTAATAGGATGACCTATCTACACGATACTTACTTGGATGAGAAAGTATATAAGATACCACAGTTCCTGTTCATTCCTCTGTGATAAGGGGTTAGTTAAGTGTTTGTTCAAACATATTTAACACATATGTACACAAGACACTATGGGTGAAATTCAAAATGTTGATGAAATATTATAATATAATGACTATTCTGTGAAATTCACTAAGTGCTATAGACGTGTCGAACAAAAAAGGCTGTACGCATGCACGCAAGCGGCCCTCCCCCACCTTCACCAAAGGAAGTCTATGCATCTCTTCACATTTCGAAAGTAACTGCCAGATTCCGATCACTAAACAACAACTATGTAGACAAGCTAATTCTTACAGAGAAAATGAAATTCACCCTGTCAGCAATTGAACAACAGTGTCAGATCCGATTGTGTTTACTAGTTAACATGTATACTGTGATCACACTTGCATAAGGAAATGGGCTATAGAAGGCCTTCCTACATGATTGCAAGTGTAAAGAAAGCCATATAATTTATTTAACTGACACTTGCAATAGACATACAACTTCACCGACAGCAAAGCATTTCATTGAGAAGGATACATCAAACTGCTTAGCTGTACACACATCTCTTTGACAGATACCAGAATGTCACGTCTACACCGAACATGGCATATATAATATTACAGAGCGGATTATACACAAAGGAACTACAATCAATAGACGGTAAAAGAATAATTGCATAGAGGATGATGAGAATATCTCGAGTCTGGGAGCTCATAAAGCTTGAATTCATAATATGCATAGCTGAGTATGATTTCCAACCATGCCACACCGACAGCCTTCAGTCACTTCATCGTAAGCATCCTAAGGCAGTCTACACCTTCCCAGGTGAGTCAAAACAAACAGTCAAACAATTCATTGATTGGTTCCATAAGCCTTGATTTGACCACCTCTGTATTTCCCCTTTTTTTAAACCTAATTTAGTATTAGCTAACATCGCTCGACAGGGGAGGCAACGATTTAATACATACAAAACGTGCCCTAACTACTCCCCAATCGATGCAACTCTGCAACCTCATCGATTGACTTTCTCTCTCTCTCTCTCTCTGCCTAACAAAATAAAAGTAGAACACGAATAAAAAGAAAAACACAACAACGGAAATTAACAACAGTGACAAGAATTCCTTACCTTTTTCATCAGCTACCTGTTCAGCAATGACTAATTTACCCCAGAGAAATAAATCTGTCACATCCCAACACGGTTTGGGATAATCTCTTAACTGAAAACGCCAACGATCCACATTCAATGTGATGATACGACACCAAAGTGTGCAGAAATCTTTATCGGTTAGATTTGGCCAAGGACTTAAAAAAGAAGAGACAAAAAGAAAACCAGAATAGACGAAAAATATTGGTAAATATGCATATTTATAATTAGTGGTGAAGCCAACTAAAATAGTTGTGGCTTGACAGGCTTCTTGTTGATTAAGTTGATAAAGACTGAATGAGCAGTAAAGCATGGGTCGTAACAAGATCCAAACTAGCGACAACAGGACATATTGGTCCAGTGCCTTACCACATCAATTATGAGATCCATTACTAATTTAATTATTTATCAAACACAGTACATCATAGGCCTAGAGAGATGAGTCACACAGAGTCCCGCATAGTTTGTGCGAGGGCTAAGATACTATCCGAAATTCCGAACAGAAGCAGGCTGTTGTCTCAAAGGGGTCGACCCCAATGAGCCTTCGACTTGAAGTCTAATCCTGACACTAGGTAGTGGAGAAGGATTACGAGGCGAGTCACTGGTATGGAGTCCGCTAACCTACGAATTCTCACTTCTGCCGATTCGCGATATATATATATATATATATATATATATATATCACAATACTGCTAGAAATCCATCCAATCTCTACAAATCAACGCTTGAAAATCAATCTGATGTTGCTCACTAGTGACTGACTACAGGATGGAGGGCCTGGAGTTTGAATAAGAAGTGGTGACACCACTGAGGTCAACCAAGTTGAGTGAAGAAAAATACTCGACGATGATAGTCACTGGTGATGACAGTATGTATCGCGAACGGACGCAAGAGGAAATCGATGGACCGATGGATTCCATACTAGTGACTGAAAGGTGAACGGGCTCACCTAATAACCTGAAGGTCCCAAGGTTGTGCACTAGTGGGTGAATTGATGGATGGGTGCGTACTACTGGAGAGTTCCCAAACTAGGACGAAGTAGGTGTTCAGTACTGGTTATCGAGTCGACGTATTTTTAGTGACGAAATCGACAGTGGAGGAAAAGAGACAAAGCCAACGCAAAAAGAGACACCACCACCTACAAAACAAACTCACCTTTCATCATCCATCATTTTCATTTGTTCAATAATCTGTTCCCCTGTAGTTAAACTACCATCAGCTAGTGCTTTAATTTTTAAATTATCCATTGTAAATATGAATAATTCATCAGATATAGCATAATCTTGATAGAAACGAGTTAACCGATTCCGATATTCATTAGCTCGTTGTATTTCTATACGGGCAAAACATGCTTGACGTTCTTCGTCTAATGAATAAGAGAAAAAAATGTAAAAAGTAAAAGGGAGAAACATTTTGATGCTGGATCGTATATACTACTGATTAGTTGATATGAATAAGTAGTAGGAAAGCACTCAGGTGTCAGCCGGAAGTGTTTGCTGACTGATTAGATCGAAGTGGTCACACACACACACACACACACACACAGGACAGCCGTTTCCCTTCCTTGGGAGTGGATCTGACCAGTAGTGTTTGTACCCTGTTTTGACTCAGCTCAGAGAACTGAATCAGTTCAAGGCTAGAATGTTCCACCAATGTGAAATGTAGCCATTATCATGTGAGTCTTAAGAGGCGGCCGGAATACTATTTAGCTGCCACAAGTCGCGTCTAAAATATTGGTTAATGTCTTGCTTTCTCAGGTTGAGGAAGACGCTTGGGGAACTGATTCGCGGGTGGTAGGCTGTGCCTCGTGCACACCGTGGATGCACTGATCATTGTTCACCCTTTGTTAGCGGTTAGAACATCGTCACTCGTATTAAAAGCCAATAATTATTCCGATTCTTGATATTAGGACTGCCTTCGATATGCTGGACAGAACGGCTCTCTGGAACTGTCTGTTACAGAGAAGTGTTCCTCAGAAGTCTGTAAAGATCCTGAAAGCCCTATACAGAAATACCTCGGGTACAGTGAAGACAAAAAACTAGCTATCACCATTATTCTCAGTCAACAGTGGGGTTATACAGGGTCGCTCAATTCCTCTATTTCTCATTGACCGTGCTACGGGTGACATTCTTGATTCAGCTGGGAAGGACTTTGTGGTGGTGATAGAGATCTTCTTTCTGGAGAAAGACTTTCGGACTTCGAATAAACAGGTGATTCAGTCTTACTGTATGATAACAAATAGGTTGCTAAATCGCACTAAATTAGTTGGCAATCAGTCTCTATAAGTATGATATGTGCTTGTGCCATTTAAGTGCAAAGTAATGTTGCACAATTGGCAGGAACCTGTATCTGCAATCACTCTTGTAGGTGAATCATTTGATTTTGTCGAGAAGTCCGTGTATGTAGATAGTCGTATGAATGCTGGCGGAGGTATAAAGGGAGAAACCTCTAATCGAATACGCCTATTTGAGCAACCTCTGGAGCCGTCAGTCTGGCTGTCAAAGGTCGGGCATATGCAGTCTTGCTCTACACTTGTAAAACTTTGCCTCTCCGAGGTGTGGATGTCCAGTGACTCTGTGTATTCGATCATCACTGTCTTCGTAGAATCGCAGTATGTGTTCAATCGTATCATGGTGTGGGTAATTCTGATATCCGACAATGTGAGTTTAGAGGTCTCCATTCATTAAATGTTGTTACCTGAAAGCACGTAGTGTCATCTTAGGGGGCTCCTATAGTGGTCACTTTTCGCTAGCGCTGGGACTGGATGGAAAAAGTGGAGAGGTAGTCAGTCTATGACGTGACACCGTGAGATGAAGGGTATTTGTGTATGTATAATAGTAAGCTTAACAATTAAACCACGCGGTTTCGGAGTACACAATCCAATCAGGACAAAAATAGACAACTTCAAAAAATTGTTGTAATAAGTCAAATCAACAAACTGATAGACAAAGATGATTTATAAACATTTAACTACTGACCAGAAATACGTATTCCAGATTGTGCTGCTCTTGTCAGATGTTCACGTAGCTTATTCACACGTTTTTCATGCATAGCAAATTCATCCAATAAAATCTAAGCAAAATGAGTCAAAAGAAATAATGAATATACATAGATATACAAACGAAAATAATCGCTAATATGTTGAAATAAAACATAAACTGGTACATTTCAAAGACTTAGCACGAGCGTCACGAAAAGCATTTCAAACAATCTGCTAAAGACTTTCATCAACACCTAACTACCTTCACTCAGTGCTGAGGATCAGATGACCCAGTCAGAAAGGATAAGCTCACAAGGAACTGTGGAAGAAAACCCGCCAACAAGCTATTACCTGGTCAAACAAATATGTAGACCGGAATCGAGATGAACTGGATGTACACTAAGAAAACCATCAAACAAGACCATCGTACAATAAATGCCCTCAAGGGGAACTGGGATAAGAAAAGCGGTGTGTTGGCCATCCAAAGGTGAGGCCGAAAAGATCTTGTCAAGAAGAGATGAATGCTTGTGTGCAGTCCTGTTAGCTTGCAGACACAACAACCATCGTCTTCTGAAATAAAGTGGATACGAATAAACTTGTAATTCAAAGATACCGAGTGAACAATATCAAAACAATCCTTAAGATATTTTTTAATGGTAAAGCTTTATTTAAACGTATTCAGCTCCAAAGTAGTTTGTTCTCAACATAGGATTCATATGTAAATCAATGATCTGAAGTATATCTTCATTTCTATACAATTGGTGGATGGTGGCTAGCAGTGGAATCCAGGATGCGCATTTCGTCCTATTTGGGACTCGTCAGCTGGATGTACCTGCATTTCTCAGTGAGTGATGATGTTCCCACTGAGGCTGGAACCTAGTGCCTATAGTTTCAAACGCTCAAATAGGACGAAATGAGCATCCTGGATTCCACTGCTAGCCACCGTCCACCACTTGTATACTAATCAAATCCCCAGACATCGTCGAAGCATCTGCACAAGAAGCCGACATGTCAACCTGAGACCGAGCACTTCGGTCCAATCAATCGACGGGAAAATCAAAAATTCAATTCAATAATATCTTCATTTCGTTGAAGAATTGTACAGTGTTTACTTGGGAGCAAGTTATATCATCGCGCAAGTTTATGTATAGGTCATTTGATATAATTGAACGATTAAAACAATGATAAATCCAGATGAAATTAAGCATTTTGGAGGAAAGTAATTTCAGTAGTCCAATGATTTAAGCAGGCCGCCGCCTTATGATGTTACACTTCAGAGGTAGGTGGAATTCTTTTGTGAAAGATGACTCTCTTCCTCGTTTTTATTTAACTTTATCTTAGAAGTGGACTTAAGAATAGAACCTGTGCACTGTGGTAGAATAGAATTCCATTATGGGTAAAATTTATTTTGATAAAGTCTCACAGTGGTATACAGTAATACTACTTACTGATGACCACATTTCGAGCACAATTTATTGCTCCTCATAATTATACCAAGGTATTCACACAACTTTCCAACTTCGTTTATGTAATTCCATTATATTATTCAATCCCTTTATTTGACTGGTAGAAGTGTAACGAAATAAGACAAGGGCCAGACAACAGACCGTTTATTGAGAAAATCAACAGATATATATATATATATATATATATATATTTATGCACATTACTGTCAGCGGAAAAGCGACGTCTTCTGATTGGTTTCTTTTCTTGCTGAAGATTACTCTGTCATCTCTTTGTGACCGTTTCTTAGAAAGTTAAGCCATATGCCTGCGAATTGTATATGCACACGTTACGCCTGCTGTAATTGGTTGGTGAGTTCCTCAAGGTTAAGCTTTGTCATTGTTTTTCTCATGACCCCGACTCTGGAAGTAACATTGACGTAAATTGCTGTCTACAATTTTTGGCTTGCAGCTAGGTCTCACTACCATAGTATTTTCCATATTTCCGGTATGAATGGCGAGTCATCCCTATTGCATGTGTTGGGTGTAGACTCGATAAACAAGGAGAGAGAGAGGTTGATTACTGATTCCTTGTTCATCGAGTCTACACCTAACACATGCAATAAAAATGAATCATCACTCATACTGGAAATATGGAAAATAATACTGCCAATCAAGTCAAGCGATGAATTGAAATAATGGAATTATATAAACGAAGTTAGAAAGTTGTATGAGTACCTTGATATGAGGATTATGAGCAGCAATAAATTGTGCTCGAAACGCGGTCATCAGTAAGTAGTATTACTGTATGACATTGTGAGACTCTATGAAAATAGATTTTACCCATAATGGAATTATCTTACTTAAGAAGGTAGAAGTAGATCTGAGGAATACAAGAACAAAAATACTTCTTCAGTTGGCGATAATGAAAATTTCTGGAAAGGTATTTTTTCTCCATAACTACAATACCAGATATTCCTTGACAAAGGATTTAAGCGTGTAGAGAACTGTCTTGTTATTGAATTACAGATACGACACAAAAAACTATGGGTATAAAGAGCTCTTGAAAGTGACAACTAGGCAAGTAGGTAGTATCTCATCTTCCTTCACTGAGTGTCATTGAGTGAGTGAGTGTGGCTCATAATCCCTTGATAATATGTGTAACTGGATTCTGTTAACTAACAGAAATTAAACAAAAAAAGAAGGAAAACTAATGGGAAAACATTATTCTTACAGTATGAATATCGTTCAGTTTACACTCGAATGGATCATCTTTAATTTCAATAATAAGTCTCTGTAAAAGAAAAAGAGGAGAGGAAATTAGGGGGGGGGGAGGCATAATTAGTTTATTTCAAAAGATGTACAAAAATGAACAATAGCAATAATGATAATATTAACACTTGATTGTTATGTATAAATTATTATTCCCTTGGGTTCCGAGTGAAATATAGGGCTGGTTTCAACAACACATCTCCACTTCGCTCTATTTTCTGCTGTCCTCTTCAGTTGGTTTGCTCCACCATTGACCATAATCTCTCATCACCTCCTCCATGTTCCCCTTGCTCCGCATTCGGATTCCACTCAACCGATGGCCTGCATTGCGCGCGATGTTATTCGACGGCTTCCTCAGTGCCGTGTATGCGCCCAACCAACCAACCCATTTCCATTTTCTTGAGTAGTCGGCTCTTATCTGTTGGTCTGTCCGCAGTCAGAGTTTCTTGTTGCTTATTCTTTCTGACAAGCAGGCCAATTGATCTTCAGGGTGGAACCAACCAGCGAATTGGGCAGCTATTGATAACAATCTTCAGTAACTTGTCAGAAATCCTTTTTGTAACACACTGGCCAAGTTTCTGATTTGTATAGAAGAAATGATTTCACATTTGTGTTCAAAATTCGAATCTTGTTCTTCACACTGGTTGAGTCAGTGTAGAAGATTTCTAAACTGGTTTTTCAGGTTGATGAAGGCGTGTCTTGCCTTACCGATTCTGACTAGCTGGCTTTGGCATCTTCATTCATACTGCCGACTGTATGTGATTGAAACGATGCTTCCTAGGCAGATAAGTGAAGGTAGGAAGTAATTAATCTCTGTCAAATCTCTAGCGTTGATGGTGATTGGATTGATGGTGTTTGTTTTTCCTGTTGCTGTTGGTTGGCTGACTATCTTCATTACCTCCGTCTTCTCTATATGCTCACCTGCACAGTCCTGTCTTCACTGCCAAAAAGCCTCTTCTGACAGTTTGTTGGTTTTTATCTGCCTGCAAGTCTGCGACTTTATATGACATTAAATACAAATCATTCACAAACGAAATCCAGATCTTCTAGAATCTTCTCATAGGTCAGTTCAACGTATTCCTGTCGCCTTACTCCATACTCACAGTTTGACACAAAATCCAATTCACTACAACAATTAAGAATATCATAGGTGACAATAAACAGTCAGCACTATCTAACTCCTATATTTACTTCGAATGCCTCTCTCTCTCTCTCTCTCTCTCTCTCTGAGTTTTCCAATGTGGATCACCTGACACGTGGCATTTTTTCATATAGCCAACTGTTGAATGAGGTTGATAAAGACTTGGGCGCTGCACACCACAGTGTTGAAGTAGTTTCCAAATTGCTTCTTGGTCAACGTTGGAGTTGTCGAAGGTCTTTTCAAAGTCGATAAAGGAAGTTAAGGGGTACATATTTGACTGCTGAATGTTATATACAAAGCAAATTTTAATTCAACACAATCTATCTACACTTATTTTGGAACAAAAGATGGTAACATGTCTTTAAACATAACAAAAGAAATAGGTTGTGTATTATTATTATTATTGTATCCTTTAATTCCTAGGGGAACATAGGGCTTCAGCTGCGCATCTCCATTGCCTTGTGTTTTCTGCCAACTTTTTCACCCCGCTCCAAGTCTGCCCACATGCTTTCATCTCCTCTTCACATCACCTCCTCAAAGTCACCCTTGCAATGACGACCAACTCACCGCTTCCCTTTCGGGTACCACTCGAGCGATGGCTTGTCTAGTGATGTCATTTGATGGTGTCCTCAGAGTATGGCCAGCCAATCCATCTCCATTTCTTCCTGCCTATTTGTTTCACAATCGGTTCCTGGTTGGTTCGCTCACTACCAGAGATCTTTGTTGCTGATCTTTTCTGGGTGGCCATCTGATCTTGAGTATTGAGTGAAGACAACTGTTGATGAAGGTCTGAAGTTTGTTTGATATGCTCTTTACGACGCGCAGTGCAAGTCTCTGATCCGTATAGTAGCAGCGGCTGACTTCACATTGGAGTTGAAAATCCGGATCTTATTCTTCATGCTGAGTGATGTTGACCTCCACACAGACTTAAGGGTAATGAAACCCTGTCTTGCTTTTCCGATTCTGGCTTTGATATCGTCGTCAGTTCAGTCAGCCTGTAGTTGAAACGATACTTCCCGGGTAGGTAAAGGAGGTTTTTTCTTTCAGGTTCCTCCCATTTATGCTGGCTGATTGTTGTCTGTTCTTGCTGTTGGTGTTGGCCAGGAATCTTCATCACTTATGTTTTATCTACGTTCACTTGAAGTCCTATCTGTGATTCTTCTTCTGCCAACTTGTTGCTTTTCACTTGCATATCTTCCAGTTTGTGAGAAATCAGACATATATCGTCGGTGAAGTCCAGATCCTCCAAGTCTCTTTTTGTGAGAATCCATTTTATGCCTGTTTCCTCATTGCCCGTTGCCTGTCGCATTATCCGAACTACTGCAATCGGGAAGATCATTGGAGATAGTAGACAGCCTTGTCTCACTCCCGTTCTCACTTCGAAGGCTTCCGTAATTTTCCCGTTGTGGATTACTTGGCATGCAGCATTGTCGTATAACTGTTGGATGAGATGTATAATTGTCGATGGCACCCCGTAGTAGCGAAGTAGTTGCCAAATGACCACTCGATCGACGCTGTCGAAGGACTTTTCAAAGTCGATGTGTGCATTTATGTTATACATACTAAATGTCTTCAAGAAGAAAAAAAGTGAAATCGGCTACTCAACGATAAAGTTTGAACACATATCAGAAGGTACTTTCATTATACGTATATAATGATAAAACCCAAGAGCCTTTTCGATTTTTGGTTTGTTGGCCACACTGGACGGTTGTTCTGCTAGTTTCGGGAAGAGATATCATTGGCGGTATACTACTCAGTGCTTAGATTCCTTCGATCTAGCTGCAGCAAGTATTACTGGCTGATATAGGAACTGTATACAAAAACTTGCATCGATCAATAAGTAGTATAAAGCATCGAGCATTTATGCTTGGTTTCTTGATTACTTATTTATGCTACCAAGCAGATCATATATTGCAGCGAAGAAAATTTTCTTTTCGACGAAGTCATCATCTAGGCTGTACATTCGTGTATTTATATCAAATGGATGGGAAAGTTCCAGAATAATTTCTGGTGAAGGGTCAAATTAATAAAAATTACAATTAGGAATTAGAATGCCATAATAAACAGGGGGACGGATAAAACATACAAAGTAGCATCATAATAACTAAGAGGATCGACATTGTGCAATTAGGGGTTAGAAATGTAGAAATAACAAAATAGACAGGATGTTTGGGTAAAAAACTTAATATGGTGAATAATTGTTTATGCAATCAGGGATGAAATATGTAGAAATAGTAAAATGATAAAATAAACACTAAGTTCGGGTATGAAAATATGGTAGTGTAAACAGGGATTAAGAAAAACTTGAAAAATAACATGAATAAACAGGAAGTTTAAATAAGAAAGGCGATGGGATGGTCATTACTAAAAAATTACCTGTTTATGATGGCCATGACAAGGACAGGGGTTGGTTGTATTTCTTTTGTATACAAAGCGTGGGTTTGAGCTTTTGTATAGCTAGTGCCTCGGCTATGCCCAGATGTCTTGATTTCACTCCCTTTGATAGGTTTGATCGAATCTTGTAAATGATTTTGAAGGATTTTTCGAGTGGCGCTGAATGTCCTGAATTCACCAGGTGTTCTGTCACCGAACTATTTACCCGTTTTCGTTCTCCTTTTACTAGCCAGGCTGGATAGTGTTCACGAGCGCGTTTTTCAAGTCGGCGCATGGTACGGCCAACGTACTCAGCTCCACAAGAGCAAGTAAACTGGTATATGCACGTTGAGGTGGCCCAATGCGACAGCTTGTCTTTCGCGTTCTGGCTGAACAGTTTCTTGCAGGAAAACGTCAGTCGTAGGCTAGCGGCGAAGTATGTTTTCCTCAGCGATTTTGAGAGGCGTCTGCGAAGGATTTCTGCTTCAATCTCACCTTTGAATTCTAGATTAAGCAGAAGCATTTTCTTTGGGACGGATTGGACTTGTTCAGAAGTCTTCTTAGGTTTGAGATTCTTTTCTATGAACCTGGGCGGGAAACCGTTTTCCATCAGGGTTTTTCGAAGATTACGCAGTTCTTCTTCAACCACTTCCTCGCTGCATATCTTCCGAATCCTCGAGGAGAGAGCGTATATCAGGTTCCTCTTTCTGCTCAGGGGCACGAAGCTTTGAAAGTTGATGAATTGTCCATTCCATGTAGGCTTTTTGTATATGGACCTTTTCAGGGAGTTGTCGGCGTTTCTTGTCAGATGGACGTCGAGGAAGTGGAACATTCCGTCGGATTCAGTCTCAAGTGTGAAGTCGATGTTTGGGTGGGCATTATTGAAAATTTGAAGTAGGTTTTTTAAATCACAGTTCTCATCACAAATAATGAAAGTATCATCGATGTATCTCTTGTAGAGATGGAGGTCGTTGATAGTTGTTGATAAGGCGTTGTTCTCTAAGCTAGCCATAAAGCAGTCGGCTAGAAGGGGTCCTAAGGGAGAACCCATTGCTACTCCATCTACTTGCCTGTATATTTCTTTGTTGAAACTAAAGTATACGTTGAAGGTGCATATATTATTATGATCATATAATAATCTCAGTTTGCGGAGGGAATTTGTGGTGAAGTAATCCCCTCAAACTGTGAGAATTAATTTGCGAAATTGTTAACTAGTTTTCAAAATGAGAATATATAAAGTAGTCAGAACACCAAAACCCACTCTCCGACTCGCTGCTAAGAAAGACATGTACATTAAGCTATCTCCTATATGAGTGACCACAGCAGCTTGACAACTAGACAAAGATTGGAAGTTGTGGTTAAAAAGACTTTCCGTACACCTAAGATCATAATAAATAGGAATGTGAAGTGCAAATATATCCATCCATCTAAGCCCTTTGAACATGTGTAGAAAATGATGTCACATCCCACTGTATTTACCAATTTGAATGTACTTGTGGCCACACACATACACACATAGGGAGGACATACATATACATAGGGAAGCTGACTTCACAGCATATTCCTAGATGGCTTCAGAAGTCAATGAAATCCTGAGAACCCATTAATTAATGGTGAGAACAGGAGATCCAACTCCTCTATTGCGAAATATATAACAGAGACACGACATAAAATTGATGTTTCCACACATATTTTAAACCTATCCATAAAACCAGTTAGGGGAAGGGCGCATCCTAAAGTTTATGGAAGCCCTAGCTGCCGATTAGGAAGTTTAAACCACCTTTATATGCGCTAAAAAAGAAAATTTCAACATCACACTAAATCTTCTTTGGTAAGCTTTGTTTTGATACTAGCCAGGACGGATGTATTACTACCTCTTCTATTTCGTTTAATGATCTTCATTGTTATTTTGACCTTCAGTATGCCCTTATAACTTGAACTATGTTTTCTCACCTCTTAGCTCTTTATTAATTTCGTATATATATATATATATATATATATATATATATATATATATATATTCCTGTGACAAGTCCATGTGTGAACAGACTGTTCGAAATGTGTTGCGAAAATACAGTACACACACGATTCAGACAAATTATGTCTTCTTATTGCTTTGTCATAATTCAGTCATGTTATTTCCAGTTACTGAAGTAGCTAGTCACATAAATTGAGTGATTTAAACTGATTTGGCTCCCTGAGAAGCTGAGTCATACCAGTTACACCTGTGATGAGGTCAGGCCCAAACAAGCAAAACAGCCATCCATTGTGTCTAAATCCCTTTGGCTTCGCCAGCAAACACTCCAGGTAGTTGATCTCAGTTGTATAAAACTACTCATTTGAGTAGTAGTAGTAGTAGTAGTAGTAGTAGTGTTACGCATTTAGGAATACATATGATCTACATTGCATTGGTCGATCATCTTCATTCCGCGATGAGTACACTTCACACTGATGAAAAGAGATAGAGAGAAAGCCACACAAAAATGACCTAAGCAGCGGGGTAAGTTGGAAAATAACAAGGAATAAGAGCAAAATGTTCCCTGACAATCAGAGAGAGAGAGAGAGAGAGACAAAGATAGGAACATACTTTAATATGTAGAATTCGATCGTGATTAATAATCGGTGTAGTTTTTGAAACAGAATCAGAATCCAACAGTAAATTTGACACCATTCTTGAAGTAGTAGTAGTAGTTGTTGTAGTAGTGATAGTACAAGGTATTCCAGTTGGTGTTGGTAGTGGTGGGGGTGACATAGCAGTAGGCGATTCAAGGAAAAATTTACTTGATCCTGTACGTGTGTCATTTGGTGCAGGAATAGAAGAAGAATATGTTAACTCATCAGTAGGTGTTGATTCATCCAATTCATGATATATACTTTCATTGGACTGTAATTTACGTAGAAATCTTCTAATAGATGATGCCTGAAAGATATTAACAAGGTAAAGAAATGCGTGCTTAATAAACTCATACAGAAATGATAATAATAATGTGTTAAATTCAAATATGAGTGTAACATAATTGTTGAGTGATTTTCATTCTTACTGATACCTATATTCCTTCATTCCTTGAATTGTGTGAATGGGACCTAAGCTTTCAAAAACACCATAGTTTCAGCAGCAGTGGTATTGTTTTTACAGGGTGAGGTAGCTAGTCTCACGCCCAACACACGAGCAGATATGTCGATAAGCCATGAGGTTAAAGAGTCCGCCGGTCAGCAGTCGAATCCGATACATTTTCCATTTAAACAAATTTCCTACACTGTGTTCAACTTAATATAAGTTTACGGAAAGCCAAACGAACATTCAGCATTCATGGAAAAACCGCATTATGCTTTCAAATAAACAGGTGGGTGTAGTGTCGATGCAGCTTAACAAATAACTAACTAACTAACACAACTGACTCAATTTAAAAGTCTTTTCTTTTATATTCCTTGATTTCCGGGTGAAACATTTGGCTTCAAGACTTGAAGTGCCAATGCACCATCGTTTCCAAACTGACCACTTATCGCCAAAATAAGCAAGGTTTCAGGGGTGTTGTCAGTTGTGAATCCTACCTAATGCTGTACAAACATTCTACTACTATAAACCATTGACGCAAATAACCATCCGATAATGTCAAGCCAAACTGTTGATATCACATTGAGACTGTTAAACAGCTTGCTACCGTGGTACTGGAGTACACGCACTTCGCCAGATGTCTCACAACTTCATACAATCTTCTATTTGGTCAATAGACACGCTGATGCTACTGTGACCATCTTTCGCCCCAATTACGTGAGCTCAAGGGATATATATATATATATAAAACTACTACTACTACTAAAAATAAAGATAATATTCAAGTATTGGTTTCTAGGGATTTGGTTGATTGGTTAAAGGATTTAATCATGAGCTGACATCGGTTAAACAACTATTGGAAAACCTTCAGGGAGTATTGGGATGAAATCCTGTAACCAGTCAATCAAATCCCTACAAACCAATACTTGAATATCACTGAGATGCTCACTAGTGACTAGTCTTATTCAGGTAGGTAGTTACCCAGGGTTCTAGTGGGAAGTCATGACCACAGTAGGGTACAGCAGGTCGGGATTGAGGACAAATACTCGCCGAGGATATTGGCCAGTGCCAGTCGCGCTAAGTCATAAATTGGAAGAAGCTGGAATTCATCGCCTGGCCATTGAATCGGGTCCCAGTGGCTTAACGGTCTACAAGCTCGCCTTGTAACCAGAGGGCCCTGGGTTCGAATCCCACTGTGGTGCGGGTGAGTACTGATCAAGAGTCCCAAACTAGACTGGAGAAACAACTGTCTGTCCAGTACTCCCCGCAGATTTTCCAATGGTTTTCTCTAACCGATGTCAGCCCATGATAAAATCCTGTAACCAATAACGATAGTATCTGAATGCATCTATGCATTTGTGATCAACTGTCTCATAAACCTCGTAACCAGTTCAACTTCCAAGTTCATATATAGTTGAATGAGAACCAACAAACAATATTACGTCTCAGTCTAGTTGCATTACATTCTCTAGCTGACAACACACACACACAATAGAGTAACCACGACATAGCGAGCGAACACAACTCATATTTGAGCCTTTTCTTTTATTGACAGAATATCTACACAATCCTATTCATTCTAATCAAATCGCTAAAACAACAAACCTCATTTGAGTCATATCTAAGAATGAAAAACAACTATCCAGGAGTTATCACCCAAACTTGATGTCAGAAGACAATTGGTGGATGGTGAATAGCAGTGAAATCCAGGATAACACGCATTTTGTCCGATTTGGGACTCGCCATTGGATGTACTTGCATCCCCCAGTAAATGATGATGTTCCCACCGGGGCTCAAACCCACTGCCCATAGTTTCAAACGCCAAAGCGTTACCCACTAAACCACTTGGGCCACGAGAGCCACCTCTTGTGCGACGGGTCATATTAATTATTTAATTCAATTTTAGATTTTCCCGTCCACTGATTGGACCGAAGTGCTCGATCTCAGGTTGACATATCAGCTTCTTGTGCAAATGTTGTTTGATTGACTGATGGCAGTCAGCGATGGAATCCAGGCTCTCTATTTTGAAGATCAACTAATAGATATACTTGTATCTTCAGTGGGTGACTGTATTCCCCCCACCCACCCACCCTCCCACTGAGACTCGAACCGTGTACCTATATAAATCAAATCTGAGACAGACAGAGAGCATTCCGACCCAATAGGAAATACAAATAATCATTCAGCCTTCCTTATAAATCTATTATTTGACATTTTCATAAAATGTGTTTTAATAACAATATATATATATATATATCTGATTTATACTAATTACTATTACCCATCAACACTCACTCACCTCTTGATAGATATCACGAAATTTATATCGAAATGGAAATGTAATGTAGAGTAAGTCCATATAAAATTCCCTGACATATTGGAAGAAGAAAAAGTACAGAAAGATACAGTGTAATGCGATTTGATGTGGAAAAAGCAAATGTATATCAGCAACTATAATCCATACATACAACTGCATACTGTTGAAAAGTACATCAAACGAGAGGTGGAGGAGAAAGGTAAACAAAATTCACCGCTTTTTGTATTCCTTGCGTTTCGACTGGAATATTGGGGCATCCCGTTTTCAAGTTTCAGAAGCTGTGGTGTTATTTCTTCTCCTTTTTATGGAATGCAGTTGCTAGCCTCATGGTCAACCACCTTTCTAATTTCCCAAGGCTCATCATCATTGGATAAGTGGAATTTTCGTTTCCTTCTCCTCCTCATAAAAGTTTTTATATGTTAAAAAAATTATTTTTCGAAAGTTAGTTTATTTGAGTAGCAAATTAGAATCAAAACAGATGATGTTCAGTACTCCCCCTGCTGGTTCACAATGGTGCTCTCAATGATATCAATCCGGGAGTGAGGACAACTACTTGCTGCCGACGACATTGGCTAGTGGCTGTGCTAAAATAAGGAATTGGTAGAAGTTAGAAATTATCGGTTGGCCATTGAGTACGGTTCGAGTTGCTGAATGGTCTACGAGCTTGCCTTGCAACCTGTAGGACCTGTGTTTTGTACCTGATGGTGGGTCCCTACTGACGATGAGTCCCAAACTAGGACGAAACTGCTGTTCAGTACTCTAGTGCTGGTTTTCAATGGTTCTCTAAATGATATCAATCCCTGTTCAAACGTGAAACAAATAAAGTCCCTACAGACCAGTTCTTGAAAACATTGACATTTAATATATTATTCTTCATCCACAAATTCAATGCCATTAGCTATAAGTTGCACAGTTGTACAGCAATTCCAGATCCCACTCACCCTCCATATACCACACAAAGCAAGAGAAGAGAGTAAACACAGGTTCAAAAGACAGATAATAACCAGAAGCATCACTGAGGGGAAAAGAATAGTAACATGGAAGAACAATACCGTTTTATTCGACGTGATAAATCACAAAGAGTTAGTGCATCTTCACCAGCCATTGAGAACAAGGATTTTGAAAACTAATCACCAGTCATCTCCAGCCTTCATTGGTTCTCACCATCCCAAGGACCCCAATGACACTGACAGTTTACACTTCCCTAAACGGTTGGCTAGCTGACTTAAACTAACTGTTATGGATTTGAACAAAGAAAGAAGAACCATTGGCGCAGAATAATCTGGATCCATTTTAATTCGTCGGTTCTCATCAGTTGCGTACAACCTGAATTCTTTAATAAAATAAAAAGTGCACAATTTTAAAAAACTTTTGTCCATTAGCACGCATATTGTAAGAGCGTCATAGTGAAATAAGGCATTGCGATTTACAAGGTGTCTAGAGTGTTACGATATATATATAATGTTAGAGAGAAGTTTGTTGAAAATTAATTAAAAGTTGTGTTGTTGGGTTGGTAACAAAAGAAAATTAGTAATAGTTACGTAATTAGATAAGAGAAGATCAAAATTTCGGTGCACATGAGGTCATATGGGAAGTTGATGATAAGTTAACAAAATTAGAAAACAAAGAGTTACTAAGATGTGAGTCATCAGGGTAATTGAAGTCCAACAATGGATTCTTTTTGCACACATAAGTCAGGCTTCCATGGTTTTATTGCTATAGCTTCAGCGAACCTGAGAAGACTTGAGGTACTTTGTTTGTTATTTATTTTGAATGATTGCAACACATCTATTCGGTGTCCTGTGTCAATCAGGTGTTTGACGATTGAAGGGCTTAAACAATTCGGTCCCTTTAACCGGAGGCTCCTTGGTACATGTTCGCAGAATCTGACATAGGTCCTTCTTTCTGTTCTTCACATGTAACTGCTCCCGCAGATACATGTGAATTGGTATACACAGTTGGAGGTAACATGTGAGGGGTACTTGTCAATCTTTGTTCGGGGTAGAGAGAATAATAATGTTGCAGGTTACGTCCTAGATAGGGCTGCGATTAATCTTTTATTTACCATTCTCATAATGTCGTCGCCCTTGTAGTCAAGTATGATGAAAATAGGCTTCTTACTGGCTGTAGCTGTATCAAGCTTCTTGAGTTCATTCTTGCCATATTTGTTAATGAAACTTTGTGGGTAACCATTTTCCCTCAACCATTTTTCAAGAAGCATTAGTTCACCGTCTAGTTTGTTTAGTGAACATATTCTCTTCGCTCTAGAGAAAAGCGTTTTTACCAGCGTTCGTTTGTATCTCTCTGGGCAGAAGCTGTTGAAATTCAAGCAAAGACCACTCCATGTGTCTTTACGATATACAGATCTTTCGAGTGTCCCGTCGTATTTTCTCTCCAACTTTACGTCCAAAAAATGGAATTTTTCATCATCTTCATGCTCCATCGTGAAAGTGATGCTTTTGTGTACATTTTTGAAAGAGTCTAGTAGAAACGAAGCGTGACTCAAATCATTGCATACAATGAATGTGTCATCAACGTATCTATAGTAGGCTGTTGTTTCGCTAATTGCACACTTGAGCTTTTTCTGTTCCAGACTGGCCAAAAAAATTTCGCTTAATATCGGACCCACTGGACTCCCCATTACCACTCCATCAACCTGGCGATACATTTTGTTGTCAAACTGGAATTGTATATCATTAATACATGACACGAGAAGTTGCTTAAATTCCAGTTTTGGTAGAGGAAGAAGATCAGAATGTTGACAAATGATGTCTAATGTCTCATGCAGATTGATTTGTGTGAATAGAGAAGTCACATCGAAGGATGTTACGGATTTCATTGACTGAAAAAGGCATTTTTGCGTTTGACCACCATGTGCTACCTCTTTTCCAACCTGATCCATCCTATGTCAGTCAGCTAACACGGGGAAGCCGACGGCTAGGATAGGAAAGCGTAACACACATATCCTAACCATCTCAATCGATGTAACTTCGCACAAACTCGTCGACTGATATCCCCTCCTTACCTAGCACTCACTGGACGCCTAACCTCAATAGACCACTAGACTAAAGCCTGAAGTAGATCTAATTGAAAACAATATGTCTAGTTTTAATTAACCATAGTTGCTAATGATTAAGCAATACGCGTAAGATTTATGTAATATGCTATAAATAGACTTGTAATCAGGACACATATATTTATCTACACTTTATCTAATATTTAAGTAATGAGAAAATATTCCCTGAATCAAAACAATTCATAAGCAAGCATATAAGACCACAATGTGAACACTATTCATGCTACCTACCAAGAAGAATTTTCTTGATTAATCAAACCCATTTTAAGGTGTTCCACACGATGTTGAATATTTTCTGGTCTTCGACGAATTTTTAAATTCTTTGATAAAAAAAAATAAATAAAGGAAAACAACAAAATATTAGAAGAATAAAAAAAGAGGAATTATCACATAATATAACAGAATAGTTGTTTTTCAACAAAGAAGTTGTCAACTTTTTCCCTCTTCAAAGTAACAAGATGCTATTGAACTAGTAGAACTATCTGACTGGGTTCGAACCCATGGAGGCTTGCTTAAATATATATCATTAGGCTAACTAAGTTTCCCATCCATCAATCAAAATACAGCGTTTTTATTGCATTTCAAATTGTTCTAATCATCTAATTCCTACAATGAGTCGCGTTTTTTCATACTTGGTAGAGTAAAATTGATGGCGGATGGAATAATATTGCTACAGATAAAGTAGTGGAGAAGATAAAAGCTTTCAAGATAGTTCACATCGTATCCCGCTGAATCTTTCCAATAGACTTTGTATTCGTTTACTGCAGACAGCTGAGGCGATAGACATTCGAACAACTATTCAGCCTAAACTATGCTCATTCAAAGGAAATTCGTACACAGACATTATCTCTCCTCTGTTGGCCTTTTAAGACCTAAACCAACTGATAACTCCTCGACCACCCCTTACTTATATTTCCAACCCCTCTTCTCTTATCATCCCTTAATCTTATCATATCTTCATAAAAACGCATTTTATTTACTTTTTTTACAATCTACCGTTACGTAATCGGTTCATTTGTTTTTCTTAGCCTTTATGTACTACCATGTTCACCTGAACATTTGTTAGTTTAATCATCCCGTTTTCCATTATTCATGTTATCAAAGATTGCCTCACTTTTCATCCTTATTATTGATAGAACCATTATTTAGAACAACGCATCTAAGCGAACAATATTGATTTCAATTAGATCGCATCAGGCTTAACTCTAATATACTTTTTTTCCTTCACGTTCCCCAGTGGAACATAGGGCTTCAAGCTACTTGCTTGAAGTTTCTGTAGCAGTGTTTATTTTACAGGATGGAGTTGCTCTTTACCAGCATTATTTCTGGTTTTCAGCGAGGTAAAGGAGTGCGTCGGCCGGGGATCGAACCCCGGAACATGTGCATGGTCGGCGAGCGTCCTAACCGCTATGCCACCGACGGACTAACTCTAATGTATATATATATATATATATATATATATATATATATATATATATATATATATATATATGTATATATATATGTAAGTTTACGAATAAAAATTCAAATATAAACCAATCATGGTGTTTTGTCTATAGGATAATACGATGGGGAATATAAATTGTGCAATTAGTCATAATAGTAGTAATGATAATATTAATAATAGTAATAATAATAATAATGGTCTTATCAATAATAAGGATGAAAAAGTGAGGCAATCTGTGATAACACGAATAATGAAAAACATTATGATTAAGCAAACATATGTTCAGGTGGAAGTAGTCGATAAAGCCTAGTAAAAACAAATGAACCGATTAAGTAATGTTAGATTGCAAGGGAAGGAAATGAAACACGTTTATAATGAAGATAAGGTTAAGGGATGAAAAGAAAGGGGTTGGAAATATAAATAAGGGGTGGTGTAGAAGTCTTTAGTTGGTTATGTCTTATTAGGCCAAGGGAGGGATAATGGCTGTACGAACTTCTTTTGAATGCACAGTTTAGGTTTAATAGTACACATGCCTATCGCCTCAGCTGTGTGCAGTAGACGAATACGAAGTTTATTAGAAAGATTCGGTGGGATACGATGAATCACTTTGAAGGCTTTCGTTTTCTCGACTACATGACCACTATCAATTAAATGTGACAGAATTGAGCTACGGATTGTTTTTGTCTGTCCTTTGCCAAACCACGACGGGAGATGTTCACTAACACGTCGGCTAAGCTGTCTGGTAGTGAGACCAACATAACTGTCACCGCAGGTGCACCTGAATTGATAAATGCACACAGATATGGCAAAACCATCAAGCTTATCCTACGTTTGCTTGCGAATCATTCGTCGGCTAGAGGATGGGAAACATAGGTATGCTGCATAAAACGTTCTTCGTATACTCCTTATTACTGATAGAATTATTATTATTACTATTATTATTATTATCATTACTACTATTATGACTAACTGCACAATTTATATTCACCATCTTATTATCCTATAGACAAAACACCATGATTAGTTTATATTTGAATTTTTTTATTTGTAAAGTTATGTATACTGAAATTAAATCTGATGCGATCTAATTGAAAAAAAAATTGTTCGCTTAAACGTCTTGTTCTAGATAAAGCACTATCGATTATTGCATCATCTCAAGACTCGACACACATGTAATTTTTAGAATAAAGCTATTATTATTTTGATTATCAACACGGTTAGGGTTGGGAAAGTTCAGAGCTTGCTCGGATGACACACACGCACACACACCCATGGATTTTTTCCAAAACTTAATGAAACCCTATTCCTAATCTGTTACCCAGAGAGAAAATTATACAATATAAGTCAGGAATAATTGAGAGTTGTAGTTTATTTAAGTCTGAATTGATGCAGTAGTAGTACTGCACAGTTCACCCTACATTGGTAATTCAATGCCTATAGACGGTTAGGGTAACAAGGCAATGTCAAAGAGATGCATCCACTGGTATATTTACTGCAAGGTAAATGCATGAAAATGTTTCAATACCTGAAAATAATTTAGGATTTAATTAAAACCATTAGTCTGTTCGATAAATTTGAATTAAGCATTTCGAAGACAAATTTCGTGAGATGATGGCATCATCATTTCGTAGTTTCTCTACAACCGCTTTACAACTAACATGGTTAACAATAATAAAATAAGGATCATGACAATTACTCAGTTATGTGGATCAAAAGTACAAACCAATGACCAATCATATTTAAATAAATAGGTCAAGTAGTCAGTTCATGGTAGGCGAAGGTTGAAGTTTATTGTTTTTTGTACACAGAGTTTAGGCTGTATGTGATTAATCCCTCAAAGTGCTTCAATAACCAACCTTGAATTAGAGTTATGTGATGAAATAATTTTGAAACAGACATTAATATTGATTTTGTGACCTGACATTAGTAAGTGCTTTGCAATGGATGATCATGGGTTTCTATTTCTATTCAGAATAATTGCATTGGGATTTTCTAAATGTTTGATAACCATTTTGAAACATGCTCTTTTCGACGACATCGGCATATTCTATTGGTTCTACCTATATAAGTGTCACCGCAACAACTGAAGGTAAACGTGTAGATGCAGTTTGATGTAGAGTTCACAGAATTTCGTCCTTTAATTGTATGTACGGGGATCGAAAATGTTCGAGATCTGATGGAAAGAGATGCGGCGCAGAATATGTACTTGACAGCTGACCGAAGTTTTGGAGCTGTCAACTGCATAATTTGATCACCATTAAATGGTAGGTTAATAAAGATAGCTTTCTTTGGTATAGAAGCTGTCTTTTCAAGATGTGGTCTAACCTTACTGTGACAATTAATAAAGTGTTCTGGATAACCATTAGCTAATAAAACTGAATGTATATATCGAAGCTCATCCATCAATGTGTCGCTTTTGAGGGCCGTTGAGAACAAACATTTCATTACTTAACCTATTTATTTAAATATGATTGGTCATTGGTTTGTACTTTTGATCCACATAACTGAGTAATTGTCATGAACCTTATTTTATTATTGTTAACCATGTTAGTTGTAAAGCCGTTGTAGAGAAACTAAGAATTTCAAACTTGAATGATCATACATAAATAATGCTCAAGGGTTGGTTATCAGGGATTTAATTTATTTCAAGTTACGTCATGAATCGACATCCGTCTAGAAAATGAGTGGAAAACAAAGAGGAGTACTAGAGTGGCGTTTGTTTATAGCTTCAGATGCCCTAGGGAAAAGCCAGAGTCGCCTTATAACCTCAACACTTTGGATTCGATCTCTAGTGAGATCATGAAAATAGGCTTAAGTCAGTCAACTTTTACCCAATAGGCTCTGAATTCGACGCTTCATTGTTTATCCTACTTCAACACAAGGCACCTGAGAGGTATCTGAACCTCTTACACAAGTAATATGATTTATAGGTTCGGATAACATACACACACACAGTGGAAATGACAAGGAACTGCAAAATAAAATGAAATTGGTGATTTTAACTTTCAAGGTTAGGTCTAATGGTTAGAGAGGACCGGTGCAATAAGGAAATCTGGGAGACGGCGAACCCAGTCAGAAACATAATGTCGAACAAATATACGGAAGGCAATGGAGACTGAATAGACACATAGACTGGAGAAGACCACCAGGTGACATGAAAAGACAGGTCTGCATGGCAATCTCAGGAAAGAAAGTTTGTCGGTGGTTATGATGACGCCTGACGAAAATGACAGAGAATAGTAGAAGGCAGTGCAAACGTAACACTAAAGCCTAACGTCGCACTGACAGAGGAAGAAATGAGGTAAAAGGCAAAGCAATTTAAACTGATGTTCAGAATGATTAACCAGCCTATGATGAAAACGTCTCAAAATTGTTTTGTGTACTTCCGCCAATATAACTGGCTCCACAATAAGCTCAGTTGAATTGATAGATACAATTAGAAGTGGCTAGCTAGTCTAGGCACCTCATCTTTCAATCGACAAATCACCATCGGTCGTGTAGAAAACATGACTTATAGTTTACCAGCATTATTTGTTCAGTAACCATTCTCTTGAAGATAAAAATTTTAATGTGCCTTTTTAATCAGTTTCATAGTTTACCAAAGATCAAAAGATTAAAGCTAAAGCCTACCTGAAAGACAGCGATTGTTTGATCCTCACATTTCAACACTAATCTTTCACAATTCAGCTTTATACGACTACCAACAACACCGCTGCTATCCACGAGATGAACACCTCTGTCATGGATGCTGTTATTACTACTGATATTAATATTATTAGTAGCAACAGTTGATAGTTTTGAAATATACGAAAAAGATAAACTGTCTACGCGTAGTAGAATAAAATGCTGTTTAGATAATAATTTGAAATACAATTGAATAATTGATTCATTAGTCTTCAGGTTAAATCTCCATACAACAGGATTATCTTTACCACTACTGCTGATCGGAGTCGGTGTTGTCGTACTACTCGTTTTACGCAGTCCAGAGAGTAACGTGAAGGTGGATGATGTCCCTCCAGTTGTTGGCGCTGTGGAGGAGGAGGATGATGATGAAGTTGGTGGCAGTGGCGGTGGCATTTGCGATGATTTAACCGACTGAATCTGTTGACAATTACAGTTAGACAAATCTTTCATCTCCGTAGAGAATAACTGTAGAAATGAAAAAGACAAAATAAAAAAACAAACAAATGATTGAATTTGCTTCCCTTTGGAAATCGAAATTATTCAGATCACAATATGTATGATCTGATCGATATTATGTATCGGAAAATGGAATATTAAATTGATATGTATCCACATGATGTGTGTTTGGTTTTTGACAGTCTATTATATTTTGCTGTGTATACGGATCGATATTTCATTATAACTGACAATATGCTTTTGTCTGCCCACTAACTAAATAAACATCTATGACCTTGTTGTCACATGACATTAAAACCAATCATGTTAAGACTGTCTAATTATTGGTTCATGTGTATTAGTCATTTTCATATATACTTTCGTACTGTATACTTGTTCCCACGTTTCGTACACTACGTACCATTTTCACTCACACTCTTGTGTGACATTTATTTTCCTTGTCTGGAAAATACAAGTATCATCGTAAACCTGGTGGTCTTCTGATTTCCCTCCTTTCATGTCAGGACTATTAACTACTCGACGAGTACATAACATAATTGGCGACGGGGAAAACTCTAATAACTCACTCAGCAGCAGTACATAACATAAATCAACACCCAACGGAAGTTGGAAGTGAAACACGCCTACCGTGAAACTGGTTGGTGATCCTTACCTGGCTGTCTAAATCTCACTGTACATGGAGTGGAGTTTCGAACCGGTGATCCACTGACTAAAGGTCGAGCCAAGATCATCAGTAACGCATAGATGACATACCAACATAAAACAGGATACAATTTTATACCATGCAAAAATAAGATTTCTCCCTCAAAAGAACATCGGATCAATTGTGATACGTCATTAGCCTAATGATGATAATATTGAGGTTAATCCAAATCGATGGCTCAGAACAGCTGCCTTCTTCGACGGGCAATGTTAGCTGACATATAATTAGGCTGGAAAAGTGTTAGAAATGGTCAATTCGAAATTTAGTATCAATGTAAGAAATATTCTACAGGCGACTTCAGCCACGAAGTTAGGTAAAGACTACCTATTTTTACTGAATTTGAGTTTTTCCCGTCGATTGATTGGACTGAAGTGCTCGGTCTCAGAATGACATATCGGTTTCTTGTGCAGATGCTCCGATGATGTCTGGGCATTTAGTTAGTATTTAATCGGTGGATGGTGATTAGCAGTGGAATCCAGGATGCGCATTTCGTCCTATCCGGGATTCGTCAGCTGGATGTACCTGCACTTCTCAGTAAGTGATGATGTCCCCACTGAGGCTCGAACCCAGTACCCATAGTTTCAAACGCCAAAGCGACCACTTCGGTCCAATCAATCGACGGGAAAATCTCAAATTCAATATAATTAATATGACCCGTTGCACAAGAGGTGGTTCTCGTGACTCAAGTAGTCTAGTGGATAACACTTTAGCGTTTGAAACTATGGGTACTGGGTTCGAGCCTCGGTGGGGACATCATCACTCACTGAGAAGTGCAGGTACATCCAGCTGACGAATCCCGAATAGGACGAAATGCGCATCCTGGATTCCACTGCTAGTCACCATTCAACGATTAAAGACTACCTAGTTTTGCTCCTCGAGATGCTAAAAATCAATAGCTTGAGACTGTTGGAGATATGCCTTAAAATCGTTGTCACGGACGCAGATGCAATCATTCTTTGTGATCGCCCAGATCCATGTTACTGTCCCTTCTCATGTACATTTCTTCTCATCATTAGAGTTCTTCTGAATTTCTTTTTCGTCCCTTTCCTCTACTTTTGTGTGCTACACATGGAATGTAGGAACCTGAAGTGGTGCTGTACTTCTATGCAAAGTCCTACGTCGAATCCCAAACTATCAGTCAGTCACTCAGTCAGTAATGATGGCATAAGAAATGATTGGTGGAAAGCCCCCGAAGGAATAAGCATCTCCACAACGTTTTTACACATGTATCAACATATAATAAATTTAAAAGCAGAGCACAGATCTGATTGTTAAAGAAACTCATCACATATAAAATGGAGATGTGACTAAATCGACGTAAGCCCTCAAGTTTCAGTCAGTCAGTCAGTGGGGTAACCCCAAGTCGAATCTCGCTTCGCCAACTTCAGCTTTGACGGACTAACTGATTTCAACCTAGAACTCTGCACACATGTGCAGCAGTTCAAGTAGCCATACTCCCTCCATCCAGCAGCACACAAACCAAGGGAAAAGAGTAAAGAGACAATTAAAAGAGAGAGAAAGAGATAATAAACAGAAATATGAGGCAAAAAGAATAGTAATACGGAAGAACAACGGAATTCTATTGGATATACAGCAGCGTGTGAAGTCATGCGGTGAATAGGACTCATCTGGCAGAGTGTATGAACGCATAGCTATTTGGAATAAAATTGGAGGGGTCTTTTATATACGGGTAATTCAGGAACCACTGAAGTCCATAGCACACTAGATAGCTTTTTCGTACAATAACAGTACGCATACATAAATCTACTCACCAGAGTTCGAACCCATTTTAATTTAAAGCAGAAGACCTTTCCCCATTGGCTTAAATGTTCGACTACAAGCCAATAGATCCTGAGTTCGAATCTATCTCCGCCTAACGGAGCATAAGTAAATGGATAGTATTATCATCAAACCTCGCAAAATAAGTGTGACTGGTGGCAGTTTACTATCGGCTTTCTCAGTTTGACTACTAATCACTTAATGATGTAGAATAACAATGCTAATAATAATAATAATAATAATGACAGTTATTTCAACTTACTTGGTTGAATCCTGACGAAAATTTCCCACTAATTTCTTTCCATGATTGTAATATACTCCGTAAGCATAAATGAAATGCTAATGACCAGACAAATTCACCAGAACCAATTGGTGAGATATCAATACACTGTGAAGAGTGCAAACAAAAAAAAGTATGAAGAGACAAAAACAAGCAAATAAACAATACATTTCATTATGTAATGAAAAATAAATATTGCAACAACTGGGACAAGATTTGAATTAAGAGCTTTTTATTTGCCTCTACGGCTTATTCAACTATGTCAAATTCATTCTTAACCGATGATCACTAACTGATATAAATACACCTAATTTTCTACACGGCCTTTTTTTCTCACTCTAATTAAGACCTTGTTGTAATTTATCAATGTAATTACTGTCTCTCAAGGTAATTTTAAACCGCATACATATACAAGCGCTGACAACTCCGTTTAGTTGTTGAAACGAGATAATAAGATCTCACCAACGTCAACGGTCTGTCTTCGCATCTTGCCTTCTTGTGCTCTGTGTTTCCGGAGGTATCGCATTGTGTTGTTGCTGCTAATAATGGGAAGAACAATAGGCTTGCGAATCGATTAGACGAGAAATTCGTTAGCGCAACTGATTGACGACTGGTTTCAACTTTGTACCGATGTGCAGCAGTTTGAGTTGCCACACTTCACTAAGCACACAAAGCAAGAGAAGAAAGTAAAAAAAAAACGCAAAACGGAGACAGTAAACAGAGATATGAGGCAAAAAGAATAGTAATATGGAAGGACAATGGAATTTTATTGGGTATTAAAAGTCATATCGACTGGTGGATGCATCTACGCTACTGAGAACGATTTTGAGCCATGTCACCAAATGTCTCCAGCCTTCATTGGTTCTTATCATCCCGAGGAAACAACCAGGAAGTCTACACCTGCCTACATGGCTAGCTTAAACCAAATGTTGTGGATTTCATTGACTGACGAAGCCATGTTTTGGTTTGACTAACACTGACCCTTTACCAACCTGACCCTATGTCAGCTAACATTGCCCGGCGGGGAATGCGATGACTAAGCATGCGTGACACATGTCCTTGCCATCTCAGTCGATGTAGCTTCACAACCTCGTCTATTGATTCCCCCTAGCACTCCACCTACACCTAACCTCAATATTCCTCTCCTTATTGTACCACTTAACATAGCAGATAGATAGATCTCAGGCACCTATGAAGAGAGACAGCTAGCTGGTCTTTTCATGTCTTCCACTCTCAATAGTCAGCATGTCTTACTCACAACCATAAAGGAGGACACACCGAACTGCTGCTGTACAGTACACATGTCTTTTGGTCTACAGCCACCCGGATATCAAGTCTACTCGAGAGATGGCATAAGTCAGCGTATGCCAAACGAGACTTCTGTATCCATGCTAAGATTTCGTCAGCAATCAATCCTCTGGGGCTGGCTGATGCAACTTCCCAAATAAGTGAAGTGGTCAACACACTATATCAATCAATTGACTCCCTATCTATAAGCTACGAGTTAATGTAGCTGAGTCCTGCAGCTTACATTTGACGGGAGTGGATCGCATGTCAAACATTCGAAGACTGCAGCTCAAGGTGTTCAGAGGACTGCATTTTGCCAGCGTCCTCGCCTAGAAGGACTATACCGTCTGCATATTCCAAGTGAACGAGATTATTCCCTGGTAACAAGTCAATACCTGTGTCATTAGCGCAACTACTAGTGTATTAACGATCATAATATAAGTAATATTTGCATCATTACAGCTTGTTTAACAAATAACTATGTTATATCACGGACTACCATCAGTCAGAGAGCTATTAAATACCCGGGGTTAACTAGACAGTTGTTTCACCCTAGTTTGGGCCTCTTCATCAGTTTGTACACATGACCTCACCCAGGTGGAATCGAAGCCGGAACCTTGAGGTTACAAAGAGAGTCTATTGAGAGGGAATGCAATGGGACAAGAACTCAAACTCCTGTTAACTGATGATGTATGTAGCCCCATGCTAGCCACAGTCATAGACAAGTATTTTTCCTCACATCCAACTTGATGAACTTAGCTGGACACGACAAAAAAACTCCAGGCAAACTTCGTACTAAAGTCAGTCACCAGTGAGAGTATTAGATTAAGTCTAATGTGTTGTGGTTCGCAGGGATTTGATTGATTCTATAACTTAACTAGAAACCAATCATCATGCCTGCAAGTCAACATTTCAGATTATTTACTACTCTGGGTTTATCATTCAATTCTTTTCACGTTCTTGTTCCTCGTTTTTCGTTATGAAACAACCTTGTTCATCGTATTTGTTATTGTGATTGTATGGCGGACTGTATTCTATCAGTCAGATGCGGGTTCGAGTCTCAGAAGGGACATGAGTTCCTTCAAGGTGGTTGCAGATACGCCTTGCTGACTGACTGGTGAGTGCCAACTAGCACGAAACCTAGATCAAGCAGGGCTTACTGCTGATTGCCTACAACGATCTAATATCATCAAATCAATGTGCACCGTGATGGCGAGCTACCTACAATGGTGACCATATTGCAAATCTTACTGACAGAATTCAGTCTGCACCAAAGAAAGGACTAGACGCATCACACTAGTTACTAGTGTCCAATGAAAATACCTACTACAGTCCAACAGGTCCGTCAAGGATGCCCATTATCCCATTTCTATTCAACTTCATCAGAGATGTACTAATGAACTTAACCCTAGGTGACTTCAGCGACTCAGGGATTGACTTGCTACCAGGGAATAATCTTGTTGACTTAGAATATGCAGACGACATAGTCCTTCTAGGCGAGGCCGTTGAAAAAATGCAGAGTCTTCTAAACACCTTGAGCTGCAATCTTCGAATGTTTGGCATGCGATTCGCTCCCACCAAATGTAAGATGATTTTACAGAGGACTGGACTACACTGACTCCTAGTTTAGAAATAGGGAGTGAAGTGGTTGGTGGAGCACGTTGACCGCTTCACTTATTTGGGAAGTACCATCAACCCCAACGGGTTGATTTCTGACGAAATCTCAGCACGGATACAGAGGGCTAGTTTCGCATATGCCAGTTTACGACATCTCTGAAGTAAATGTGATATCCGGTTGGGTATCGACCAAAGGGTGGGTGTACTGCTCATCAGTCCACTCCGTACTCCTTTATGGCTGTGACCGAGACATGGCCATTGAGAGTGGAAGACATGAAAAGATTAGCTGTCTTTGATCATAGGTGACTGCGTTCTATCTCCCGTGCGAAGTAGTATAATAAGGTGAGTAATATTGAGGTTAGGCGTCCAGTGAGTGCTAGGTGAGTTGGAGGGAAAATCAATCGACGAGGCCGTGAAGTTACATCGACTGAGATGGTTAGGACACGTGTCTAGTCATCACCTTCCTCGACAACAGGCAATGCTAGCTGATATATGGTCAGGCTGTAAAAGAGCTAGTGGCGGTCAAACCAAAACATGGCTTCATCAGTCAATGAAATCCACAACAGTTAGTTAAAGCCAGTCAACCACGTAGGAAGGTGTAGACTTCGTGACTGGCTGTTTGAGGTCCTCGGGATGGTGAGAACCAATGACAATGGCTGGAGACAATCAATTATATGGCTCAAAATCGTTTTGAATGGCAAGAACAGATGCATCCACTCCCTGTGCTACATGGAGTGTGGTGACTCGAACTGTTGCACATCGGTGCAAAGTTCTATGTCGAAAACAGACAGACAGTGGTAACGCTTCTGACTGTAGTACCCACTGGGTGACACCGGTTCGAATCTCAGAAGGGACATGAGTTCCTTTCCGCATCGCCTCCAACCATCTAAGTGAAAGCTTGTAGGTAGAGAACCGAATACGATGGATATATGTGCCACTGAAGCCCTATTTCCTACGAATAAACATCCGAAATTCAAATATATCGATTTTAGAAAGGAACAAAAGAAATCAAAAGCACTTAATGTACAACAACAACAAAAGCATAACCACCAACCTTATGCGGTAATCTAATATCTGCATGAACTTCAGGCAATGAGAAAATTACATCACCACCAACACCATTACCGTCATCGTCATCTTTTATAATGATATCAGTACTTGACAATATTTTATATGGATATATTGAAGCCATTGAATATGTATTAGGCATTATTACATGTGAACTGTAAATAAATTTATTACCAGTCAGTGTTACATGTGTTGAACTATTCAGAGTGGCTAGTTTATCTGTTTGATGAGTAGGTGAAGTGAATTGGGATGAGATACGTTGACTGTCTATGCGTAACATGAGAAATGCTGGGAATAAGACACAAAGGAAAGGGAAGAGTATAAAGGGTACACAAACATATAATTTAATAGTTTATAATTGTACAATAGACAATAGCAATCAATTTTCCTCTGTGTGTGTGTGTTAAAGTCTGACAGTGAATGGAATGACCACAGTGCGATACCTAAAAAGGTGTTGCACCTTAAATTAGAATTTATGGGGGGTGGGTGGTGCTGCGAATAAGATACTTAAAACATCATTGGATGAGATCATTGAGAAAAACGTTCTTTGCTGACAATTTATGGATAACTTACTCTAGCCGTCCACTACTGGTGCACCTTAATATATTTTATTTTATTTATTATTTGATTTTTGATTACAGTTTGATTCCACACTGTATTTTTGGTATAAGTATGGAATTTTCAGCATAGATATCGGTAGCCCAAATTTCGCAGGCCGACCATAGATATCAGGTGTGCGTCGGCAGAGGGTCGAACCTCGGACCATGTGCATGGTCGGCGAGAGTCCTAACCACTGTGCCACCGACGCCCAATATTGAGGTTAGCCGTTCATCGTGTGCTAGGTTAGGAGGGAACACCAATCGACGAAGTTGTGAAGCACTTACATGGATTTAGATGGCCAGGACATGCGTTACGCACGCATCCCTAGCTATAGATCACCCTCCTCGATGGACAACCAATGTTATCCACTTGACATAGGATGGATCAGGTTGGAAAAGAAATAATGGTGGTCAAAAAGAAACATGGCTTAATTAGTCAACGAAATCTATAACAGTTAGTTTAAGCCAGCTAAGCAACCACGTAGGCAGGTGTAAACTGGTAGTGTGATTGAAGTTTTTTGGGTGGTAACAACAAATGAAGGATGGAGACAATTAGTGATATGGCTCAAAGTCGTTGTCAGTGGTTGGGGCATATGCATTCAAACTTTGTGATTTATAATATCCAATAAAATTCTGTTGTTCTTCCGTATTGCTATTCGTTTTGCCCTACACTTATACTTATTATCTCTCTCTTTGGAATCTCTATTTACTCTCTTGTCTTATTTTGTGTGCTACATGGAGTGTGGCAACTCGAACTGCTGTACAGCTATGCAAAGTTCGATGCTGAATCTAGTCAGTCAATTTTAGGAAACTATTCAGTCTACTCATTCATAGTAAGTAGTATAATGATTACTAGAGAATAAATATACCTTTGGGATGGCTCACAGAGATATATGACTATTCATGTATTTTCATGTATAAATTGCATTAGCATCTCTAACCAGTCATCATAACTCCAGGCGATGATACAACTTGCTACTTTGTGACAATAAATTTATTTTTTATATTATCTCTGTGCTCTGAAGTTTCTGTAACGATTATATTGGTTTTCACGTGTAGTGTTTATTGACCCACGCCCAGCACTCCTACTTTTTCATAGCATAGGATCCACTGGTAGGCAGCTATATATAATGATCCCAAATGCCACATGGGTTACAACAAAATTATTTGTGGAGCTTTTGAAATGAAGACAAGTGACTTCGCTTGTTGTTTGTAACAGGACAAGTTTTCTTTGTCAGAAATCGATTGACTCCCATCTTTATGCATCCTGGCGGTAGGATTGCTATTGTTCTGACTGACGCTACGATTTGGTAATTTTCCACCTAAGAATTAGGTTTGAATAGCTAGCAGTTGACTAGGACATAACATTTAATTTATGAAAAAAAAGTCTCTATGGAACTCATCGCTTACTTTAATTCAGCATATGCCCAACATATGGTGTCCCTCAAGGTGCTGTTCCCTCTCCACCTTCTGTTTTCTTTCTACTTACATGATTTGCTTCAGTCTTATGATAAAGCCAATTTTCTTAAGTATGCAGATGATCTGACTGTTTCTACGTCTTTTACTACTCAGTGAGACTGTTCCAAAATGAATAACTTTTTTTTATTAAGAATAAGTCAAGGGTCCTCGTCAAATGGTCTTATGCTTAATTCCTACAAAAATGTCAGGTGGTTAATTTCACTCTAAGAGGGAAGCACATAATATATGAACTGGTTCGGTCGCATGATTCTACTCTCACAGATGACAGAGACGCTGAAACTAAATCGAAAGTCTCTCCTGGTTTTCCCACATCATGTTAGTTCCCAAAAAGACATTTCATTTGACATTCTGTGTAAGGAAGTTAAGACAATTTGGTATCACACAGTTTTTACATTCTAAGTTTACTAATTCTTGTATTCTACCTATTCTTCTTCGCTGTCCCCATCTCCTAATCTTTCCTGGACTACTTGAGAAAGACTTTGCGACAGGGTGAGTGGGGTGTCGCTAAACCAACTCGTTGATACTATTGTAGATAGACGCATGATCTCATGGAAGTTAGTTAAAAAAAATATTATCTTGTTGGACCCTGAACATCCTCATTATACACAAATCTTTCTCTTTTTGCTGCATCTCATCAGGTGGAGACATAGCAACAACCATTAAAGACTTCATGCTGGGAGGACTAAGTACAGAAAGTCTACAATGCCTTATTTGGCCTGGACACATTTAATGTGATGAGAAACGTGTACAACAGGACAAGTTAAGAAATATTTCTAATGTCATTACATGAACATCGGTAGGAAGACCAACAAAGTTACCATGGTTGGCAACATCATGCATTTTGTATTCCTACTCTTGATATGAAGACAGAACTCGTTAACTGGTCGTTAACACCAACGCATCATCAAGTGCCTCACACGCACACGCTGACATCCATAAAAAACAGAATCACTGAAAGCCAGAGTCTAGCACGGAATTCAGTGGCCCCAAGACTGATCTCTGGGCATGGACAATAACTTGAAGGTTCTCGGTTCTGCCCCCTGTGGCTGGGGTCATGAGTGCCCTACACATTAGGGTGAAACAGACCTTCAATGCTCCTTAGCGCTCCAATCATTTTCTAACCGATGTCAGTTAGTGCAAAAAACTTCAAAACTAATCGAATTTCTGAAAACCAACACTAGAATGAATCTAACTACTTATAAGTAGTAATAATAATTCACAAAAAGGTATACAAACTCACTGTTATTATTACTAACAAGAAAAAGATTGATATTTTCTAAAACTCCATCGAATTGTATTGAATTCTTTACTGATGAATAATCTTCACTGATATGATAACGATTAATACCTTTTGTGATACTACTACTACTATTACGATTATGAGTAGTACTATAATGACGCTTACAGCTGGTCTTTTGTGTAAGCTCATAATTTTGGCATTGCAATTGAACGTAATGCGCTAACCGACTGATTGCTAATGATGGCCATTCTATTCGTGTACTGGTCAATTTAAAACCAATTTGACATTTATGGTTCTACAAAAACAAAAGAAACAACCAAAAAGATGAACGTGAGAAATGAGAACACACGTCATAAAGCTAGTGAACTTTTGATAACTATACCACACACACCCAGATCTGATCACTCGCTACTCATATTCTGCATATACGCAGCTCTGGTGAAATGAAGAGAGTGAAATCTATTGAGAAGACTCCTAGTATACAATGGATATCTACCACGTTTCATGGATAAAATACACAGCTTAAAACCTATGGGGAATGACTTCTCTTCTAGAGCCAGAGCAGCAGCTAGAAACTTTAAATTCAAGTATGACCTAGGTCCTAGAATTCGCAAAAGAAAGACCTAAAAATTTCTGAAAAGTATATTAATTAAAGCATCCCAAAGAGGATTGTCCTGTAGTAGAACATTTCCTCCCTCTATCCAAGAAGACAAGACATTGAAGTTGACCTTTTCGAACCCACCTCACCCACAGCCGAGAGGTAGCATAGTTGGCATGCTGAGGGGAACACCTTAATGTTGTCAAATCCCTATTCACCTGCAGACCCCTCATCCCCAATATATTGTAAACGACCCGCACTATGATATTAACTGCTTTTCAGTCTAACCGCTATCCAAACTACATTCAAATATTCTCAAGTTGCGTCAGGAGCTGACTGACATTAGAGTTGGACAACCATTAAAAATCAAGAAGTAATGGACAGAATCTAGAATTCCTAGACCACTGTAGTCTGGTCCCAGTGACTCAATTAACGACCAGCACACCGTATAACCTAGAAGTCCTACATTCGATCCCGTGTGTACATGACAGCGTGGTGGATGCTCACAACCAAAGAGCCTCAAAGTAGAATGAAACAACTATGTATTCACTAATCTCTAGTTTGCTCAATAGTTCCCCCTTATTAACACACTTGAAAGCATGTAATCAATCACTGAGGGGAGGGATGGGGAAGTGCAAAACAGAGGAGAGAACTTTTGAATCACAACGACAAAGAAGAAATGGAGAAAAACGGACTTACCCAAATATCAATTTCATGTATATATAATAAATATCCCCAATAATGTTCATTTAAGCTAGGCAATTGACGAATATATGAGTATGTTAGATTTGATGATGCTGATGTTGATAACGATGATAATGGTGTAGGAGTAGAACGAAGTGAAGAAAGACTGTTGTATAACTGTAAGGAATGTGATGTGATTTGTGAAATATTAGTTTGACTAAAAACATGTGGTACAGGTACTGATGAATGCAAATTCATTTTATCCAACAAACAGATATGTATACTTGATGAAGTTAAATTAAAATCTGTTGAATGTAAAATTTCCATAGGTTCTACAAATGAAAATAAATACAATTATTGAATGACAATATAATAATAATAATTATTATTCAAGTGTTGGTTTGTAGGGATTTGATTGGTTACAGGATTTTCATCATGAGCTGACATTAGTTAGAGAATCATTAGAAAACCTGGGAGTACTGGACAGCTGTTTCGTCCTAGTTTGGGACTCTTCATCAGTACGCACCCACCGGGATTCGAACCCAGGACCTTTTGGTTACAAGGCAAGCTATTATTATTATAATGACTCTATTACAAACATTACTTTTAGTACAAATATGGAATTCTCAGCACATATTCAATATTAACTGACTGACTAAGTGGTTTAAACGTAGAACCTTGTACAAGTGTCCAGCAGTTCGAGTTTCCACTCTTCCTCCATGTACCACACAAAGCAAGAGAATAAAGAGAGATCCAAAAGACAGACAGGGATAATAAACACATGTGTGAGGCAAAATGAATAGTAATACAGAAGAACAATAGAATTTTATTCGATATTATAAATCACAAAGAGTGAATGCATCCTGGCAATCCATTGACAACGACTTTGAGCCATATCATCAATTGTCTCCAGCGCCGTCATGGGTTCTTACCACCCCAATGACCCCAACCACACTGGTAGTCCACACCTCCTTACGTGGCTGGCTTAAACTACCTTTTGTGGATTTCATTGACTGATGAAGCCATATTTTGATTCAACCATCCACTACTATCTTTTTTCCAGCCTGATCCATCCTATGTCACTCCGCTACCATTGCCCGTCGACGAAGACGATGGCTAGGCATGCAAGCGTAACACATGCCCTGACCATCTCAATCGGTGTAACTGCTTCAAAACCTAATCGACTGACTTCCCTCCCTAGCTAGCACTCGACCGAAGCCTAACCTCAATATTACTCACCTTATTATACCACCACCTGACTCAGGAGATAGAACACAGACACCTATGGTCAAAGACAGATAGCCTGTCTTTTCATGTCTTCCGATCTCAATGGCCAGCATGTATCACTTAGTTATAAGGAAGAGCAGAGAGAATTGCTACTGTGCAGTATACACGCCGTTCGGTCGATATTCAGTCGAATATCAAGTCTGTTAGGCCAGAAATGGCGTAAACTGATACATGCTGAACGAGTCTTTTGTATCCGTGCTGAAATTTCGTCAGCGATCAACTGGCTGGCATTGGCTGATGCATGTCCCCAAATAAGTCAAGCGGTCAACACACTCTTCCACTTCACTCCTTATCTTTAAGCAACGAGCCCATGTAACCCAGTCCTGTAGCATCACCTTCCATTTGACAGCAGGAGAAAATCGCACGCCAAATAATAGCAGATTGCTGTTCTTCAAGGTGTTTAGAATACTCTGCTCTATTTTGTCAGCGTCTTCACCTAGCAGGGAGGACTATATCATCTGCATATTCTAAGTCGACGACATTATTGCCTGGTAACAAGTCAATCCCTGAGTCGCTGAAGTCAGTTAGGGTTGAGTCGATTAGCACATCTATGAGAAATGGGGACAGTGGGCATCTCTGACGGACACCACTAGTTGTCACCACTTCAGATGCTAGTGCAAAGAGAGAGAGAGAGAGTACTGTTGGATAACAGACAATATAATAATACAAAACAATGAAATCAAAGTTTTAGGATGAAATCAACTTTGTCAAATGCCCTGATAATCTGACTGTCTCGCTGCAACTTACTGTTCCAACCTGACTGAATAGCTTTTTGTCGAACATAAGCCAATGGTCTAAGCTAAATGATTTCACCTTGAATTCCACTAAATGTCCAACTATTAACTTCATCTTACGGCACAAACATGATCTACAGGAAGTTTTTCAATCACATGATGTTCCTTGTGGTATAGAGGAGGGCACTGAAATAGAGGGAAACTAAGTCAGGCGTAAAACACCTTGGAACAATTCTATCTTCTGAGCAATCTTGATCACTCCATATTTTGTCAATTTCTAAGAAAATGTTCCACCTAAGCAAATACATTGAGAAGTTAAGACAATCAATCAGGAATCACTCAACCTGTACTTTTATAGTTTGTTAACTCTTACATCTTACCTATTATCGTTTGCTGCTTGCCCATAGTCTTTCTTGGACTACTCAAAAAGGACTATGTCATATTGTAAAGGGCATTAAAGGTTTTCAGTAGGGCGAATGGTACGCCACTTAGTCAACTCGTTATTATAGTAGTTGGTAGACACCTAAACTCACGTGAAAAATGGTCCAAATACATACTATCCAACTCTCAACACCCTATCTATCCATAACTCTCCCCGTCTTGCATCTCATCAGGTAAAGGATTAAAACTAATTATAGAAGATGATATGCTCGGATAACCAAGTCGGAAAACTCAACGATACCCTATTTGGCTCGCGTTATGTGTGATAGATAGGGATAATATTAGCAGTGGAACCTACAACTTACTATGTTATTCGTCAGATAATCGGCTCTTTTATTCTCTCCTATTTACAATCTATGGCGACACTATCAACTGACAGTTTAGCTATTAACGTCATTATCATCACCATTATTTTACACTTTTTGTACATTTTTGACTTTATTGTCCCCGCAAATACGAAAACACTGATATCATCAGTCCTGTAGTAATTTTGCTGATGTCGTCGAGTAAATTAGATGCAATGCTGTACCACATGCTGAGAATTCCATACTCTATCATGAGTAATGTTTTGGAAAAAAACAGATTGTCATTGTTATTTGATTTGACACTAGGTAGTTTGTGACTACTATCATGGCATCTAGTCATTTTGTTTCGTGCAGACCGAAATCTATCAGTCAAATTTGCAATATCGCCACCATTCCAGGTAGCTCACCATCACGGTGTACATTGATTCAATGATATTACATCGTTGGAGTCAATCGGCAGCAAACCCTGCTTGAGCTAGTTGGCACTAACCAGTCAGCAAGGCGTATCTGCAACCTCGAAGGAACTCATGTCCCTTCTGAGGTTCGAACCCGTGTCTGTCTGTCTGTCTGTCTGGATTCAACATAGAACTTGGCACCGAAGTGCAGCAGTTCGAGTTGCCACCTTCCAAATAGCACAGAGGTAGACAAGAAGATGAGTGAAGAGAATTTATAGAGTTTGACAGATATAAGAGTGAAACAGAATGGGTAATGGTAGAAAGGAATATGAAAGATTACAGAGATTGAATACATCTGCGCCATTGACAACGATTTTGAGCCATGTCACCTATTGTCTCCAGCCATTGATTCCTAGAGTCCCGAGGGCCCCAACCCGGGAGTCTGCATCTCCCTACCTGACTCAGTTTAACTGTCAAGGATTTCATGGATTGATGCCATGTTTTTGTTTGGCCACCACTGGCTCTTTTCCAACCTGAACCTATATCAGCTAACAATGCCCGTCGGGGGAGGCGGTTGTTAGGCATGCGCACCACGTGACCTAGCCATCTTAGTCTATGTAACTTTATAACCTCGTCGATTGATTTTCCCTCTTTGCCCAACACTCTACGCCTAACGTCAACATTACTTATCTTGTGAAACCACCTAACGTGAGACAGAGATCGCAGACATCTATGATCGAAAGCAGTCAACCTTTTCATGTCTTCAACGCGTATTGGCCATGTTTCAGAGCCATAGAGAAGGACGGAGCGAACTGATGAGCAGTACACACGTCCCTTGGTTGATAACCGGATGTCACGCCTACGCCAGAGATGGTGTAAGTCAGCGAAAGCAGCTCGAGCTTTTCGGATCCGTGCTGAGATTTCATCGCCAATCAGTCCGTTGGTGCTAATACAACTTCCCAAGTAGGTGAAGTGGTCAACATGTTCTATCACTTCACTCCCTATCACTAAGCTAGGAGTTGACGTAGTCCAGTCCTGTAGCAGCATCTTACATTTTGTAGGGGCGAATCGCATGCCAAACATACGAAGATTGCTGCTCAAGGTGTTCAGAAGACTCTGCATTTTGTCAGAATCCTCCCCTAACAGGACTATGTCATCTGCATATTCTAAGTCCATAAGATTATTCCCTGGTAACAAGTCGATTCCTGAGTCACTACGTTCAGTTAAGGATACTTCCATTACTTACTTTTACTTTACTTTACTTCGGCTATCTCCTACGGGAGGATGAGCCGGCTTCATGAACGTCTCGAATCATCGCTGGCCCAGGCGCGGCAATTTGTAAGAGAGTTCATGAAGTTTCATGGGAATTTGGTACGAGTGATGTCCCCAGCATCGCTCGGCCTTTTGTTTGAGAGTGCAGCTCTAGCCTTCACACAGCCAAGTGTGACCTACAAGGCAGTAGGGGTGGAGTAAGGAGTCCACTATCCATTGGCAGCCGGTGACCGGAGTTCGGTTCATACGCCTTTTTGAATGGGGCCAGACATCCAGGACATCCAACAAGCCCTTTGTCCATACGTCTGCCGGTGAGCTCCAGTGAGCTTCATACGCCAGTCGTTGGAGGTTTGGAATCAGGGTTTAGCCATCTCCCCTAGACCGTCATCCAATGGACAGTCAACCCGGTGGAGAGCGCCGAGCATCCGCTTTCGCCCTCTCACTTTGGTGAGAAACACCTCCGCCACGTGAAGGCAGTGAGTAGGACTTCCTCAGGAGAGGCTATGTAAGACGCCCGGTCATATGGGAGCATTTCAAGAGGTGTGCGGAGGGGTGGCCAACCCGCAGCGCAAGGCACCCACCCCCGACCTCCATTAGCATATCTATGATGAAGTTAAACAGAAATGGGGAAAGTGGACATCCCTGTCGGACACCACTGGTTGTTACCAATTCAGATGACAATTCCCCATAAGCCCTTACACGACTACGTGAGTTTGAATAGAGTGCCTTGATTAGTGCAATGTACTTTCTTGGCACTCCCTTCACAGTCAGACATTGCCATAGTACCTTTCGATCCACGGAGTCGAAGGCCGCCTTCAAGTCAAGAAATATGACAATTGTTGGACGCCGAAAAGTGTGTCTATGTTCTAGAATCTGTCGAAGAGTGAAGATATGATCT